AGGGCTCAGCCGTATTCATCCATCCATCGTTTTGCTGGGTTTTCTTGTACTGAGTTGCGGTGAGCGGACGTGTTTCCTGGTTCTCCTCGAGCATCCGAAGCTAAGTGCCAGTTTTTCTTCTTTTCTCTCTCTTTTTTTGAGAGTTGATTGGAAGTGACTATGCGGTAGCAGTATTAGGTTTGAACAGCAGCAGTTAACGTTAGTTTCGCAAAGTAGGCTCTGTTTGAATTTTTGGCGGGAAGGGACGGTTTGTTCCCGGTCTAGACATGGGTCTAGATTTGGGTCGGCATGACAAGGGTGGGGACGAGTTGGTGCAGTGCGAGGGGTGTGGGAGGTGGTGTTACCTGGAGGAGACGGGTTTCGGGAGCCTGGAGGAGGCGGCGGGGGTGAGTTTCGAGTGTCGGCTTTGTGTGAAGCTTCAGCAGGTAACTGGGGAATGGGAGGGTAGAGTTCGGGAGATTGAGGCTCAGCTTAAGGCAGAAGGAGAGAAGCGGGTGGGTCTCGAGGCCCAGGTAGAGGAGCTGACTAGGCAGCTTAATCACGAGAGGGAGCAGCGGGTCGGCCTCGAGAAGCAGGCGGAAGAGCTGGGGGAAGTATGGAAGGCGGGTTTAGAGGAGCGTAAGAGGGAGTGTGACAGTAGGGTAGAGCGCCTGGAAGGGGTAATTCGAGCGAGTGAGAGTAGCGAGGGAAGAAAGGAGGAAGTGTCTGTTCTAGCGGGACGAACCACCAGTCTGCAGGCTGGGGTCCCTGGTGGTCGGGAGTCCGGCCTGTTGGCAGGCGGGCTCGACGACGCTGGAGAGCTGATTGAACCTCAGCTCAATGGCGCCTTCGAGCAGCAGGCGTCGGGCAGTCAGGTGACAGGAGATAAGTCGCAGGACAAAGGCGCGCAGGCACCAGGGGGATCTAGGGTACTGGTAGTGGGGAGCTCTAACGTAGCACGGGTTAGGAGGGGTGTACATAACAGGGTGAAGGGAGACCAGAGGGTAACCGTAGAGGTCCAGCCAGGGAAGTGTATGGTGGATGCTATGACCGCAGCACGTGAGGGGGTGTGGGATAACCGGGAGGGAAGGAACCTAGTAATAGTTCATGCGGGGCTTAACGATGTGCTGAAGGGTAGGAGCCAGAACCTCGGAAAGCAGCTAAACGTGGGAATACGTAAGCTGAGGGACGTGTCTGAGAATGTGCATGTGGTTGTGTGCACCATTCCAGAAGTTCGGGGGCAGTCCGGGTTAACGGAGAGGAGGGTTGTCGAAGCCAACGGAGTAATTAAGGGTATGAGTCGACAGCTTCGGTACGACGTAATGGAAGTAAACAGAGAAGTGTACGAGGCTGGCTCCCGCCCTTTTGCAGATGGCATTCACTACAGTGAGGCCACGGGTTACAGGGTGGGGGATAGGATGGGTCGCACGGTGACTGCTTTTTTGGGGGGACCGAGGGCCCTGGGGGCACTGAAGTAACTGAAAACCCAACGAAGTCAGGAGAGGCACCCAGGGTTAAAAAGAGGAGAAAACGTAAGAACAGGTATAAAAAAACAGCACAATCAGACATTGGATATATTAACATGCAGGGTGGTAGAAATAGGTTAAAATGGGAAGAGGTAGAGGAGCAACTAAGAAAGGAGGATTTAATGGTGTATGGGTTTGTGGAAACACATCTCAGAGACATGGAGCAGCCACCTTGCAACCCTGACTATGTGTGGGAAGAATGCAACAGAATGGAGGGAACGAGGAAGGGAGGTGGAATTGGAGCATTTATTAAGAAGAATATGAACTTTCAAAGGATCAGAAAGGAGTGCGCCAAACATTTGTGGCTGAAAGGAAAAGTCGCTGGGGAATCGACAGTCCTTGGAGTGGTTTACTTATGGACAGGGACAGGTGCTAAAGAGGAAAACAGAAAAATGATTGATTGCATATCAAGAGACATTAGTGAACTAGGGGAAGGCTCCGAAATAATTATTATGGGAGACATGAATGCCCATATTGAGGGTCTGGATGGGCATACGGACTCAACTGGAAGCATATTACTAGAACTGGTGGAAAAACATGACTTAGTTTAATGTAATACCAGTCAGAAGTGTGACGGGCACATAACTTGGGAAACTGGCAATCTGCATTCAACTATAGATTACGTACTCATGTCACACAAAATATATGGTAAGTTACAAGTAATGAAAATAGATGAAGAAGGTTCCAAAAGTCTTGGTAGTGATCACAAACGTATTAAGCTCAATTTTGCCAGAGAAGTAAATGCTGAAACTAGACAACATAATTCAAAGCAAACTTTCTGCAGCGACAAAGAGTTGGAAATAGTTGTTGAAAGAATAGAGGCAGCAGTTTCAGGGCAACGGCATACAGATTGGACCTATGAGAGCCTAACTAGGCTTTTTGCTCTAGAACTAGACAAAGTTAAGAGTAAACGAAAGGGGAAGCAAGGACATAGACCAAAAAGTTGGTGGGACAAAGAAGTGAAGCAAGCGATACAAAAACGTCAGGAAGCCTCTAGAGAACACAGGTATTCCAAGCGTAGTGGGGAGTCCGAAACGGAAGTAAAAAGAAAATGGGACAATTTTATAACATGTCGCCGAGAGGCATCCAGTTTGATCAATGCGAAAATTCAGAGAAAGGGTGAGGAATGGATGAGTAATGTAAGTAAGAAAGATAGAAACGCTGCCAAGAAGTTTTGGGAGCACTTGAACTCACTCGGTGAAACAACGCAAGCTAGACAGAGGTTCATACTCTCGCATCAGGGAGATCAATTAGAGGGAGATGATGCGATACAATATATAGGAGCAGTGATGGAGGAGAAATTTCGGGAACGGTTACATGTGGAAGATAGGAGAACCGAAGGAAGTAGCAGTCCAGTTTGTGACATCGCGGATTTTGGACAAAGAGAATGGGAAAAGGCGGAACGAAGAGTCCCTAGTGGCACATCGACAGGCACAGATGGTATCCCTATCAAGCTGGTGAAGAATTTGGGTCCTAAATCTAAGGCAAAACTAAGGGAGGTAGTGAGTACCATGATAACAAAAGGAAATATTCCAGATGAATGGAGGCTTAGTAGGATGAGTATGATATATAAGGGAAAGGGAAATAAGTCTGATATTAGGAATTATCGTCCTATAACCGTGACACCGGTTATTTACAGGTTGGTAGTGCAGATTATAAAGAACAGACTGGAGGAATGGGTAGATTGCGAGGGCATACTGGGCGAGTTACAAAACGGGTTTCGAAAACAAAGAAGGTTGGAGGACAATTTATTTTCTCTAACACAGTGTATAGAAATAGCGCAAAAAAAAAAACAGACAGCTCTGGCTGGCATTTCTGGATATCAAGGGTGCCTATGACAATGTGAACCAAAGAAACCTGTGGGACATAATGGAGAACTTAAACCTAGATGAAGGACTAACAGCACTATTAAGGAACATTTACAAAGATAACAAGGTGATTATAACATGGGAAGGAAAGGCGACAGGGAAAATAGAGATAAGACGAGGCCTTAGGCAGGGGTGCCCGTTATCGCCTTTGCTGTTTATGTTGTATCTGAGAGGATTGGAGGATAGACTAGAGAAGAGTGGGCTTGGGTTCAACCTTTCTTACAGTAAGCTAGGCCAAAAAATTCAGCAATCCTTACCGGGATTGATGTATGCGGATGATATTGTACTAATGGCTAACAACAGGACAGAGTTGCAGGAATTAATGAGCATCTGTGGTAGGGAAGGAGAGGAATTAGGTTTAGAATTCAGTAGCGAAAAATCGGCAGTCATGATTTTTAACGAGGATGAAGTTGAGAGGCTGAAGATACAGAATATTACAGTTGAGAGAGCTAGTAAATACAAGTATCTAGGAGTATGGATATGTGATGGTGCAGAATATCTCAGAGACCATGAAAAGTATATAGTAGGTAAGGGCAACAGAAATGCAGCTGTAATGAAAAATAGAGCACTTTGGAATTACAACAGGTATGAGGTGGTGAGAGAGATTTGGAAAGGGGTCATGGTGCCTGGCTTGACTTTTGGAAACGCAGTGCTATGCATGAAATCCGAAGTGCATGCGAGACTAGAAATAAAACAGCGCGGAGTAGGTAGACTGGTTTTGGGGGCACATTGCAAAACGCCAAACCAGGGAGTACAAGGAGACATGGGATGGGCATCATTTGAGAGCAGGGAAGCGGTGAGCAAGGTAGAATTTGAGGATAGGTTGAGGCAAATGGACGGGGAGCAATGGGCACGAAAGGTTTTCAGCTATTTATACATGAGGAGTGTAGACACAAAGTGGAGACAGCGCACTAGGAAATTAAGAGGAAAGTTTTTGGGCTATAGCGAAGATACGGAAGAGCAAGTCTCAGTTAAGAAGAAAGTTAAGGCCACAGAAAGAGATCAGTGGCTAGAGGGAATGCAGACAAAGACGGCTCTGGAAAGCTATAGATTAAACAAAAGAGTTATTGCCAAAGAAAGCATTTATGACAATTCTAGGGGAAGCTCATTGCTGTTTGAGGCAAGAACGGGTGTTCTGCGCACCAGAACATACAGAGTGAAGTACCAGGAAATGGATACAGTGTGCACTGCTTGTGGAGAGGAGGACGAGACGGCTGAGCACTTGATACTCTACTGTAAAGGGCTTCACCCTATGCCTACCGAAGACAACATAGATTTAATAAAGTCATTGGGTTTTAGAGACAGCGAAGGGAGAGTGGATTTCAAGACTGTAGAGATTACCAAGCAAAGATTAAGTGAATGGTGGCAGAAATCGAGAGAAAACTAGGTATTTTCTTGTTCACTGATGGCAAGGGGGTTTCATAGCCTCACTTTCTTTGCACTGCGGAGTGAATATAGATTTCACATTTAAATATTCTAAGCTTAAATGGTAAAACAAAATGGCTAGGTGGCGTAAGCTATCGCCCGATCCAAAGGGCTCAGCCGTATTCATCCATCCATCCATCCATCGCGCTATTCATTCGCACATCCATCCATCCATTGCCTTAATGCCTTAATGGATGGGTGGACGGGTTTTGTGCTGGTTTTGTGTTGCCCGAGGAGGGATGATCATGCGATTAAACGCGTGGAGTAGGAAGTAATGCAAAGAGACAATATTTGTTTAGAATACACACAGAGACGATCCGTATTGTAGTTTCTGCCTATTTAAAGGTGAATAGCCATCCAAATGTCATCACCAGGTCTCTGGCACGGCGCGAGCCGCGCCAGTCCGTCCTTCATTTTCGATCTCGTTTTCTGCTGAGTGAGTACATGAGTACGGCATCCGTCCTGATTTTACCCAAGTGAAATGAAGAATGGTTTTCTGTTGTGCTGTTGGATGCTCAAACAGCAGCCGCAAGGGGTTTCGTTTATTTTTAATACCGAAAGAAATCAAACGCAGGGAACTATGGTTAGCAAAAATCAGACGAGACAAGTGGACGCCGACGTCTGGCTCGCGACTTTGCGAGGTAATGATTGATTTACTTTAGATTGCGGCTTTATGATGTTCTGTTTTATGTGCTGGGAACTTACAAGCAATTGTCAGTGCCTTCCGTCAATGCCTGCCTGCGTATAGCTTGTAGAACGGGACGCGGAGAAATGCAACAGAAAAGGGTTGCTTTGCATCAGTGTCTGGTAACTAAGTTATATTTTAATGCGAACTAAATAAAATTTGTTATACATTTTAGTTATTAATCATCCCTTGCAAACTATTTAAACTCTGCATCTATGGTATCATACCAACATGACCGCTGAAAATAGTGTTGGTCATCTGTAATCAAAAACTACGCAATTCGCCCCCTCCCACCTCTCCCTTCTGTTCCCATCCTATTTTAATGCTATACTTCAATCAAACAGCATCCAAAGTGCAAGTCGCTGGGTCTTCCCTGTGCATGATTGGCACTGATGTTAAAACATACAGAAACATGATGGCATGCTTGTGCGCTTTTGACGCTGTTTGATTGGTCCCATCAATTCGTTGTGTCGTTAGCTTCATTGGCTGTTATAGACAGGTATTATAGGTAATGTTTTTTTTCTAGGCACACTTTGAGGAATCTGCATTTGAGCTAAACCGCTTAGATGGTTGGAAAAAGCTGAAACAAACTGCCATCCCAACCATCTTTCCGACTGTTCAAGTCAAGGAGGAGGCTCCAAAGGTGAGCAAGCAATACTTTAAACTACACCACGATTTTCATGTGATGCAGATTCGTGCACCCTCTTCCGAGGGTGCAAGAACTCCAGAGCCATCTGCACCAAACTTCCTTGAGGAGAAAAACAATGTAAGCATGGTGTTCGTTGAGTCAATGGGCTCATCAGTCATTTATCATGATAGTGCATCTTGTCTTTCATTGTTTGGAGTCACGAGCGGTGATTGGGAAAACGATTTATGTGCTTGTGTTCGTATAAAAGGGTAACAACTGTGATGTTGAGCAGGCTATAATAGCATTCAGCCTTTCAACTAGACACACCGAGTCACTACATTTCTTGCCAGGTTTAAAACACTGCAGATTGGAGGCTGTCACTTTAAACTTATTCAAAGAGATGTTCCTTTCTCCACAATATTAGTTTTTTAGTCGCACCACAGACAAGAAAAACTGATTCACTGGACCTGAATCGTGGGATCGTGCCACATATAGCCTCCAACAATCTGAAGTGCATGGATTCTTAAATTTACATCAAGGAGAATGCATTTTGGGTCCCAAATAAACATTATTGATATTAGAGAAGGTTATTATGTTGAGTAACTCAAAGCAAATGATTGCTGTGCATCTATTGACATTCAGTGACCATAGCAGATGGACTGTATTGTGCTTAAAAAGACAGTAGGGTGGCGAGATCGGGCGCATATTTGGGCTCTTTTGCCGTGGTTTTCCATGGGCAGAACGTGAACAAAAAGAGTTTGAAATAAAGGCTTAACGCAGATGGCTGATTTCCTACAGCGCCTAACATTTTGACCAGCCTTATATGAAGAGTATGTTTTTAGCTCGCAATTTGAACAAAGCTTTTGTACTGCAACAGGTTGCTAAGCAACCAATGTGCCCTATAGTTAGGATTTCGTGTTTTCTGAGTTTATTTTTCTTGAAATTTGGAGGCTGTTTTTCTGAATTTATTTTTTGTTGGAAATTTGGGGTTTATTGGAGTTTATTTTTGATAGATTCCCAATTGTCTGAAATTCGGAGTTAAAACTAATTTTACTCTGGTCTTATTTTTTTAATAAAAATAAATGATGTCCAGACAAAAACATATATTAAATTCATAAAAAGAATCACCGGTATCGAAATATATTTCTGCAGCTGCATTTGACATTTGTGCCCTTGCGATTGGCAGTGCTAACTGTCCCACGACAAATCTTAAAAACAAGTATTGCTTCAATAGACGTCGGTACTTTGAAATAGCCAAACTACCGGACGCATTTAACCTTCTGCTGCCCTCCTTGCCCTATGAAACCAACAGGTTCACATCATGGTTGTAAAAGCACAACCCCTCCTTTCTTCAAGAAGCACAAATAGTGTGGTCCAGACTGGCGTCTAGAACAGTGGCTTTTTTTCGTGGACCGTGTTCCAGAAGTGCTTTGGCCTATATTGTACTGAACGAACCTTGACGGGATAAACAAGAAACTCCTTTTTGTCAATAGTTAAAAAAAACAAAAAAACTGAAGTCGCTTTTTTTTTTTGGAACCACGAGCCCTGTGCTCTGATTAACTTTATTTTTGGATTACTATCTTTTCGGTTTTTTTACTTTGCCGCCGTGGAAATTAAATCCTGAGTTTTTCGGACAAATCCGAATTGTGGGAAATTTTACCGGCGAGTGTTTCTCTGAGTTCATCGCATTTACCTGAAGACATGGAACCCTACCTATAATATAGGGTTTTCGATCCGTAAAAAAATACTGTTTGCGTGGAAAATCAAGTGCTATTTGAGAATAAAAAAGATTTATAAAAAAAAAAAAAAAATTTAACCGAGTGCAACAAATTTTTTTACAGAGGTGTCTTTAGGTAGTGCATTTTATGAGTGTATGTTTCAGGAAAACTAAACACAGATGGCACAACATAAAGCAAAAACGTGAAAGTTGCTTTGAGATTAATACCCAAATGCAGTTCCAGCAGATCAGGGTGTGTGTGCTACCATCTGTTAGTGGCAGTGTCGACCGGATGGGTTTGGCCATTTTCCTCCTGGTGCATAGGAAAAAAATAGTTTTTTTTTAGAATCTGCACTGTAAAAGTTTAAGTATTTTAAATGCACTAGCTAAAGACATCTTTGAGAGAAGTTTCGTTGCACTCTGCTCATTGGCTTAATTATTCGAGTTTCTTTTCTTTTTTTTATGCTTGTATGGAACTTGGAAACACCCGGTATATTTTGTTTTTTTCCTAGGTGCCGCTGTTGCAGATGAGAACTCGGGCCACGCAAGTATACTTTCGCTCTGTGTTTACGCAGACAAATTCATCCGCTCGGTCAATTGGTACGTACACTACTCATCAATGAATCATTCAAAGTACTACTTGGAGCTGGGCAACAGGGTGCGAAGTTGAAATGTCGTACATCATTTTACAGGTGTCCAGGTGAATTTGGAACTCTTGGACTCGCAGGATACAACGTGACTCGTCTGCTTCAGGTTTCATACCAACTTTATGGTGTCTGGTCTCACCTGCCACATCTACAAAAGTTTGTCACTTCAATCACTCAGCTTCATCTCCTGATACAGCCCGCCTCAAGAGCTCCGAGTCTGTCAGCACGCGTGGTGCCAAAGTGATGACCCAACGCATGAATTTGACAATTTTGAAATACATGTCCAGGTCGATATGCACCACATGGAGGTCCCACATGTTTGGCTGACTGGGTGTTAATAGAGAGGGTAGTTGTTTGTGCTGGCCTGAACCTAAACAGGTCCGATTCATGGAATTTTCACACACTGAGAAGGTGGCATGATGCTGTTTTAGGGCATTCTTTCGAATAAAGTAAACACAGGTTCACTTGAGAAGATGTATGCCTGCCCTCCTCTTCTTTTTTTTTGTTGTAATTTATCTTTTCGTGATAGATATCTGCCTGCTCTCGTTTCCCAAGAAGGAAAATGTCAGACCTCCAGCTCCACTTACCGAACTCTGCAAGCATGCAAGTATACATTGCCGTCAATGGCTGTGAACAATGTTCTTAGTGAATTAAGTTAACCCATTGTGGTCATGAACAGATTCTAAATAACGCCTTTTTTGTTTGGACCACCTGAACACAGCTGCTGTTAAAGCACCAGTGAAGGCATTCACTTGTCGCTTTCCATCATGCTTTGACTAGGCATATGCTGAAGTGTTGCCAAACGTATAAAGTTAGTGCTAGAGATGGAGCTTACTGCAGGTCTTACGGCAGTATCATGCATTTTCTGCAAAATCTTGAATGGCTTGCATTCAGATTACTTCTGTTGGCAACCATTTAACCCTTAAGAAGCTCCATCCCAAAGTCTTAACCGTGTGCCCCAGGGGGTCTGGTGTTAGGTGATGCCGACAAGGGTCGACTAGAGGGAAATTGGTGACTTTCTCGCTGGCAAGGCGGAGGCAAGGGTGGGGGGGGATGTTTTTATTTTTTTTTTCACGATCCTCCAAAGGTTTGCCTGGTGATCATCTTCATGGCCTGGTGATATTTACAGAAATGTATTGGCTTGGAAGGGGAAATCAGGTTTTTGTTACTGCTTTGCCACAACTGCTTCATTCATATGCTCCTTAGATAGATAGATAGCAACTTTATTTAAAAGCTGGTGGAATTGAGTCACCTGCCTCGGTCCCGGCAGCCGCTGAAAGCCTTGTTAATGTGGGCTGCCAGTTCCCGTCGTTGTTGGAGGCTGACTGAAAAAGCCAGCCACTCCTGGGTGTTATGGTATGGTTGTGCTGGGTTATGGGGGCGGTCCCACAGAAGGTGTTCCTGGTCGGATGGGTTTAGGCAGTGTAAGCGGAGAGGTAGACGGGTGTCTAAGGTGCGGCGGATTAAGTGGAGTCGAGTGGGTGTGTGAAGTGTGTATGTTTGGGCCTGTCGAATAACCGTTTGCTCACGACGAGTAAGGTGCGGGTAAGGAAGAGGGAAAGCACAACGCGAGGCAAGTAGGTCGGCTAGAGTAGGGAGAGGAAGAGGAGGATCGGCGGGGACTTGGATGAGCGTTTTGCGGGCCAACTGATGAGCGTGTTCATTCCCAGCAATGCCAAAGTGACCAGGTATCCAGTGTATGTGAAAAGGTCTTCTGACATTGCTAAGGAGGGGAAGTGCAGAGGGGAATACGAGGCCCTGAGCGGAGGCGAGAGCATGCCGACTGCGTGTGCATGTGGATGTGGGAAGAGTTGTGAGCTGCAGCAAGTGTGACGGCGAGAAGTTCTGCTTCGACCGAGGAGGCGCAGGGCTGCGTAATAGAACGGTCAGTGCCATGTGAAATGGTGAAAGCAAGTGCACCAAGGTTATCTTGAAAGGCTGCATCGGTGAACACGTGACAGTTGTCGGATTCTCGGGCAATCTTCTTGGTGTAGTATGCAGCACGAAGGAGACGGCGGGTGGGATTTTGCTCCCTGCCCTCCAACATTATTCAGTCTCGCCATGCGCAGTATCCACCGGGCCCTCCAACCTCTCCCGGACATCCAGTGCTCTCTTTATGCTGATGATGTCGCTATCTGGAACAAGAGACTCTTCAGGCTGCCCTCGAGGCTGTCGATCAAGCAGCCCATACTATTTGCCTTGCTTGCTCGGTTGAAAAAACCTCCCTGCTCCTCATCCACTCCTGCTACTGGCACCCTCCTCAAGTCACCCTTCAGCATCACACCCATACCATTCGCTCACAGAAGACCCCCAAAGTTTTGGGCCTTTATTCGCGACTCCAGCGACCTATAGGGGGCGCCACCACCAAACAAACATGGCGGCTGGGTCCAGGTCACGTTGGCTCGGCCGGGCCGCCTGAATGGGTAGCGCATTCAATTTAAGAGATTTTCTTTTGTTTAATGCCCAATTTTATGAGTATTTGAACTGAGACGGTTAAGTGTAGCCGGTGCGCATAAACTTGCCAAGCATAGTTTTGTTTTGCCTTTTTTTTTTTTTTTTTTTGTTCTTTTCATGTCAAACTTTCATTTCGGAGACTTCGTTCAAAACCGAAACTATGGGCTCCGGAAAAACGGTAATAGACTCTGATTAGTTTTGATCACCTAAGGAAAGCGGCGAGGGCTACAAAATTGTTCCACCGAGAGTAATTTTTAGCTAACTCACATGCCTCGACCATGCGACTTATCTGTCCGCGAAATTGAGATTTTGTGCATGTCCGCGTTTCAAGAAACAGCTCCAGTCGTGTGCTCGGTCAAGAACACAGGCTGCAGGAAAATTACGAAAATTAAGCAAGCGCTTCTTGAGCCTAGGAGCATGTTAACCCGCTGGCGCTTCACTAAGCAGCTGATACTCGTATTTCAATTCAGGGTTTAGCAGCAATCGAGGTCATTGTGACGAATTTGCGGATTATGTATTATATTACGTACTATGTCCCACTAAAGCGATATTAATATATTCTTCGGGTTGAAATATGAACCTAGTTGACTAACTATTAGGTGAACTGCTGAATAAAAGTATATTTGACAGGCAGAGAGATACTAGTTAAACTTAGCCAGATGGTTCTAGCCGGTAGAACGGAGACGAATGCGGAAAAACTGAGGAGAGTCTTCATCGGAGATTCACTCAGACCTCTCTGCATTGAACTTGACTTCAAATCCTGAACGGATAAAATGAGTTTTTTTTTTTTTTTTTTTGTCCGGTCAACCTGAGCGATGTAGACGTATATTGCTGCTGGCTTCGACAGGGGTTACAATATAAATATTGGAGGGCACGTTAGGTCCTAATGACGTGATAGCTTCTAACTTTGCGAGACGCGTTCCCCACCTTTTGAAAGCAGATAACTTCCCTCATTAACCATATGCAGCGAGCAGGTTTTCTGAATCAAGTAATTGCGAAATTAGCCCAACTCTTTCAGTGTGGTCTTTTTCGGCGAAAAGCAGCCAAGGTGAATAGCCAACGCACCGGCCGGCGTTAGTGGCTCAAATTAACTTGAAGCTAATCGAGCACAACCAAACTCAAGGGAAGCAGCTATCGAACCTTCCCACTCACTTGACTGCAACTTTGGTGTTCCCTTCAGTGCAACACTTTGTCTGCCGACCTCAGTCCACTGTTCTACATCCTTATAAAAAAACCACTTATCAGTTACCAAGCAGTCGTCACTTTGAATGTGATTCGAGACAGACAAGAAATCAAAACGTTTTTCCGTGATTCCTCCCCATCCAAAAAATTTAAAGCACGCAACCGTGTGTTGAGTAAACGGGCTTTCAAACACGTGATAGAAACAATCTACTGAGGCTTCACCACACTAATGAACACTGAGGCAAACTTAAGAAATTTTCGGACCTTCATCAAATTGCATTGCTCGCCCCCGCGCCGACAGGGCGACAGCACGTGTCCGCGAAAGCCACCAGAGACGCGGCGGGGCGCGGAGCGACCTGGACCGACTGGTTCCCTGTTTTCCCGCTTGGCGGCGTCCGTTTTGCTGGAGTCGCGAATATACAACCTGATGGGGGAGGCGCCATTGCAATACAGCTCATTCTCCGCCAAGCTGAACCCAGCCTTAACATGATGTGCGGCGTAGCCACACGCACTAGGGACTTGAAAGAATGAGACCTGCTCATACTTCGCGACGCCTTCATCATCTCCCACATTCGCTATCAAGCTCCATATATATAGATCCCTCACACATACTTCGGAAGGCAAAATTGACACCATTCTTTGTAAGGCGACTAAGATCACCCTGGGTCCGCCATCACCATCAGTGCCAGTCATGACTTGTCCAACTAGGTGTTCTACCCACTGTCTCCAACATCAGCGACATTCATCGGGTCCATCAACATCAATGCCTCGCTAACTCCAACAGGTCGCTTCATCTTGCACGAGCTACGGTACACACCCTACTTACCCCGGCCTCAACCTACTCCCCTCGTCAACGGGATTCTCTAACATGTCACCGTAGAACCAATTCCTCGCCACATATGCTCCTAACATATACATTCTATCTGCTCCCATCTAAAGATTTATGCAGCTGTTGAGCCATTATGCCTGATCAGTCCAGGCTTTTCTCAAGGTCGTAACTCCCTGGGATGAATCGTGATCGGTGGGCAAGTTTGTAGGAGCTCTTCCGTATGGTGCGCTCTCTTGTTAATTTTCGGTAGTGAAATGCTGAGGTTAGCGTTACAGGGGAGCAGTAGAATAATGATATTAGCGGAAAAGAGCTGGACAAGAATTATGATAATAAGTCCTGGAGAAAGGGGACAAAGGACACACACGAATCTCCAAACACGGCTAGGTGACTGGTCCACGATCGAAAAAAATCCGCCTGGTTCTGGTATTGAAGGACCTCTCCATTTCCAGTGGAGCGCTCTACCGAGCTAACTAGGAGCGTGGCCAGGATTTAGACGTCAGCAGAGCAAACGGGTTTCAACAGCTGCCACCAGTCTTAAACCAACAAGGGTGAAGGGCCTGCACTTTAAGGTTATGATGATACTGCAAGTAATGCAAAGGTGCAAGCGAGCTGGTCAAGAATGTACGATAATTGTCGAGTTTCCTTGGTTGGGGTGCCCATTACAAAAGTGAAATGAGCGACCATCCAGTCCAGGCTCCCAGGCAGAAAAACGTCTTTATCTCGTGAGTTCCTTTTGAGCTGTCCGCACGTGTCTCGTGCCAGGTACGTCGCACGTGGGTCAATCAACAATCGCCACAATAATAAGAAATTTGGTTATTACTTTCCAAAGTGCATCGTCATTTTAATTTATTTAGTTGCATCCGAACACTTTTTAATCAGGGTGATCGTCACCGAGAGAGAGTCGCAGGTACGGTTTAGAAATATTTAGAAATTAAAGGTCCGTCGGGGTCAGTAGCACACGGCCAAAGTGCACACAAGCAGCGCTAAATAGTTAGTAGGTGACGCAAGCTACCGCCCAATTTATATGTCGAGTGATTATTTACTCTATATAGCTGAAGTGCTTTTCTCACTGTTTAATATTTTAAATCGCGTGTCTGAATAGTTAGATTTTCGGTAAGGCGTTGCTTTGAACGTTATTCATTACAGAATAAAAGCGAAATCAAAAACGCGAAACTCTGCGCCTCTTGTTTTCTGAAATTTCAAATACATAATGATCAAACTAATATGCCTACTTTTTAAATATCCCTTAACTAACAAGCCGTTTTTAGATGATAGAGAGGTTTGAATACAGTTTGCTTAAAATGTTTCAGTCGTGATCCCCATTGGCCTTTGTAGTTAGTGACCAGGTGGCGCCTCCTAACGTCTAGATTGAAAAGGGGCGCTGTTGCTCTTATCTCTCTTCCCGTCGTTTAAAACCTGTAGGTTTGGCAGGTTTTTGTCCTTTTCCGTCGCCGAGCAAGATGGCAGCAGGTACCCTGTACACGTGGAGGGACAATTTCCGGGCCCACAAGATCCTAATCGCGGCCGAATACAGCAAATTCAAGCTCGAGGTATGCGACGACGCCCCCGGCTTCGTGTTCGGGGCCACCAACCAGTCTGCCGCCTTCCTGAAGAAGTTCCCGCTGGGCAAGGTGCCGGCATTCGAGACCAGCGATGGCTCCACGACTCGCACCATTACCGAAAGTAACGCCATCGCCTTCTACGTCGCCAACGGTCAACTGCGGGGCGGCTCGCCCATCGAACAGGCCCAGGTGATCCAGTTCCTCAGTTTCGCCGACAGCGAGATTTTGCCGCCCGCCTGCACGTGGGTTTTCCCGTGCCTGGGCGCCATGCAGTTCAACAAGCAGGCCAACGAGCGCGCCAAGGAAGACGTCAAGAAAATCCTGACCTACCTGAACGGCCATCTGCTCACCAGGACCTACCTGGTCGGTGAGCGCGTGACCCTAGCTGACATCGCCGTCTTCACCGCGCTGCTGCCGCTTTACAAGCTGGTCCTTGAACCCAGCTTCCGGGCGCCCTACGTCAACCTGAACCGTTGGTTCGACACCCTCGCCCACCAGCCCGAGTTCAACAAGGTCCTGGGTGACGTAAAGCTCTGCGACAAGATGGCGCAGTTCGACGCCAACCTGTATGCCCAGGTGCAGGGCAAGACCAAGGAAGGAGCGGGCGCCAAGAAGGCGGACAAAGAACCTAAGAAGGAGGCAGCGAAGCCTAAGAAGCCTGCCAAAGAGCCCGAACCCGAGGACGACGACCTCGAGCCCGCGGTCGCCGAGCCCCCCAAGAAGGACCCTTTCGAGGCATTCCCCAAGGGTACTTTCAACATGGACGACTTCAAGCGATGCTACTCGAACGAGAGCGAAGCGGTCTCGGTGCCCTACTTCTGGGAGAAGTTTGACAAGGAAAACTACACCATCTGGTACTGCGAGTACAAGTATCCCGACGAGCTGACACAGGTGTTCATGAGCTGCAACCTCATCTCAGGCATGTTCCAGCGGCTGGACAAGATGCGCAAGCACGCCTTTGCCAGCATGATCCTCTTTGGTGAGGATAACAACAGCTCCATCTCTGGCATCTGGGTCTGGAGGGGCCATGAGCTGGCCTTCACGCTGTCAGAGGACTGGCAGATTGACTACGAGTCATACGAGTGGAAAAAGCTGGACCCCAACGCGCCTGAGACCAAGACCCTGGTCGACGAGTACTTCAAGTGGGACGGCAACTTCGGAGGCAAGAAGTTCAACCAGGGCAAGATCTTCAAGTGAAGAGGGTCGACCCATGCTGGCTTTTGTCCCAGGCGGCCACAAGTTTGAAACAATGGTTTTTTTATATTGTGTTCTGGCATGGCCCTCTTCATTTTTGTCTAATAAAAGTGGGGCAACTACGAGCTGCATTAAGGGGTCCCTTAAGCCACTTGAAAGCAGTCTTCCCAAAGCAGTTGTAACTACAAAGTTGGATGGTGCGAAGTTGTTCAGCCCCGCTGAGGCATCGGCTGTCTTCTGTAGGATGCTTGACTTAAAGGGGTACTCCGGCGATTTTTTTGAGCTACCTCAACTAACTATATTTTCTGACTTCCCAGCCTTTACCCTTTCCGGTATACTATTTAGTATCGCGAAATTCATAATAGTTATTGCGAAATCGGCAAATGAAAATGATGCAAAAACCAACATTCAAATATACCCGCACTTTTCAGTGCCGTGACGTCGGTGGAAGACAAGCTTGCCAGTCGAGCGAGCAGTCTATAAAATAGAAATGCCAATCATTTGTTCCATGCTGGAGCGTGGGGACTGGAGCGAGCTTCCAAAGCATTCATTTGACACCATGAAACTGCTTCGAATCAGTTGGGAACAAATTCTACAGTCCAAAGAGTGAACCCCTGCACTTCCACTGACGTCACTTTTTTTGTTGTTGCCAGTAGAGACTTTCAGTTTGAAAAACGCGGTGAGGACCAAAATTGTAAATTCAATAACTTCGTGAAAAATATTTTGACCTAATATTTGGGATACTATTTTGGCGAGTTTAGCAAATGTTAAGCCATGAAGAAATCGCCGGAGTACCCCTTTAAGGCTGTTCGCATATTTGTGTGTTCCATCCAGAGCAACCAAAATGATTGGGATAGTCGTCACTCACACTTGCTTCATGAAGCTACTTTTTTGCGTAGCTTTGCTCGTGTATTGTGTCGTCGTTTCGGCTGCTCTGAATGCAAGCAATGCAACTGTTTGAACCTGGCTTTATAGATAGTGCAGTAAAACTGCTAGTTGGAAGCTTTGCATGTGCATCACACAGTAGTGATGCACGACCATGAGCTGGTTTGATGCCCGTCTAGATCGAAACAGAAAAGGGTGGGAATTGAACTTAAATGCAATCTTTTGTGCCACATGTTCAAAGTTGTGCGTGAATGTGTTTGGCCGCCGATCCCCCTAATATCTAATCGCAGCTCCATCAATTTGCATCATATATTTTGCACAACTCGGGGGAGTTAACCTAGGCTTCCTCACAAGAGCCCATAAAAAATGTGGAAATAATTGGCAGACACTTAAGACTGCCAACATGTAAGAATGCGAAAGCATTCCTACATGCAGCATATCCCTAAAATCAGTGCACCAAGTCTTCCTCTTTCATACGGCGCTCCGGCGGCGATATCGTGCTCTCCTACTGCGTAGGCACGGTGAACCTTGCCGTCTCCACAGCTTCCGGGACGATGCATCTGCGTTGCTGTGCTTTCCTTTTGCGTTTTATTTCTGAGATGCATCTGCTTGACCTTGAGTGCCCCGCCAGCTTTCGTGACGAAGCATCTGCGTTGCCGTGCTTCTGGCCAGTGGGAATTTAGGTGCCGTTTTTCGCTGCTACAGGCAACAGCACCGGCTTCTCTCCGTCAGACAGTTAATGCCAAAAATTGCAAATTGTTGTGTGCATGTTTATACAACCAGAAGTTAGTCTGCCTCGGAGGGCATCTGGTGTCTCAGCTGCAGATGAGCAGTTTAGTCGGTGTGGTGAAACTGCTAGGCTGGGGTCTTTAACGTGCACCACGCAGTAGTAATGCACGACTGCATGCTGGTACGATGCTCATCCAGATCGAAACGGGCTGGGGTGGGGACTGATCCCTGGGTTCTACAGTGCGAGCTTTTGCTCCACGTGCTACGAGCTGGTGTGTGCTAGCCCACTCGGCCACCGATCCCCCAAGCAGTTAATGCTTTTGCATTAGAACGACAGCGTGGCAACAATTTTGCAGCATGGCTTTTGTCCAAAGGTCCAGGCACGAACGACCTTTGGCAGGCCACAGAGCAATGTAGCTCTTGCAATATTTAAAGCTTCAAAAAGGTGCACTTGGGAGGAAGGGTTTTTAGCAAAAAGAAAGACGTTATGCAAGGGACAGTAAAGTTTTATCACTCTGGAAACGCAGATTGACTTGTTACCATAGTTGCTGATAGGATGACAATGGCACAAAGGACTTATCCCGGCTTTGGTGCAAGCTCCCTACCTTTGATGATGCATCGGCACTTCACCAACTTGTAGCGTGCGTGTGCAGCCGAAGTGTGACGAAAGGCAGCGAGTGCATTCTGGAAGCTGGGCGTCCAAAGGATGCTCTGCTGTTCTCGTCCTGTTGGTGGCTACCTTTTTTAGTGGTGCTGCATATACAGGGTGTTCCAAACAAAGATTTACAGGGTTTTCTTCACCGCAAAAATAAACCATGCATCGCCAACACTCATTCTCCGTCCAAAAGTAGCGCTAGGGGTCTGAACTAGATTCCAAAGTTTTAGCCCGAACCGACATCTTATTAAAAAGTTACAAGTGATTTTCTGCAAATTGCAATGGGAAAAGGGCGGCCGACGGAGCTCTATGGCACCAGAAACGAAAACGGCCGAGAATGGCCCCCCTTTTCCCAATGCAATTTTCACAAAATCACTTATAAGTTTTGAATAAGATATCGGTTTGAGCTGAAACTTTGGCATCTGGTTTGGACCTCTAGTGCTACCTTTGGCCAAAGATGAGGGTGAAGCGATGCATAGTTTTTTCGCACTGAAAAAAAAAACCTTGTAAATTTTTTGTGACACCCTGTACATCTGACTCCATCGTGGTTCCTCTACCACTTTAAATTTAATAGCTTGCTCAAACCACCGGGACTCGCCTTTTTGCAGGTATTTTGTTGAAATTGGGCTCTTCTGCAGTTTTTCGGAATCTAATGGCTCGGCCAAATATTACAAGAAAAATGCTTGGGAAGGTCTTCCCAGCAACGTCGTGTTGCCAAGTCCAGCAGCTGAGTAAATATAGTTTACAAGGGATGCAGAAAAACAAAATAAATCGAAGGCTTGTGCTTTATCTCGGGTAGAGCCAGTGTTTCGTTTCAGTTGGATTCAGACAAACTGCTACTTTAATTTCTGTCGAACCCACAGCTTTGTGCGCCACTCGATAGAGAAAGCATCTTGTGTCTAGTTGCAGCATACTTGCAGTGACAGATTTGGACTGTTACATTGCAAAAAAAAAGAAAGAAAAGAGGGGTCTCTGTTGAACCCTCTATTTAAGAAAGGTCCAACGTTTAGGCTGCTTCTCTGTAAATGCTCTCTCCAACCCAAGGAATTTAAAAAAGGATTAACAAACAATCCACAGATCCTAGTTAAATTTACCACCCTCTCTATTTTAGCAAAAACAAAATGAAAGGAACAGACATTCATATTATTGTGCAAACAAGTCAACCAATATTAATTCCTTTTGCGTATGAGAGCGAAAGTACGAAAAAGGAGTCTCCACGCATCGGGAAGGAAGCGCAAAAACAAGGGGTCACATGTGCGACGAAGCTCCACCTTAGCCGACGCTATTGTCTTCGGTGAGTAGCAAACATCTCGGTCACAAGTTCTTCGTTTTTTGTAGTGAATCTGGTAGTTTTTGGTCAACAAAAGCAATATAGTACTCTTTAAACTACAGTAAAACCTCGTTATAACAAAATGGGATATAACTAGGGTGTGCACTTTCCGGTTTTAACCGAAAAACACCGATAAACGTCCGTCGGTGACGAAAATATAAAATCGGTTAAAACCGAAAAACACCGGTGGTTGGATATTTTCGCCCTGGTTAAAACCGAAAAACACCGGTCGTTGCTACTTTCCGACCTAGCGAAACCCTTTCCCCGTAGAGGTTCGTCAAACGTGTTATCTCGTGGATCCTGCATTCTTCCAGTGTTTATACATGGCTTGCAGGTGGCGTCAGTCCGCCCTCCTTTCTGGGGGTCAAAAGCGTCTAGTGAACGCAGTGAACGCTAAGCTCTCATACGCCTTTCCCCTATTGTGTCTCCCATGGCCCCCTTTTGTGGAAAAATTAACGCAGTGGAGGGTACGCTCTCACGTGCCTTTTCCTCATTGTGTCTGGCCAAGTGATGTCGGTGCAAGCCATGTATTCAGAGGTTGCTGTGGTTCCTGGAAGACACTGCCAACGTCCGTGTCGTACAGGAGCGTGCGTTTTCATAATTGCGGGTTGCGAACCGCAAGGAACGTGCATGGTGCCATGAAGGCAGCACGTTCCTTGCGTGTAGATGCAAGCATAAAAGTATGCTTGCATCTACTATAATAACCAAGTGTTAGAAATAGTTGCTTCCTAGAGAAGAAGTGTATGAACTATGTGAATAAAATTGGAACTCTTTCTGTGATCAATCGCTTTTTTTTCACCGATATTCACCGATTTTAGCCTCGTCGTGAGACGTTCCACCGAAATACACCGGTGTCTTGAAAATAAATAAACACCGAAAAACATCCGCCGATTTTTCTCACAAATAAACACCGGAAAGTACACACCCTAGATATAACAAACTAATGGATATAGCAAAGCAATCAATTCCCCTTGCTTGCTAATATAGTGGGAAGAAATGGACATTGGCTATAACAAACTAATTGTTATAACGAAATAATTACGACCGCTCCTTCAACTTTGTTATAACGAGGTTTTACTGTAATTCTCCCCTTTCTCAAAGGCCTCATTTGTGAAGAACCGGAGAATTTCCAAGAGACGTAGGAAAGGCAAGGCGGCCATTGCTATTACTAGCAGACAATGCTGAAGCTTGCCACTGCACCCTCTGTGCAAGGAACAGACAAACTTATACATACTTTGATTGGACAGAAGATTGGTTAGACAGAAAGGCAGAAACATTTGTGCCTACTGACTCTGTTCTCCAATCGGAGCCCCTTCATTGTACCAATGTGCAAGGAGCAGAAGAACTTGCTTGCCATAAGTATAGTACATATAAGACTGCAAGTGAGCTGGCAATCTCCTCCCAGCTTTGCATAAATATATATACATGGCTTGCATTGATGTTACATCAGCGGCTATTGTGGTGGCCTTGCTGCTGAGTGCATACCATCTATTGCACATTTCACACCAAGTTACATCAGAATCATTAGACACCCCGAATAACATTGATGTTTATGCCTAACGACTAAAAGACCGCTTACTATGTATATCTCAAAGCTGTTTGTGTGACCTCATCTCTAGTAATGACCTAGAGTGCCTGGGCATAGTTTCATTGTTATGTTTCATTGTTATGAAAGGGACACCCCACAAGTCACCTACACAAGAATGAAGGACAGTTCAGAGGAAATCTCTACATAATTCCTCAACAATAAAACATGGAGCTCTCTCTGGGTTCAATAGGAGTTATGATTTTCAGTTGTGTGATCTGAGGAAAGGTTTATCTTTGCAAACCCATAGTATCTTCTAGAATGGTAAAGGGTCAATGTGATGCAGACAGCATGTTGAATAGGAAGGTAATTACATTAAAAAAAATTTCCTTATTGGGGGTTGGTGGCCAATTGTGTTAACACTCAGCAGCTCCGAGTATGTGGAGCAAAAGCTTGTGCTGCTGAACCCAGGGATCCCGAATTCAATCCCCACCCCTGACCGTTTCAATCCGGATGAGCATCGTACCGATGTGCGGTCGTGTATCGCTACCGCATGATGCACGTTAAAGGCCTGTTCACACACTTTCGTTTGACCCCGACCGACTGAAGCAAGACCGGTTTTTAAGCCTTTTGCGACAACTTACGACCAGCTATATTGTTGTGCAGTTGGTCGTAAGCCGTCCCAAGAGGCTTAAAAGCCGGTCTTGTCTCAGTCGGTCGAAGTCGAATGAAAGTGTTTGAATGGGCTTTCAAGGCCGACCTGCAAAATATTTTTCAACCACGGTGAAAATCCTCCTTGCCACCCTTTTCATTGCCCTTTCTCCCACTCTTAATTAATTTGACGGCGAAGAGGGGGTGGGGGGAATTCCTCTTCTTGATGCATCTTAGAGATGGACGAGCCAGGATGAGTTCCCAGTTTATCCGGCACCAAGATGTAGCAACAAAAGAGCCATCAAGATAGCAGTGGGAGAGGGGGAACTGGGAAGGGTGGTGAGGAGGATTTTCACCCCGGCAGAAAGATATTTTGCAGGTCGGCCTTTAAGAACCCCAAGCTAGCAGCGATACTGCGCGGGATAAATTTCTCATTTACAGTTGTAACACCAGACACATTGAGGCTGACTAAGTTCTGGCTGTCTTAATTCATACATAAAACACAATTATTTATTACTTAATTTCCTTATTGTCATAACAAGTTGCTGTGGTACAATAAAAAGATGCAGAGTTTACTGTAATTTTTATAAGATTCTCAATTACCTCAACCGGTGCAGACTGCAGGAACACAATTGAGCACCAATAAAACTGCCGATCGAAACTGGTGCTAAAGTCCAGCAGCACAAGGACTCAAACATCGTAGAGGTCAATCTCAAAATTTTAGCTCTTAATAGAAACCGAAGAATGAAGGGCTGAATGTGGTCTATGCAGTCAGACCTCAGATTAATAGGAAGGTACTATTAAAAAAAGTGTGAACTAAACTGCAGCCAAAATTTGCTCAGGAAAGAAAGCTTAGAAGCATTCTCAATGCGGTTATTAGAAAAGTTCTTTACTTTCCCAAAACTTTAATGAATGAAGGTGTTTCAATCACTCATCATTAAATTAGTCCCCGCTCACGGCACTCGATCAAAAAGACAAACACGTCGGCTGGCGATTGAGTGCACTTTATTTATACGCTTTCTTCGAAAAGGAATGTCTCTAACAATCCGGGGCTTTCCTTTTTTTCTCCACTCGTAAAGCTTTTTATACAAGATCTGTACAATAGGTAAGAACACTTTTGTCTCTTTGTCCTCGACTCGTCCCCCTGTCGCTTCCGTCGGCCCCGACCACGTGCCAGCAACGGGGAGAGGGAAAAGAGGGTGCCAAGGGGCGGTAGGGAAGTCCAAACACTCACACACACGGGAAAGAAGGAAACGGCAAAGGTGCAGCTTTTCTTCCCAGACGAAAAAAAAAAGAGAAACTAGCTAGCTCGCTTTGCGTCCCACGTCGGAGGGGCTGGGGAGAGGGAGGAATTTTTGTGGGGTTGGGAGAGGGAACCGAGGTGCGGAAGGAGGGTAGCGGTGACCCGCATTGTCGTCCCCCTCTCTCCTCGCTGGTGATTCAGTGCTGGTGACCGTTGGTGTGGTCGTGGCCGCTCTCTGAGCTTCCGAGCTCGGGACTAGACACTCCGTTGGGCACGGGGCCCTGGGAGAACCTCTGGAGGCGCCGCCGGCGCACCTCCGCGTTGGGGTCGTCTCCCTCCTGGCTGTCAACCGCTTCGTGGCTGCGCTGCTTCGCCTCTGCAAGGCGCCCCCGTGCCCGTCAGGTCCCACGAGAACGCCGCTTTCTACGCTTCGTTTCGCCGTTAGCGAGAGCGAAGCCGTAGCTATTGGGGAGGAGATCAAACTGTCGCTCCCCTAGTGACCAAGCTGACAACTTCGAAATGTAAAAATATTGCAGTCACCTGCTTGGGATAAAAGCACACTTCCAAAGCAAAGATGGTACACATCTGAATTGCGGTAAAATTTTCAAAATTATACTGCTAGGCAGGGATATCCGACAACGTACGTTCATCATTGGAAGGATATTTGCATACAGCAATAAGATTTCTAAATCACCTCGACTAGGTATAAGTGTACATCTTTACGGGCTTCATTCTACGTCAAATGCATCGTTTACTTGCCCTCTTAGTAGACACCTGAGGCCACAGTTCATCGATATAGTTAGATTAAAATTAATCTAATTATCTTATTGGGTTGTCCTTATAAACAAGAAAGCAGTAATAAACCTCTTGGTTGAGTTTGCGACTCCTGCATGTATCGTCCCCTTTTCATGTTCGTCAGTCTCGCCTTTTCAAAATGCTACAAGCAGAAGCTTGGGAACAGCCTTGACAATATTCGATTCAAAAATATTTAGCCAAAAATCACGATTCACCCCGAATTTGCTTAAAACTCAAAATTCACCATTTACATGTGTCTAGTAAACACCGAGCTCTGTGAAAAATGAGCGGAACAAAGCACCCCCTATAGTTCAATCTCCCTGCCAATAAGCATGCACGTGTTGAGACAAATGTTTTTGTAAACGCGGGTGCAAGCACGAGGCACAATGCACTTTCAAAGCATGGCACTGTTTCTTACATCTTCTGCTTTGCTTGTACTTGTGACGAAACAGAGCGTAGCCGCATTTCAACCGCTCTTGGATGGCGCGATTCAAACGGTTTGTAGGACACAAGGTTCACTTTGAACTGATCTGAATCGGGCTAGGATACTGTCATTGCAACGCATCGAGATCGAGTCCACTCTATGTTATAAGGGAGGCGTGGCCACAACCGATGCACTTTCGAGGGGAAAGGAAGGTTTGAAACCAACGAAGAGGTCAAGGATAGAGATGACGGTGTAAAGTGACAAAGTGACTAGAGTTTCTATACTAGAAACAATCGGTTTCTAGTTCAGACACAACGATAATCGGCTACAACGATTGAATTTTAGGGTTTTCTCATCATCGTTATAAGTAGGATAGATCGCACTCTACAACAAAGACACGAGCGAGCCGGTCCTCGCCTTGTACCCCTCATTCCAACTGCAGTGCCTGGAACATGTCTCCAAATGGTGTCTACCTTGTCCTCAAATTTGGTCCCCGAATTTCTGCCCGATGACGCCATACAAGTGTCGCACTGTTGCCTGCCGTGACCCTGGCAATGGTGCAGCGGCAGAGAAGGACGCAGCAGACGCCTGCTCTGCTGGAGGGCGCCTTCCAGCTCGACAATCCACGTAAGCTGTGGCAGCCACAAGTTCGGACGCCACGACGACAGAGACGCTCACCTATGCTCATACTTTTTATCGGAATTTCTACGGCCGACCGTGCCACGACCTCGACATCCAACGTGACGAGCCGGCCACGTGGCGTCGTTTGTTGTTACCTCGGGACCACTTTCGATCCGTGGACGGTATACAGCACTTAGCACATCAGTTAGAAACATGTTTCAGGCACCGCAATAATGTCAATGTGCGCAAGAAAAAAGCTTCACCTGGAGGGCTGGCGTCGGCCGTGGCAGGCGCATCTGCCGCGGCGCTTTCTCTCGTAGAAGAGTCGCTGGAAGGCCGCTGGGATGGTTGCTGTGGCTCGTTCATTGTTTCTCTGTGGCAGAGACAGGTACAGTTAGGCTTCCCCAACGAATGGGCAGAAATCAAGCTCTCAAGGTCGTTGAACTAGCACCTAATGCGCCCTTACCCGGAAAGAGAGCGTGTCTACATCTGTCCCAAAATCTTTTATGGCGAATTCCACTGGTCGTTTTAGAGCGCGCCGGGATCAGTAGACAAGATCCGAGATGGAGCAAGCTATCCGAATGGAGTCTCTCCGCCTTTGGATCCCCAGCAGAAAGCACTCCTCTGGGATCGGCGGATGCCTTCCCGTCATTCATCTTCCCGGGAATACCCTTTCCGCGGTCCCGGATCTCGAAGCACATGTTTTCGCAATCGCGGCACTAACAACACAAGTCATGTAAGCATGCCGAGGGCAGGCCAGGCAACCTTCCGGTTGAAGCCGCCGAAACCGGCGGAGCGACTTTTCTCGGATCCGGATCGAGATCTGGAGTAGGAGCTCATCCAAAACGATGAGTGGAACGCGTCCATCTCAATTCCAATCGCCCAGTGAAATAGGCGCACTCCAGAAAAGTTGATCGCGGCACGCTTTAAGACGACCAGTGGAATTCGCCATTAGAAGCACACATATATGACAACAATGGTAGGTATGTCTCGCTGCCTCATTAGCACGATGACAAGGGTTCTATAGGTCACATTAACATCTCCTTAGTTATGGTCCATCGTTTGATCAAGATTGCTGGGCTGCAACCACTTTTTGTTTTGTCACAATGACACCATTGACTGCGGCCACATAAAAGGACATCACATGCCCATGTTACATATGAATAAAAGACACGCATATGAGAGACAAACACATATGTACAACGCCGCCTATATCTTCTCCCATTAAATCAGCAAGGTTACTATAGGTAGCAAAGTGGTGGTGTGGGCCAGTTGGTTCTTCACATACTATAAGGTACAAATAAAACACGAACAGCAGAGCGCCTGGCCTTCGGAACATGCCAGTCTATCTCGGGGTCGCTAGGCTTCCTGGAGACTGAAAGGGTCTGTGGTCTATGCAAGACCAACGCCTCCTAGAAGGCCATAGTGCCGAATTTTCTGTCCCATAAAGAGGCAAACCTCAGCCGAACACCAATGTAGCACTCGTGTCCACTTTATGCCTCGCATTTGCCTCTTTAGGCGATGTCAAATATTCGGCACTATGGCCTCGTTACACTTACAAGGTGTTGGTAAGACGCGCACCTCTACAGCCCTCTGCCCTCTCCCATGGTTGCTCGCAGACTAGTCAATGGTGACGAGTCTGCGAGCAACACGCCGCAGACCGTGAAACGTTTTTAAGCCCCTCGGCGGCCAGGGGTGCAGCTCCCTCACCTGGCCACTGTGGTGCTGTACTGCTGCAGCTGCAGCACGGCGGCGTCCAGCAGTGTCTGGATGTTGCGGAGGCAGCGGATGCGAGCTGCCACCTTATCTCGCTCCTGGCCCTCCATGGCGTTGAGCTCTTCCGCGGAGAGGCTCTCTAGGCCCTCCGGGGGCACCGGAGGCGGAGGCGGCAGAACTGCGGGAGAAGCAGAGCTCACGTTAGACACTCTCGCTATCTCTTCTGCCGCTTCCGACGCCCTAAGCAAAGAGTAGCCTTAATGAGGCAAGTTACTTGTCACGCCTCACACTCTTTCGTCATTCGGCTACGAGTAGCTCCTGGTTTTTATTGTGGGACACGATAATCCTCCCGCACCCCACCCAGTTTTTGCAGTTCGACAGTGGTTAGAAGTCGGATCTTAAATCTGGGTCGGAGAAACTTGGGCCGGCAAGTCCCGGTCCATAGTACTCTCAAAGGGCACAAATGCTCTAAAAAGGTGCCATTTCATTCATCGTTTTAGTCTCGGAGTTTAGAGCGAAGGCTGCCCAATCAAGGATGAGTTGGGAAGCGCATACTGAACAACTTCCTGCACCGCTCGTGCACTTCTATAGTTCGTTTCACTTTACGCTCAGGCAATGCCAAAGCCACGAGCACGTTGCCCCGAATGCTGCTTGCACCGCACAGCGTAAGTGCTTGCCAGGGATGCTAAAAGCCCAGAGCTCACTCTCGTTGCTCCCGCTACGCTCACACATAAAGTGAAAGCCAGAATAAAGCCAGAATTTACGTAACCGAAACAAGAGTCGACACGGCAGCAAGTTGGTGAAGCACAATCACACTGACAGATTTGGAAACACGGGACACACGCAGAAGAACAACCACAACGCCATTTCAAGCGTGTGTCACATTTAATGTGGCGTAGGGTATGTTCTACGGTATCTTCGTGTGCACTTCACTTAGGGCGACGACGTCTGACCAAACGCTTCCTTTTCTATTTTGTTCCGAAGCGCGCGCAATAGCGTTTACTGGCACGAGCTCTTGGTATTTTTCACATTTTTTCTCATGAGTGCGTGCTTTCGGCATCGGTTATTATAAAGATTGGGATCACTCTAAACAGAAAAATATTGAGGCGCCATAGCTGGTTCCTCCCTGCGCGCCCTCGTCTCTGCACAGGACAAAGCAGGGAAGCCGTTGCGCGGAAGGTCTGGGGCGGGCCACTCACACAGCGGAAAGAAGGGTGGTAGGAGGAAAGGGGTGCCCACTCCTGGTGCCGCTGCCGTGCTGCTCGAGGAAGCCGCGCTTGCCCCGGCAGTCGGCTGACCCGTGCCCGAAGGGCCTCCCGCTGCTGCTGCTGCTGCTGCTGATGACGATGCTGCTGCCCCTGCCGCCGCACCTGGAAGTTGTGGCTCTGGTCATCGGCTAAAATCGTCACAAATTTGGCTCATTAAACTTTAAATAAGATGCTGTCGACCTTATTCAATGTTCCTAAAACTCGGTTGAGAATCTGCCATAGGAGACTGCTCTGGAGAACTGGTTCCAACTCGTACTTCAAAACCGAACAAAACGCGATCGCAGTGTGGCCACTCCGGAAGCTATACACACCGGAACAAAGAACATAAACAGTGAGCTTTAGCTGATCCCCTTGTTTCAGAACGAATTATGTACCACCAACTAACCAACAAACTACAAATGAACTAAGGGGATGGAATGACCATCAAAAAGCGGTGTTGTGTTCAAATCTGGCTCGCGGCGGCTCAACTCCGACGGTCGCGAGGGGTCCGCGTTCCAAGGGCGAGTTTCTCGACCGAGCTGTCCTAGTAACATTGATCTCGTAATATTCTACGTGGAGCAGAGAGAAAACGACGTAGCCAGTGGCGGGCTCTTGGGAGAAGAATGTTTACCTCGCACCAAGAACACCGACACATTTACAGATTGAGCATCCACTAGCCAGCAAAGCACGAGGCTTCGCGTAAGCTTAGCGTCGCAGCTCAAGACCCGATGTCTACCCTTGTCGAGCGCGAACACAGACATGCCGTGTTGTATGAATCTTGTCGCACTTTTTCTAAACATACCTAGGTGTACGTACGAGCCTTTACTTTTAACGCAGGATTTGTTTTTGGCAAGGGTAACTCGGTAAAACCGTAAGACGCGAAAGGCTTTACGGCCGAAGAATAATATATGGTATCACCGCCGCAACTAAGCAATCGTGCGACAATAGCGACAGACAATGGTGTTCTCATCGAAACTCGCTGTACGAGTCTTGGTACATAAATGACTGCACCGAGGTTCACCCACCCAGAAACATGCGCCAGGTATGACCAAAGAACTGCTACAATTTTTCCTATTTTTTTTCTCTCTTTGCTTTGAGATGCACTGCCTAACAACTGCTGCTGCCTGTTCTCTTCCTAACGCCCTCACAACTCTGTCATAGCCAAACTGTGTTAATCCCATTTAAAGGTCAGACTAGTTAGCTGCATCACTGCTGAGTCCTTTCAGGGTAAGACATATTCCAGGCTATTACCTAATAGACCCTTTTCAAAGGTTTCAAGAGCATGCACCCTCCAGTAGCTAGTATAGTGTCAATTATATGAGGCTGCTATATTTTGGGCATCCACTTAGACCATGTACTGGACATGAGTGCTATGTGAGTTTCTGACGGATACATTTGGGTCTAAATGTATACGACACGAGTGCAGCGTCAGCGCTCGGAGTAAACTTGTATCCAATCACACACTTTGCGCAGAAATCGCTGCCTAAAATAAGGTTGCCGCCAGCGTTGCTCGATAGACGTTTGGAAGGGTCTCTTACCAAGGGTTCTCTTAACTGAAACAGTTAATTTAAGGCTTGCAACACAAAGAAGTCGTTCTTGCCTTACACCTTGGGGCCTTCCAAGGACCACAAGACACAACGCTGTACTCCAGACGTGGATGCCTCCCTCAAAAGCAGAAATTGCATACCTGGTTGTTGTTGCTGCTGTTGCTGCTGCTGCTGTTGGTGCTGATAAAGTTGCTGCTGCATCTGCTGAAACGGGGGAAACAGTGGAAGACCGGCCAGCCCGGGCCCTGTAGGAGAAAGAGCACAGGGAAGTTTAGAGAAATTCAGAGTACCGCGGCTAGGAAGAGACGCAGAAAAATTTTCAGTGAATAAGATGTGATAATATCTTCATTTCTAAACCCTTTGAATTAGCCCTTATAAGGCTGAAAGTTGCCGCGAAAGATAATAGCCTGAAAAATGTCTTGGTCGTATACTTTCTAAAATGCTGTACAAAATAGAATGTCTCAATGTAATGCAGCCGGTTTGTGAACAATAACTATCTTATAAACTGGTACAAGTGTTGAGTTCTGATTAGAATAATGATTAGAAGCTTCTAAATATATTCTAGCTGCCGTCAACCTGCTACGCTTCTGGCCATAAAAAAAAAAATGCTTACTAACACTAACTGCTTAGTTTTTGAGATTTAATGCAGATAATGAACAAGATGTAAACAAAAAAAGAATACAACACTTAATAACTGGCTAGCAAGTCATATTTACAAAGTTCCCTCGTCACAAAAACAAATGCTCCCCAAACAATCACATTTTTTTTTTTAAAGCACTCGTTTGGCATATTACAAGAGCTACATTTTTGCCAGTCACCAAGTCCCCCGTGCACACCAGATTTTGTGTCGCCTTAAGGAAGTAGAGGAGAGAGGGCCCCAGCACCAACACCTTGCATTATAACATGTTCTAGCTACACGAGCACCTGCCAGAGCGAGCGTCTTTTATAACAAGGATTTTGTGCTTTGGGGGTTTATCTTTCCTCGAATTTGAGGGCATCTTTGTATTCGTTTTCTGCGCTGGACAAACCATGTTGGATGAGGAAAAGAAAAATCTTAATTGTGTGTTACAAATCAGAATTTATATCTTGGGCAATCGACCCCATTCCCATGTTCTGCAGCACCACCTCCCGCTCCTTGCCACGCCGAAGAGTCAGAAAGGTGAGGCCGGACTCACACTGAGCAAAGGCCACGGGGGGCACCGCCCCCTGCGGCTGGGGCGGCTGTGCGTTGGGGGCCGCCGGGTGGGGCACCTGGGGCGAGGGTGCGGCGGCCGCCTGCGGGTGCCGCAGCACGTCCATGCGGCAGGTGGGGCAGGTCTGCTGGCGCTGGAACCAGGAGCGCAGGCAGGCCGTGTGGAAGATGTGGCTGCAGGGCAGACGCTTGTTGCCCCCGCCTACCATCTCCTCCCGGCAGATGATACAGACATTGTCAGCCGAGGCCAGCTCCTCCGCCGTCGCGTCGGGATACCTGCCGCCGAGAGAAACCGAGCCTTTTGGAAAGTCCCTCTCACGCCCCCCGGCGTCCCCAAAGGTGGGAGCAGAGGTTGGCAAAATCGTGGGTGCCGTCGTCGACGACTTCGACGAAAGGAATCGCGAAGGATGTCGAAGTTGAAAGGGCGGAGAATGTGGTACTCTGTTGCGGCGTAACTAGGCACACTGCGGAAGATATGCCCCGGTGAACCGATTAAAAAGCAGAAGCATGGTGTCCGACGATGTGCCGTCGGAATGCACTCCCTTTACGGAGAGCTGTCACGTGCTTCGCTCCGACTCTCCGACTGGCTCTATGAGGCCATTGTGTTCGTCTTTTGAAGAGTTGTGCTAAAACTATGTGCTACAGATGGCCTTATTCGTTTTTCAGGTATGTCACCTTTGATTCATGAAGTTGAGGGTGCACGATTTAGGCAATTTTTGCTCTCCTGTTCCTGTCATTAGAGAGGAAATCTTTTAATTTCTGTGACTCCTACTTAGATGGCCGATGGTAAACTTTTGATTTCGGCATGTTTTTATTCGATTGACATATGTTATGTGCTTCAGCCACAAGCCAGTTATCCTATGCTTGGCATAAAAGTTTTCCCTAAGCACAGCACATTGGCCCACTGTTTTTTTTCAATTCTCAAATCACACAGTTCATCAATTGCATGTTTCATTTGAAGAATTAAAAAAAAAAAAAAAAACTACTGTTACAAGAAAAGAAAAAAACCTCTGGATTTTTTGGTTGCTTCTAACAAATAATGAACATTAAAAAAAAAAAAAAGCAAATAGCTTACTTTTTTTTTAGCAAAAATGACTTACACTTGCCCTTCCAAAAAAAAGAGAGTTGAGCTGCACAACTTGAATATTTTTCATAGTCAACGCATTAGTAATAATGAAAGTTGCACTTTTCAGTTGAGTTTGATTATGTTAACTAACAGTATGGACTAGGAAAACCTTTCTGGTCCAAATCCCACAAGAGAGCGAGTACCGTAAAATCCCGAGAGATAACTCACCTAACATCAAGAGCAAATCAGGTGGAAATATGGAGTGGCCTAACTTTCGGTGTACAATGAAGAAAATTTTAAAACATTACTATTTCTAGGTCATGTTCCTTTCAAGCTTGTTATGGTGGCGAGGGGCAACGAAGCAAAGATGACTACTTCCCAGCTAGCAACGTTCACTTATATTCCGCCATTTACGCCGCATTTACGCCGAGGTCACCATTGACCCCAATACTACTATTACTAGGAGTCGGGTATCTTCGGTGTTTAAAAACAAAATAGCAAATCAAGCCAAAAATAGGGGTGGGCTATCTTTCGGGGGTGGGGCATCTCTCGGAATTTTACGGTAATGCAAGAACAGAACAAAAACTCACAATGTGTTCATGTTCCTGATGGCACGTCGAGACATGATCACGTCGTTGAAGGCCTTCTTGAAAGCCCTGCGTCACGAAAAACAACCCTCATCAGCGGCAGTCCGTGCAGAAACCGACTCAACCACAGGCGATTCGCCTTAGTTCTCACCTCATGCTGAGATACATTGGACGGATTGCAAACAGAGGGAATGTATGAATCTTGATCATGATTGCCATGAAGGTCAGATACAGGACGACCTTGATGAAGCCTGGAAAAGGGCATGCGCAAGATCGGTGAGTCAACCCCGCACGCAACGCGCCACAGAGCCTCTACAAGTACTGAAAGAAGCACTCACTGACGACCAGCTCGGTGTACAGCAGGTACACAGCCTTGTTCTCCCACGGATTTTCGCTGTGGAGATCCATCGTGTGCAGAAAGTACTTGATGTAGATGTTTACCACAATGCTGAGCAGAATGGCGTACTGCAAGGAAATTGAGTTCCAACGGGGGAGGCATTATGTCAGAACCAACGTGGCAGAGCATTTCGAGCGAAGTGACATATTGTCACCAACAAAAGCCAGCAGGTAAAAGTAAAACTGAAAAATGATGGTTTAATGAGGGGAACTCGTGCCTACAAAGTTAAAGTAAAAGAGGTACCAACGTCCAGCGTCAGCGACGGAAGGGCAGCCAACCCGAAGTGGCATACTACTACTACACTCCAAACGTTCAGGAATGTCCTGAACCAGAACACATGATAACAACTGAGAATGGGTCAAAACTTTTCAGAAAAACATTGATTGATACAATAAAAAGATCCAGGCCAAGAGGGGTTTTAACCCCGTTCCTCCGCATGGCAGCCACATGTTGCCAACTTCACCACGCGTGCGGCAATATTCTATAGCGTGATTCGAAACAAACATGTCACAAAACTTGTTTCTGCTTTGCAAGTGAACCTTATCTAAAGCGAGACAGACAATGATAAGATCCTTTCGCGGCGCCATCGTCTTTCGTGTAACAAAGGTCGTGCCAGCGATTTCGCCCATTTCTCAAATCTGATTTTGTTATGATATGCCAAACCACCCATGAGACCACAAACAATTTCAGTCGTGAGAAGTAAATTTAACCATGAGCTTCCACACAATCTAGATTAAAGAGACACTTGAAAGGGGACCTTAAAGAGCCTCTGACAAGGCATTTAAAGATGCCTAGATGCTTACAAGAGCCCAACTCACAGATGCCCAACTCACAAAAACCCAACTATGATAAAGATAAAAAAATAAAATATAGACTGCTGCTTATAACGAAGCTTTTTTCCGTACTAAAACGGATGGCTGAGAGTTAGCTGCTCATGGCTGCACCTCCCTCGTTTTTTTTCCCCTTTCCTGAGGCACAATCAACGGCTAGATGGAACTCGGAATATATGAAAAGTAATAAGCATTCTGGAACACACATTCGTCAACATTAATAACAGAATATATAAAACAGTCCTTACGAACGAGACACCCAAGACACGTGGATTCAAAGAGAACTCGAAAACATAGCCACGGACAGCAAAGCAAGCAGCCTGGGTGACTTTGTGAATTCACAGATATCACACTTCCCCATGTTAATCCTCTGGCTTCGGTGTGACTTTTTGTGAGCAAATATTCAATTTTGTACTGCATGTTCTCACTCTGTCAGTGATCTTCACAGCCTATTCAAGCACTCAACATAAAGAAAACAAGCAATTTCTTTACAGGGTATTAGAGACACCTCTACATTCTTCACGGGGTGTTAGAGGCAACTCGACGTTCCTTTAGGGTGCACAACAACTTGGGATGTTTACTCCCCGTAGAAAAAATTCTAAGGTGCCGAAGCTCACCTCGAATCCAAATACGACTTGCACAGACGCTCCCTTCGTGAGTGTGGTGTGGTACGCGTGAGCCACGAAAGCGTAGTCGAGGAAACCCAGGAGAAGTAACAGCGCTGAAAGGAAGTGCACACCGACCTCGGAAACTGTGACACGAGATGCTACGCAGCAGAGAACGTAGAATGCAGAGATTAATTCTCTGGAATTTCCATTCAGTCTTGGCCTTGGGCCTCGATTAGGATTTGTGTGCCACATTTCAATTACTCAGAATGTGCAGCATCTTTTGCTAAGGTGTCCAGAACATGTCTCCGACTCGTGTCTACTCAGTCCTCATACTTGTACAACCCCTCCCTCCCTCCCTCCCTCCCTCCCTCCCTCCTCCTCCTCCCCCTCCTCCTCCTCCTCCTCCTCCTCCCCCTCCTCCTTTCTCCCCAGTTTCTGCATGATGATGTCACAATTGTCTAACAATGTCACTTGCCACAATCCTACCAGTGGTACAGCAGTCATTAGCTCCACTGTATGTCACCGTCTAGTTTGAGCGCCCCCCGGAAACTTAAGCGGCCTTGGGTTAGGACGTTGCAACGACGACGACGCTTGCCTTCTTTTCTGGTACTACTACAACCAGCCACCACGATCATGACGTCCGATAGCGGGAGACACCAGCTTCCGCGACCTTTGTTGTTGCAACTTTGGGACCACTCCAATGCAAGGGCACTGGAGGACACTGAACAGACTAGTCTGAGACAGATTCCGGACACCGCGGTTCTGCATGTCAGAGGTCAATATGCCTCGTACTCACCAACGACTCTCAAATGGAAGATGTAAGATATGATGGGACTTCGTTCCATCTGCATGAAAAAGGAGAAATTTGTTATCAGATGAAGCGAAGGTCAGCTTCATATTTGTTGAGGCAGGCACGGTTCTACGAGACAGATTGTATTTAGTTCGCTTCGTGCCCTTGCAGACACTCAATATTTTCGATTGTGCCCGATCTTCCGAATTGTTACAAAGTGCCATCTATTCAGTCACTTATGAGTGCCTGCTTCGCTACTGGCCCTTCCAACTGCGTCATAGGTCGGAGAAGTCAAGGAGGAGGACCCGAAACTCACGTAATCGACTCTATCCTCTGCCAGCCAGTGGAAACACTTGAGGAAGAGCAGCAACGTAAAGAGGGCCACAAATTTCGGGCTGAAGTCGTCCCTGAAGACCGTGAAGGCCAGACAGGTCTCGGTGACGGCGTACCATGACCGCTCAATGAGGTGCTGCAAAAGGAGGTTAATGCGTTGGCACGGGAGGCCGCTTCACACAGTTGCATGTGACTGACTGCATAGCAACTGCTTCAAACAGCTTTTGAGGAGATTGCATCAGTGCCACCCGCACCGTTGCCCTGGAACCCTTTCAACCTATGTATAACTAGACTGAAGGTTTGGCAGTAGTTTGCTAATAACGTTGCCAAAATTATTTCGTGTACACCGTGAAAGGATGTGTACAATACATGCAGACCTTCATAAGCAATTACGATTGGTCGAAACACAGTCAATCACATTTAAAATTAAATCTGCGAAGTGGTCTTTATTCTTCACCCCCTTCCAGAAGATACCGTTTCAAGACATACCTCCATTTCTGCAGCCCTCAGCTGGCCAAAGAAGACTTTTCGCATCAGCTTTCCGGTCAGTATCACCATTACGAAGGCTTGAAGGTAAATGATCTGAGGCAAACAATAGGAGCCAAGATTACAGTCCATTTGGCACTGATGAGCTGTGATGACTTGAGATCAGTAGAACCTGATTGTATGCATGGCATTCGGGCTGCTGGTATACTGAAGATTCTTTTCTGGGAAAACTGAATTTACTTTAAAAAGGGTATCTAGCCACTGGCAGGATGAGAAAGTCAGGGAGTCTCTTTCCGATTTCTCCAGCAGGTGCTCGTTGCCTTCCATCATACTTTTGGAGAGCAAGCTTTCTACCTTCCTACAAACATAAAGAGCTCGCGCTGGGGGCGAAGCAACCGAAGGGTCTCCCTGCAGTTCTAACCCTGTCAGTGACTAGTATTTTGGAAAACAAAGATACATCAAAAGTTGCGTTAGCACCTTATCACGTCGGGGACGCCACTCGCTCGACGGGGAGTTAGTGATTACGTGTCACGAAAAGTACCAACTTTCTTTTTTTTTTTTTTTTTTTATGGATGGATGGGAACTAGGTTTTAATCGCTTCTTTCGGGAGTTGGATATACGGAGTTTATACTGCGATGATCTCTGGGATGTGTCCGAACGCACACGGGACGCAGAGTCGCACTGTTGCGCGGCTCGCGGACGCCGTGTACGCGCACTGCGGGTCACACCCGTCAACGCTGCACATCGGTCAGCGCTACTTGACTTGTGACAAGCGCGGACAAGGCATCCGAGACGGATTAAACGCCGGAGATTTGACCACAGGTATACGAGAAATAACAGCTGGTGAAGTTGTGTTTACAAATCGGCACGTCCGAGCGTTCGCTGGCACTCAGAGGGACGGGAGCTTGAGCGAGGATCTTGAAAGACGCCGGGCAGGTCATGACAGACGAGGTATTCCGCCCGTTTTGGCACGACGAAGCACTCGAGACACACTTATATTTTACAAAGGCTTACGTATTGCTCCGAGAACTCACCGCCATGCTGGGATTTGACTTGGTTAAATAGACCACGGAGGGGTAAAACTGCTTCTTCTGGTAATATGCATTACCGATAACTGCGGTAGTGAGCACTACACTACCCAGAGTTAATAGGAATGCCCGCATTTTGCCTTTCGAATCGGTGAAGTTGCGGACCCAAATATTACATGATTTTTACGTCTGCTGGCAGTTTCAGTCCAGCTACGCTAGATGGCGAAATTAGAAAAAAAGACTAAAAACATCTGTAACACCCGTGTCTCGATCGGATTGGACGACTTTGTGAAATATTTACAACAGATGACGCGAAACTGCCCCAAATTTAACGTTATTTGACAGTACACTGCATTTACACTCTCCCTTTACTTCTTGTTGATATTCGACTCCCAGTTTTCCCTGCACCTCACGATCTAAAGACACGTACGACAGCGAAGTACAACGCGTCAGTAAAATTAATTTCCTCAATAATGTTTTACACTTGATAACGAGTGGATAAAGCATAAAAATATTTATAAAAATTTTATCAATGAGAGTGGAACTTTGTTAATAAGCACAAACGATCACCCAATAAAACTGGGTACTAAAGTGAGGAAGTGAATGGTTGGTTGCCTTCAGCATGTAAGTACACACACGAGTTTTTTTCCTCTTGGCGCGTGCGACTGTATTTCGTGCACTGCTTCATGATCAAATATTTGTTCTACACTCTTTGAGCTGTCTCGTGACAGAGGGTCGAACGCGATGAACTCCGACAACCTGTCCTTATCCCAAAAGTACGTGAAAGCGTCGTACATCGCGCAGGCGAGTCAGGCCATCGCGGCCCATGAATCCAAGATCACTCACTTGCTGGAGCAGGGGCGCTGTCCCGACGACGGCTGGGACGACTCCACCATCGAGATTCTTCTCCAGAACCTCTCTCTTATGGACAGCAACAATTTCCTGGGCAACTCGGGCGTGGGCGAGCGGGAAGCCCGCATCGCGTCCCACCTGGTGAGCCGGCGCCACTACCGGCTCGGCCACGGCATCGGCCGTTCGGGAGACATCTCCGAGACGCAACCGAAAGCTGCAGGTTCGAGCCTAATGAACAAGCTGACGAACTCCATGGTACTCCACGTTCTTCAAACTATGGGAGTCCCGGCCACGAGGGCCTGCTTCGTCGTCCCCATGGCGACCGGCATGAGCCTGACACTGTGCATGCTCGCGTTCCGTCAGAAGCGACCTTCCGCCCGCTACGTCCTGTGGTCGCGGATCGACCAGAAGTCGTGCTTCAAGTGCATTCTCACCGCGGGCTTCGAGCCTGTCGTCATCGAGGGCCTACTCGTCGGCGACGAGCTTCAAACGGACGTGGCGGCGATGCGGGCGCGTCTCGAGCAGTTCGGAACCGAGAAGGTCGCCTGCGTCCTCACGACAACGTCCTGCTTCGCGCCGAGGTCTCCCGACAACCTCGAAGATGTCGCCCGGCTCTGCAAGGACTTCCAGGTGCCGCATCTGGTGAACAACGCGTACGGGGTGCAGTGCACCAAATGCATGCACCTCATCCAGCAGGCGTCCAGGGTCGGACGCCTCGACGTCTTCGTGCAGAGCACCGACAAGAACTTCATGGTTCCCGTTGGCGGTGCCGTCATCGCGGGCTTCGACAAGGAGCTAGTCGAGACAGTGGCGAAGACGTACCCGGGCCGCGGGTCTGCGACCCCTACCATGGACCTTTTCATAACCCTCTTGTCCCTCGGAATGAAGGGCTATCTCAACCTCCGAAACGAGCGCAGGGAGGTGTTGAAGTACTTGACGGACAAACTAACGGAGGTCGCGGAGAGGCACGGCGAGCGCGTCCTCAGCACGCCCAACAATCGCATCTCGGTCGCCATCAGCGTGACGGGGGAGAAGGTCGGCGACGTGACGGGCGTCGGGGCCATGCTGTTCACGCGGTTCGTGTCCGGGGCCCGGGTCGTCTCGAACCAGGGATCCAAAAGGCTGGGGCAGGTGGACTTCGAGGGATGGGGCTCGCACTGCGGGGCTTACCCGACGTCGTACCTCACCGCCGCGTCCGCGCTGGGCGTCAGCAAGAGCGATGTGGACGTGTTTGTGCAGCGACTGGACAAAGTTTTTGCTAAGGTGCAAAAAGTACAGAAGGAAAAGTGTCTGCCCGCCTTAGGAGACAGTAACAACAAGTAGAGGCCTCTTATTATTTTTTTGGCATGTGGAGTTTTTTCTACTCGGCTAGTCTACAACCATTGCCAGGAGATGAACGTCTTGAAAAACTTTATTTTTAGGGAGTGTTGGCACCGGTGTCTGAACAGTTTTCGCTTCTGCAGAGCATTCGCAGCTTCAAGAATTGCATACCAAGGATATATCTAGTCTGCCACTTGTCTCTGTATATTTCCTTAATGTGAATCCTCCTAAATTGTCGGTTTATCCCAGCAAGCTGCAAGTTTCTTCAGAGGTCGTATCCACCTGCTGGAATTGGACACGCTGCAAACTTTTTTTTTGTCTTTGAATGGTATCATGCCAGTTAAAGAAAAGAAGTGCTTCTAATTTCTTGCAGATGTCACAATTTGAAGTCTTGCCAGCAAAATCCATACACCCCAAAAATATACTTCAGAAAGCATTTGCAATGCTACATCCAGACACCAACCTTTTGCACAAATTTCACACTTTGCAACTGTTTGGGGCTTGACAGAGTTGCATATTCGTTTTGTCATAAATTAATTCTAGAAAGCAGCACTCTTTTACATTCCCATCACGAGGAAGGCGCCCTCACGAGCCCACAAGCACGTTCGATACTCCTAGACGTAGTATTTACCATACTTCAGATGCACTCCGTTAAAAGTTCTATACGATATTAAATATTTTTTTCAACAAGCTAATCTGTTGCCAAAATGCATCACTGTACAATGGTAACTGACGTGGGAAAATGAATATACCAGTCTTTTAATGACCACCACAAGGTTATCAACACGGTGGAGTAACGACTCTGAAATACAGAAGAATGTAAAGGTTATTGGCGATACACGTTGGCTTAGGTCGGACAATGTGAAACCGGGTACAAGAGCTCTCACTGGAGGCGGGGCTCTTATACCCAGTTTTGCATTGTCCAACCTAAGCCAGCGCTGCGATCCAATGGCACCAATTGGGCAGCGCCAAAAGTGCATCGTCATGGCGCTCATCTTCGTTTGCCATTAGGGTCTAACCCTAACCGCACAAACAAGTATGCAGAATCGCACTGCAGCATGATTGGTGTGGTAGCAAACAAAAAAATTAATTGGCTCCATCGTAGCGTTGGTTGTAATCGGACTTGGCAAGAAGTGGAGTGTAGAACTTGCTAGCAAAGGCCAGACAACGTTGCAACTTCCTCCACATTGAGTGCTTGTCATGACAAGAGTGCCAATGACTTCGCACAACATTACAGGAAAGGCTAGCAGCTCAGAAGACAGCCAAAATGAGGCTACTGCGCAAAAAGTTCTACAAGTTTGTACGAGGCATCTTCCCGTCGCTCCAGTATGCAGACCACCACAAGGCCCGGAGGCGGCTCAGCCTGATTTACCTGTTCGCCACCTGGCAGCTGTTTGGCGCAACCATCTACTACATTTATCAACGCAACATACCTCAGGACAACAGTGAACTCACCCCAGGTGGGCAGCGTACACTCGTCACTCTCTTAAATATCCGAGAATGTCTTGCATCGCTAGGTGCTCGAGCTGTTTTGAGCGAAGCTGAAGTGCTACCAAAGTACAAGAGCTTGAAGTTGACAGCATCTATTTAAGTGAACTACTTTACAAAGTGCAACATTAACATAAGGCAATTTTATTTTTTGCAATACTGTTTAAAATTTTTAACCATGATGATAGTTAATTGGCGTTCCCCTCCAGTAAAAGCTTCTTGCCTTCAGAAATGCTTCAACTATGTGTGCACATGCAGGTGAAGCATGCTGGAAGGCAATGAGTATATGCCCTGTGCTCTGTCGGCGACTACAATTACTATGCTTGTCCTCCCATTCAACGTCTTTTGGTACTGACAAGTTCACAGCAACGATTGCTGTTATGCGACAGGAGTCTCCTACAGACGTTCGAGTAAAAAGTAACACGTCCCCCATAGCAGCAGTGGGTGGCAAAGTGACTGTGGTTTCTTGTTTGTATCTTTTCAGCGGAGCGCTACGTTACGGCGGGTGTCAGAGGAGACAAGGCACGAATCATCTCCCTATCTCCTCGAGGCATAGTGCAGGACCGGATAATCTCGGAGGAAGAGATGAAAGAATTGAAAATGAAAAAGCAAAGCGAAGCTGCTCAGAGTGCCTGAACTTACCTAGAAAGGCCTTCGGCACTCCCCTGTATAGTAGAAGAATGATGTGCGACAACATGCTCAAGAGAATAAATCCCAGCCGCCAACATTCTGGAAGTTCTGTACAAGGTTTTATTGACATTCAAAGCTTGCAACACTTGCAAGAAACGCACAGTCATTCAAGAACCCTGCATCAACAACACTTGCACTGGTCAACCACTACAAAAACTGCATCCCTGTCCCATAAAAAAAAAAAAAAAAGCGTCAATACTTTGTTCCTTGTTTTTTTTGTTGAGCGAAGAACTCCCGTTTCGCAGCTACTGTGTACAAATACTGGCAGTTCCAGTGGCACGAGTAAAAAAATGTAGGAAAGACTGATAAAAATTCACTAAAAAATTCTTTCTTCCCCCGTTGAAAAGTAAGCCACACTTGCGAGAGTAAAAAAAAAAAAAAATGTAAGCGTCAAAGGCACTATAGAGAGCAACGATGAGTCCCCCCCGCATAGGCTAGAGGCAACAGAGGAAGAAATGCACGCATTCTGTCGGACACCACCGCCCGTTACGTGTGCAGAACGGACAGCCGCCAAAGGACGCGACCAGCGCGCCCTTCGGAGCCGTCGGCAGAGGCACGTTTGCTGGCTGGTTTTGTGTGGGTCCAAGATGGCGACTGCCGGGGGGAACCCCCGGGCGTTTGGCAGCTGCGACGACAAGCAGAACTTGGCAGAGGGGAGTCCTGTCCTTGTGACTAGCATCTGTGGCGTCCCTCGTGTATCTTGTTTCTCTGCCGGCCAGGGAGCAGTCATAACTGGGAGTGACAGGAAACAATATTACCAGCCAAAACTTTGGAATGTCCGCCCTAATTCGTCACGACTACGGCCAACTGAATGCGCTACACTTCGGAGCAACGACCTGGTACTCGAAATCCTGGTTTGCCAGTTATCTGAAACTTCGACTGAAATTGCAAGGAACTGTTTTCCATCCTCAAACAGTCTGCAACGGATCAAAACTATAATTCCCAAGCTTTCTGACACTGCACCTAAAGCTTGAGAAGCCGGTGTTTTTAGAGTCTTGAAGGTCGACACAAAAATAGAAAATTCATTTGACGCTTGATATCTCCCTTAAAACAAATGTTTCAGCTTTTGCTTTCAAACGACTGAAGGCATTTGAAAGCAAAAAGCTTTCAAGGTTTTGGAACATATTCGGTCTTGCGACCACCAGTGGCGTAGCCAGGAATTTTTTTTTCGGGAAAGGGGGGGGGGGGGGGGGGCTGGGATGGTTACGACTTGGGTTGTGGAGAGGGAGAGGGTCAAAATGCATGTGTTTCTTATAGGGTCGGCTAGATTTGGGGGGGAGGGGGGGAAGAGGGGGAGGTAAAACCTCATAAATCCCCCCTTCCCCTCTCCCCCGGCTACATGCCTGGGGACCACCTATTGCTAAGGTCAAAACGCACCAAGTGCACAAACTCAGAGGTGTAGGCAGAGGGGGTGTTTGGGGGGTCAAAACCCCTCCTGAAATGTCAAAGCTAACCCCCCCCCCCCCCCCCCCCCCCCCCCCCCCCCCCCCGGGCCAGCTCGCTTCGCTGCTCACGCAATCGGGTTTGCACGGAGCAATGGGGGAGTGCGGACCATCTCCAATTTATATGCCTTTGGGAAAATTGTTTGTAGGGTAGAAAATACTCGAATTATCATAATATTGCTTAACTAATGTTAATTCGATGAGATGCGGAACTTGATCTCAGATATATAAAGAATGGATATTTTTCGAAACATTTGTGGGGTGAAGGATGGCAATTTCAAGGCGAAGTATAACTATTTTCACTGAAGTACACAGCTCAATCAAACCAAAGAACATAATAAAACAAACACACGGGGATAATGGAAAACAATGTCTGTGATGCAAGGAATAAATGTATTGCAAAAAACAATTGCACTGTAAGCAACGGGAGGTGCTGCGATCACGCACAGCTTTTGTCATCAGAATAGAACATTTGCTATATCCCCCAAGTGCCCCGGCCCACGCTAAAAAAATCATGGGAACGGTGTTCCTTCAGTCCCTTGGTGATCGGCGATTTTGACCCATTTTTGGTTACACAGGTTCTGAGCGTAATTCGGAGTCACCCTGAACAAGCGCCTGATATACCCCAATGACCTGTCGTATCGCTTTTAAAATTTGTCCTCGATGTCAGCGTTTTTGATACAGTGCATGCTCTCCACCCTTCAACCTGGCTGGGCTGCAGAAATCTTACATTATTATCATGCTGATATTAAGTTAGAAACGCTAAAAATGCTATAAACAGCCCCGCGGACTCGGAGCTAAATCCTGGTTTTGTTGTGAATTATCGGCTTTTTAAGCAATTCCTGCTCAAACAACAATCACGAGAATGATAATATTGTAAGAGATTTCTGCAGCTCAGGCCAGGTTGAAAGGCGGATCGCATGCGCAGTATAAAAAATGCTGACGATGACAAGCAATTTTAAAAGTGATAGGACAGATCCTCGGGGTATATCAGGTGCTTGTTCAGGGTAACCTCGAATTACGCTCAAAAACTGTGGAACCATGGAGTTGGTCCAAAATTAGCAATCACTAGGGAGCTGAAGGAACACCGTTCCCATGATTCCTTGAGTGCGGGCCGGGACGCTTGGGAATACTGCAAATGGTCTATCACGTGCTTTCAACTAGAAACTGCCACGAGTAAAAAGGTAACTGTGAATAGTTATGTTGGAAAGCAATTTACAGGTTCTCCTTATCATCTCATCTATGCCAAAAGCCTACATATTAGAATGCAGCCGCCTGCGTTCACGGGAAAAATATCCAGGACGTCCTCCGCTTGTGCTTTAAAGGAGCTGTGCAACAATTTCAGGGCTTTGCTTAAATAATTGTGGAAGTTGATGCCTGACACTTCTGAAGTGAACTACAGAAAGTAGATTTTGCCTGGTCACTTTAGCTTTTATTTAAAAAAAAAAAATCCAGGTTTCTGCCGCCTCTCAACTCGTACATCGTCTTGCGGGTCACGTGTGCAGTGACGTTGATGGGGTAGGCGCGGGGTTCCGGTAAAGTTCTCTCTTTAGAGCCATCAGTGAGAACTCAACTGCTCGCGACCGCGTGACCACGTGCTGGGGGGGCGTCGCGCGAACAATATGGTGACAGGAGGAAAGTCTCATCCGGGTCTGGCCGTACCCGTCCGGCCCTGTCGCCCTGTCCCCCTCCCCCTCCGGCTTCTGGCGGTTGTTCACGGTAGCAGATAGAGCCGACGTTTTTGTGGACCTAGGATAGATGGTGCCACTAAAGCTCCGTATAATAAAAGTCTTGTCAATGATACCAGGTTTTTGACGCATTTATATTTATGTTGGAACGACAAGATTTATAGAAAAGTTAGCTTTCATTGAGCAAGTATTCGCACAACTTGCTATCTTTCTACAAGACCCCCCCATTGATGTCATGCCATGAGATTCTCATGGCCGCCGCTCGCGGCTGCAGGTCGGGGAATATTCTAAGTTTTGCCACGCTATTACGCGGCGGAATCGCAACATTACGATGAAAGGAGGTGCGTTTTCTGTCACTTGTGACAAGGTGAACAATATCAAAAGCAGAAGATGCCAATTTTTTCAACGCTAAAATTGTTGCACAGCTCCTTTAATGTCGCGGTGAAGATTCAGAAGCGCTATACCTCGTTTCGGCTGAACTCCAGACGCAGCCGATGCTACAAGCGCGAGCTCCGGGCTTTCAGCATCCCTGCCAAGCACGCCTGCTCTCGTGCAGTGCAAGCACTGTTCAGAGTCACATTCTCGCACTTGTAGCATCGGCTGCTTCTGGACTTTAGCTGAAACAAAGTATAAACCGAGCTGTCGCTCATTCGAAGTGGTAGCTCTCGGGTATGTTTTCAACCGTCGTAGTAAAGAGAACAAGCGCTCAATTTCCGCCCTTTTTAAGGGCAGAGTCGCTAGGATCTTGAGGGGACGATGGACGTTCTGAAATAGGGCCTCCAGACAGAGGGCGACCGCCTGTATACCGCCGACATGATGGGTGCTTCACGTTTCTCTTTCTTGCATTGGACGCCTAAAACTTCCCTATTTTTGGCGAAGTTTCTCTCACTTTGCGAAAATCGTCACTCACGGATGCGACGAAGTCCGTCTTGCTTTCCGCTTTGTATGTCGAGGTGGCGACCGATGCAATTCCTTATTTGATGAATGTTTACGTTGCACAGAACGTCAGAAACTCTGAAGAGACAAGCCTTCATATTCCTACTATGCATAGGCGCAAGGGCAGTCAAGTTCCTTTCCACGTTCGATGCATAGTTTCTGTGTGGTGCGTCGTGTCATTTCTCCCACCGACGAAATGACGAGTTCGGACTGACGACTTCTCATCTCCCCGAGGATATGCTGCTGCTGCCTTTGGACCATGCTGCAACATAAAGTGGCCTAGCAAAGATAAAACTCTTTCCTTCGGCATCTGGTCCTGTAGCACGCATTTGTTAAACTTTTAATTGATCATAGGTTTTGATTTTGTGATTGCTCAGAATCACCATTGCCCTAAATATGAGCTCCTAGTGTTTGTGTGTGGTTGGTAGCTCCCATTTTTCAGCGTCAATTTTTTTTTTGTTGCTTAATTTTTTTTTTGTGAAAGTATTTTGTGTTTTGTCTGGCCTTCACGAGTTGGTAATGCAGTGCTACCTTACTTAAAAAGCGGTGGAAGTTGTGTGCTGTGAGGAAGTTTTCAAAGTTGGTGGGCTGCAAGTATGACGACGGTAGAACAATGAGCCACCACGCCCGTATTCCTGTAAATGAAGCCTTCTCCTTTTTTAAAAATGACAATGCAGCTTCACCAGTTTTATCTTAACAGCGCCTCCCTAATTTTTGCCTAGGCATCTGAGTCGGCGAGCTCATCTTGCGTGATTGGGGAAGGGGGGGGGGGAGGAGAGGAGAGGAGAGGAGAGGAGGAGGAGGGAGGGGGGGATGCCATTGAACCCCTCCCGAAATAAAATCCTGTTTACGCCACTGCACAAACTGTTACAGGAACAAGGGTCTGGAAGAAAACGACTATAGTAGGGGTGGGGGGGAGCCGTGGTCAAGTGTGTTAGCGCACTGCAGCTCCAACCACGTGTTGTGAAAGCTCGTGCTCATGGGTTTAAACCCTACCCCTGCCAGTATCGATCTGGACGAGCATCGTACTGCTCGGCGGTCATGCATCACAAGTGCATGATGCAATTTAAAGACCCCAGGCTAGCAGTCGTACTGCACTGGCTAAGTTTCTCATCCACAGCGTAAACTAGTGTCGCCACACCTCAAATTTGGGGGTTTTACGTGCCAAACCTACGACGGGCATCTGGCACGCCCCAGCGGAGGACTGAGGATTAATTTCGACCACCTGGGGATCTTTTGACGTGCAACCGAAAGCTCGGTTACACGGCGCTTCCTCCGCAATAAGCCTCCGTGATATTGCGGACACCTCGGTCGGGATTCGAACCCGCCGCCTGGGGTGTCGACACACCTCAAAGGCAGACTGCTTTACGCTGTCTAAACACAAAGCACCCAATATATCTGCATTAATTAACCTATAGGAGCTGCTGATGCAATAAAACTATGAACACGAAGACACCCAAACTTTTTGATCTCGAGGAACCTCTATCTGTCTTGGATGGCACCCGAGGAAGCTTTCCCGACTCTAGAATTGATGCTGTAAAGCAACACAAAATCCTACAATCCTTGTAAAAAAAAAACAAAAAAACAATCAGCCTTTCCACTCTCGTGAAGAAAGAAGACCAGCGGAGCTGTACTCGATACACTGTGTGCTTCTTCGCTGTCTGTTTTTTGCACCGTTTCCTACAATGAATTCCCACCAACCACCCACCTATCCATTCTTCTATGATAGCTGGAAAGGTTGCTGCCATCTACAAGCGACAACGGAAACCATACTGGTTCTGTGCTTGCCACCGTCGCTTATAGATGGCGGAAGCTGTCCATGTAGGTTTGTGTCGACATACCAGGCACGATCCTGGGGAACTTAGCCCTTAATGGCTCTGCTGTAAAAAAAAAACTATCGCATTGGGAAGCATTTTGCACATAGTTATACATCATTGAGTGGCTCAAATCTGCTAAAGTAGTGCAGGAATTGGAAAACCACTTTACGTACAGTAAAATAGCGGGCAAGTGCCCGCTCAAAATTTAGAGATAATCGCGACAAAATGGGGGATGGGCCTATGTCTGGTCATCAATTTTACATATCAATCGGGGTGTTTAGCAAATTATTATTTTGAAGTTCCCCGACTTTTCCAGGTTTTTCTGACAATTTCAGGTGAAATTCCCTGACCACTGTATGCTCTTATATATTTAACCGCTTCGGTTAAATATATAAGAGCATTACAACACAAGGCAGAGAGCATATTGAGCGCTGTGAAGATAATTTTGCACGGGCTTAATCCAACTTGCATATTCTGATATATTCGGGTTCGTCGAGTAAGGATTAAATGAGCACTTTCTTGCCACCGACATCGTCAGTGAAGAGGTCACTTCCGGAAACACAATGAAGACCACTGTCCTCAACCACACACGTTCATAACCAAATGGCAGCATGGCTGCCAGATGCACACTTGCGGATACTTTCGACTTAAGGCATGGATTGGATTGGGGTCAGCGGATTTCCTATTTGGTACTAGATCTAGTAGCTCTAACCTGGATCTAGCCTAGTGTCACGCCCTCAATCCAATCCAAGCCAAGCCAAGGCTTCGACTGGATTTGTCGGCTGTTCCCTTTGCATCGAGTAGCACACACTGAACACCGGGTGAGCAGAGCCCGCGTTCCGCTCTCAGCATTTATTGTAAATTTTTATGCCCCCAAGTCCTCAGGTCTTTGCTCAGGGCACTTGATGGCGCTTCCGGCTCATTTTCCCTGACTGGGCTCGCTTTTTGACAATATCCCTGACAATTCCCTGAATTTTGCCGGTTATTAAAATTTCCCTGACAATTCCCGGTTTTCCCGGTCGCTCGACACCCTCATCAATGTACTGTGCATATTTTCTCAGATCTTACAAATTTGGGAATGGGCGCTTAGTGTGGAATGGGCGGATAAGTGGTAATCTACGATAGGGGCAGGGATGGTCGAGGTAATTTGGAATATCAAGATCCCCTGAGGGTGCTCTGGGGATCCCCTGAGGGTGCTCTAAGGATCCCCTGAGGGTGCTCTGGGGAACCTATGGGTTCTTAGAAACCCAGTTTGATAACCCATGGTGTACAAGACGAGGAGAGTCCGAGAGGTCACCTTGGTGAAAGCCTTGCGGCCCTTGGCCACCCTGCGACGCTCCATCTCCCTGGCGATGGCGAGGCGCTGCATCTCGTAGCCCATGACTATCTCCTCCAGTTCCTGGCGGTAGAGCCTGTTCAGGAACGCCTGGTAGCACTCAAGCTCGGGCAGCTTGAACAGATTCCACTGCAGAGACACAAGGTGGCGCCGGAGCAAGAGTTAAAAGCCGGACGTTGCTAGTTGGTTTTGCGTTCAAGAGAAGCGCTGTAAACTCTGTTGCGAGTCGTAGCAAGAGGAGCAAGGGTTTTGCGAACAAGTAACTTTAAGTACCTGCACGTGGGTGACTGGAGAAATTTTCTGAAGACTGAAGCATAGATTTTGGAGTCTTTAAATACAAAACCTGCAACATGTTGGAGCAGCTGTAGTCACCACTCACAAGCCGAGGGTAGCAGGGAGGAGCTTCAGTTGCCCTGCCTCCAGCGTGAGCTTCCCGTCTTCGACAATGCTTCAGCAACTTGGGCACCTCGAGCACGCACAGCCAAAGCACGGTGGAAGGCATGGAGGTATGTGCGAGAGGCTGGGTTCAGGGTAAGCTCCTCCCACCTCTTTCCGCTTTAGCAGAACGAATGCTGGAGAGAAGGTGACCTCCCTTCCTGCATTTGCTCTGCTAAAGTAGAAAGAGCTGAGAGCAGCTTCCCCTGAACTGTTTACCTTTCACCAACTATAGAGCGCTTTGAAGAACTTAGGTTCACTGTTCAGAGAAGTTTAGCAAGCAAACCTTGTTCCTCATTATAAAATACAGGTGTGTTAGGATACTGTGCAAGCCTATAAGCCAATATGATAGGGCAAGTTGGTTCATCATTAAAAGTACAAACAGTGCCACAACATAGAGCAAAAGAAGAAAGAGAAACACTAGCTGGTGTTTGTCTCCTTTTACTCCGTCAGTGTCCTTGCGCCATTTGTGTTTAGAAGACAAGCCAACAATGCAATTTTTTTACACGCACTAGTAAAATATGCTAGCTCTAGACCCGAGTTACACGGTGCTTACACTGCGATAGGCCCGTGCAATATTGCGGGCACCAAAGGGAGGGCGTAGGACAGCGTAGGCTTTAGAACTGAACCCACAGAGGCAGCCGTGGCACTCATAGACTAATACCAAGATGGTGCTGACCTATTTAAAACACCTGCAGTTTTTGCACGACAAATTAGAATAATTGCAATTAATAATCATGAATTAGTGTATAACAGATTCAATAAACCTACCTTTCAGATTAAGGCGAGCTTTCTTTGGCCACCATTTTGAACAATACTAACCATTATTGCACCAGTATCAAAGATTTCTGCACACATATGCATGTCAGTGGCTCTCGCGACTTCACTTCAATTTATATAAAAAAAAATGTTCTCCTAATTTGTGACCACAATGTGCTACAGCGGCAACCCCAATAATGCTCCGCGAATTTGTAGCCTTTAACTTTTTCAAGTAAGAAAAGCAGCAACACCAACGTAACAGAAACTACAATTCAGCAACAATTAATCTAAACGAAATTTCAACTAATATTCCACTTACCTTGAGTTTGTGATCGGACTCCTTCGGTGCTCTCGAGTAGACGTACAACCAGTGTGGTATCTCTGAAAAACCAGACGAGAGAGCAACTAAACACGACCGCCAGAAACTTCTGCACTGCACCTACACAGGTGCAAAAGTGTACATGACTTTACGAACAAGGCTAGGCTAATACGAATAAAAAATGTACAAGATTTACACGCTTTAAATTATTTTCGCAACTCCTTGCCGAACCTGTTTATGAAAGACTCCAGAAATACTACCTGTCGGGGCACCTTCAATGCAAAACAGTGAAGCTTCGGAAAAGTGGATGCTGTTGTGGGATAGTAACTGATTATCTGCCCGTTGGGGTGCACATCAGAAGGCTGGTTCGCACGTTTGCATTTGATCGACCGCAATACGTCTGCTTGCGACCACTTACGACTAGAGACTAAACTGGCACCATTTATTGGTTACCTGTAAAACACAACCCCGTCTGCACACATTTCACGCATGGTTCTTCCGACCGTGAGCTCGAAATATAATTCTAACAATGTTACAAGCAACAATTTCATGCCGCAGATGAGTGAATCGGCCCTGGGGCTCGTCAAAGAACTTGTGTGCAGAGTGCGAGAGCGGACTTGCCTTCCGTCAGGTAGGGGTTGGCAGGCACCAACACGCTGTGCTGATGGAAGTTTGTGTGCCTGGGAGGGGGGGGGCGGTGTCTGGCCACCCGTGGGGGGACTGCTGCCGCTCTGGCCGTACTGGGTGGCGCAGGGGTGCTCGTACTGGGCCTGCTTGGTGATGTGACTGCAAAGAGGACACAATGATGCCGCCGTCGAGCGTTGGACATGCGAGAGACGGGCTTTTGGCCGTAGCGGAAAGGGAATGAGCAGCAGAGGGTGGTAACGCACCACAGCTTCAAACATGTGGTGCGAAAGCTTAGGATCCTAAGTTCGATCGCCACTACGGCCTGTTCCGATCTGGATGAACATCGTACCGGCGTACGGTCGAGTGTCGCTGCTGTGTGATTCACGTTAAAGACTTCGAGGCTAGCAGTGATACTGCACTTGCTAAATTCCTTGCCTATAACGGAGACAGCAGATGCCCATTGGTACTGACTCGCTTCAGCCCATCAAAACACACACAGAACACAACTGATTTACTATATCGTGAACTAATCTGCACAAAGCAGTCTTCGAACAATTCTGTCCCGAGAAGGGTTCGAAGGTACTGATCAGTAGATCTTTTATACCCCTCATCGCCAAGATGAAGCCATGAGACCTCCATTCTGCTGTGCTCGTTTTCGCCCTTAAGAACCGTAGTAAAAAGAAGTCTGACTTCTCTCAGAGCATTTCTAACTTCCCCCTTTATGTGGAGAATTAACATCAATGTAAATGCATTTTAGATTCCCGTAATGTACCGAGCATTTGCCCATTCTGCAAGAGCCCACTCCTCAATTTTGTAATATACAAAAAATACACAAACACCATATCTTTAGACATTGATGACATCAAGAGCGACCATCCCCCAGTTTAACATGATCATCTCCAAATTTTAAGTGGGCCATTGCTTGGGATTTCACGGTAGGTGCATGTTATCTTATCAAGACATACGGTTTCAAACACCAAAAACATAGCTTTTTTCCTCCAACACCCAATGCTTGTAAGAACTACTTCGAGTGGCATATGAACAATGCGCAAAACTTGCCTTATACGGCGGTAGCTGTTAGTGCCCCTCCACAGCAAGAAATGCTTGTGTACGAACACAAAACCCCGCTCTACAGCAGAGGCACTCCTCTCCCTCTCCTGATCGTTCCTCACATTTGGCAAGGCTTTCTCCCCCCCTTTTTACCCCCGTAGGCCGCCGCTGTTCCGAAAAACCCACGCGATTGCAAAACACCCACGTGGTCGTGCTGTGTGGATACGCTCCTTCGCTACCCACTGCCGCTGCCCAGGTTCCTCTACGGAACGGCTCGCGTACATACTACTTTCGCTTCTTCCACCGCAAGCGCGGCGACAGGCGCCCCCCACTCTGAAAGAGCGTTCCAGCCAAAGAAAGCATGTCTCCGTGTCCTTTTCCAGCATATCCAACGTCTCGCGCAATCGTTTCACCAAAGCACACACCTCCTCACGCGTGTCTCCTACATCCATTCCAATGAAAGCAAAGAACCCACTGCAAACATTGTAAAGCACACTGATTGAAATGCCAATCTCCTTCAACGTGCCTTTCCACAACGCGGCAGGACACTTTGTGTGATCGTTCGCAATTTTTGCTTGAGGCGACGAGTGTAGTACCAAATTATGGCATTTTACTATGCACTATAGATGCCCGACATTATGCCATGACAAGGAACTGGGGAAGTAGCCAAATACATATTGCAAGCCCATTGTCAAATGCAGTGTGAGACTCAATAAGGTGTCTTGGTGGCTTCATCCTAGCCTATTCATACCACTATTACAAACATAATAAATTTATTGGTAGATTTGAGTGTTTTTTTTCTTGGTATTTTAACATATCTGTAAGCATGAGCCATTACTGACTACACCAAAAACCAGTTGTATCCACCAGCAGATTCTTAAAGAAGGAACCAGTGCTGGAAGCAGTCTTGAGAGCTCTCAAAACATGGTCTGGGCAAAGGCTGAAAACATTATCTCGGTTGGGTATCCAGTCACTAGATACGCCCAGAGATTACTCCATTCCTTTCCTAGTTTAGGAGCTGCAGGCATTCCCATACTTGAGATAAGATTCAAACAAGATTCAAGGGCACGCCTTCTTGTTTCGACAGTTGAGCAAGCAGGACCGACAAAAGATGACTAAGCGACACCAGACACTGAAAATGGCAGATATATCCTGGACTTCAGATTTTATGATTGTTCGGTGCTTTGTAGGGCAGAAGCATCTTTGGCCGTAATCTGCCACATGTTTTGCGAGTTCACATAGTGCCGCTTCTCTCAATAACATACCGAAACAATATTTTGAACTGGTCAGTGAGACCTACGGAAAAAGCAATATATTGAAGCAAATAATTTTTGGCAACTCTTGTCTGTGCACAGAAACGGAGTCACCGCGAAATATAAATAAAAAATGCACCCTTAGATTCTTGGAGCTTTTAAGATTGGTAAATGATTAATCTATGGTGCGTCCTGAGCTGATGCTTTTCTGTGCTATTGAACCAATCATTTTTGTCTTATATAAATCTATCTGGTTTTTGTTTGCTTGTTTTTATGGTGCATGCCATGTACCGCTTCGAGCTATTAGAAGCACTACTGTCTCTTTCCTGCCAAGCGTGCTCATGCCTGGCCAAGAGAACCTAAAAAATCTCAATGCCGGGGCATTCGCCGACGACGGTGGCATTTGCGCAGTTGTTGATTCATTGACTTTCTTGAGCACTGTTAATGACCTTGTTTTAACTTTTGCAAGGATCCTATTTCCGTTAATTTTGTGCCAAAAAATGTTAAAAAAAATTGATTGCACAATTGTATTGCCTTATGGTGCCAATACATAGCATACCACTCCAAGTCACAAAACCTTGTGCCTGCGAAACATTCCCCAAACCCAGACTCTTCAAAATAGTGAAACATTTAGCCCACAAAACTAAAGTAATTTACAGTAACCACACCCATTTTCACTTCAACAACAAGTAGCAAAAAGTTTTGACTTCTTGTGCAGAATCACTAATTTCTTCCTGTGCTGAACTAAGATACTTGCATGTGCATTTAAAGGGGCACTGAAGTGCGTTTTGGGATCCTTGTTTTATTATCATAACACAATCTACAAGCTTCAATCATTCTAAAAATCCCAAAAATTACATTCATGCGTGGCCGATTTGCATATTAGAAAAGTGATTGATCAAAGCTTCCCACACTTATGATCGGGCTTGTCCACGCGGGATCCCATCGCTCTTGAGTGACTGACAGGAGCCGTCATTCGTTCGACAGTATTCAGCAAGGTCCAAAAGTGCCGTCTGTCGTTCTGTGCCGATGGCGAGAGTTCGGAACATTAATCACTTTTTTGATATGCAAAGCGGCCACGCATAAATGTGATTTAGGGTTTTTTAGGATGCTTAGAGCTGGTATATTGAGCTATGATTATAAAACTAGGATCTCAAAAGGCACTTTAGTGCCCCTTTAAGGATGCATCAAATGCAAAAAGCATAGTTTTTTTTGCTTCCAACAACCAGATCTTGTAAGAACCACGCACAATGTATACACACTTTGCTTTTGCCCCCGAAGTGACAAGGAGCATAAGATCAAAATTTCTCAATCATGACCAAAAAAAAGGTGGGCCCTCACTTGACGTAGTAGACACCGTGGTCGGGGGAGTCCACCCTCTCCCAGCCCGTGGGCAGGCCCTCCTTCTCGTACGGGTGGCTCCAGTGGGTCGTCTTAGTGTTATGGTCGATGAAGTAGCGCCGACCGCGCATCGTGTAGTCCACCGTCCAGCCCGGGGGCAGCGCCAGCTCCTCAGACCCCCCCGCGGCCAGCCGCGGCTGGGACCCCGTGCTGCCCCCGCCCATGGCAGTAGGAAACCTGGCAATCGGAGCGCGAGAAAGAAGAAAACGCTAGCGTCGGCTCGAGGTTGGAGCGACGACATCCGACGGAGCCCCACGTCGTCCAAACCTTGCCTTCACAAGCCAAAGAGTAAGCGGCCAAATACCTCTCCGGCCACACGAAGTGTGCGCCACCACCGGTGAACTGCATCACATACCAGCGCAACGACGTCGCACCAGGTGCGTTCCCTTCCCTCTGCCACGGCGACAAACTACTCACTCCACCGCCAGCGACATACTTGGTCGTGGCGGCGATTGTGCACCACCAATCGGCTGGCACTGTGGGCAATATATGGCTACTGCCACACGAAAGCACCACGGTCAACATCCATTAAATAACCCTGCGACAGTATAGCGCACAAAAGAATGCTGCAACTGAACCTGCACCTGACAGCTACCAACAATGAAATAGAAAGTAACCCAGAAGAAAATATGCAGGTGGCAGATGGACAGACTTTCGGGTGACGACGCTGCTTCACGGAGAAACTGGACGTACAATTTATGGCAAATTGCTAGGCAATTATGTTGCATACGTAAAATGTTCTAGCCTCACAAACGCTTATAGACACTCCAGAGTTTCCAAATGCTGGACGCCTACGTTCACGGGGCTCTTCATGAGAGTTTCATGCATACCACGTGTAGCCTCGATGGTCGTTCCCACAATGGAGCGATACTACCGCTAATCGGGCCGATGAACCTGGTGATCTTTCAGAGCCTTCCACACTCTCGAGCTCCTCTCCCTCAGTGCGCAGAGGTGATTGAGCTCATCCTTGCCTACCCCTCTGGTCACGCGACCTCCTCGTCAACCAATCGGAGTCGGCCACCTCACTTTTCCTCTCCCACCCGTCCACCGCTGGGTGTCGAGCCTCACGGCCACGCTTCTGACTGGGATTCACGAAAGCCGAACGCCTAGCCAAAGACGTTTCGTGCCATAAACCAGACAGTGCACACGGCAATGTAATTCCTCCTGCCAGCTTCATTTTCATGAAAACTGCCCCATATGACGACGATTCACGTAAAAAAACACAATCTTGCCTCGTTACAGGCCGCTCACACCCCATTCTGCAAATCTCTCAATCCGTCGCAAACGGGCTGCATGGTAACGAGACAATGCGGAGGGGACCGACGAACCTCTGCAGAGAAGTGCTGGTCCCGCCAGCCGCCATGCCCTGTGGTAGCGCCTTCAGCTGCTGGTGGCTCGACGCCGCCGCAAGCATGGGCGCCGAGACAGGCAGCGCTGAGCCGTTGCTCACAGATGCTGGGATCAGCTGGCTCGAGCTGAAGATGCCCGGCGTGTAAGACACCACCGTCGTGGCGGAGACGGCAGCCGTCGACGGCAGCTGCGGCCCGCTACCGGCTGCAGGCGAGTGGCAGCTCGTGTTCACTGCACCGGGAAGAGCACACCTGTAGTTCACAGCAGGAAACTTTTTAATCTCGAAGGTCTGCCTCAAAGAGAGGCCGAGAAACCCCTCTCTTCTGCAGATCAATGCAATGAAGCAGTTACGAAGCCTGCGGACGTAAGCCGGGGCTCTTAAACTTTAAAATTTCGAGGTACACCTGCCGGTCTTCTTGGTATTAACATTGTATGAAGCAATGTAGAAGACAACCTACCTTGTAAATGATAAGGCACATACTAGGCAGTGTGTTGGCTCATGGTTATGCATCAATTGGTGGCTCAAATGTGTCCGAGTGGTGCTTAAAGGCCGACCTGCAAAATAGTCTTCAGTCGGGAAGAAAACCGGTTTCCAGTTTCCTTCTCATTATTTCCTCTTGCACTCTTCTCTCCTCTACTTCCCCACAGGAGGAGGTCTCAGAGTTACTTCCCACAGAGAGGAGGAGGGTCTCCCTCTTTCTCGAAGGAAAACGAGGAACCGAGGGAGAGTTTCCTCCTTTCTGCTTGTTGGTAGACTAGAAAATTGCATTGTGACATCATGTTTTTAGTTTGTGTTGCAACTAGCTTTTGGACCTGCTCGGACCCGAGATGAAACAAAGTATGGTGCTGATGGAATGTGAAAGTTCGAGAATATGACGTTTCCCGGATCAAAAGATAAAACAGAAAAACCGAAACTTCTCTATGAACTGTCATTCCCCATGGCCTAATATTTGTCGAACCATGAAACGAAAAAGTGGGCACCTGTGGCATTTCAGCGAAGAAAAGCTTGGCGACAAAGAAATCCATATCGTCTTCCTTGCTGACATACTTGTGTGGTGCTGCCCCTCTTCCCATATAAAGGCAGCTGGTTTATGTAGTCTGTCCCACAACAAAACAGCACTTGGAAACACTCCGCCTGTCCCTATCTGGGTGAAATCAACTTCCCACTCCACCATTGACTATGTGCGTACCCGACACCCTCGTGATGTGCGGAGGTCCGGAAGCGTGCAGGGGCCTCTCCATGGGCTGCTGCTGCTGCTGCTGCAGCTGGGATGCTGGGGGGGCCATTGCACCCTGCTGCTGCTGTGCGTACTGCTGCCGCTTCTGCTGGTGATACTGTTGGATCTGGAAGTTCTCCTCCTGGAAGAAGGAATCTCCAGGAGGTCCTTCCGACGACGGGGAGCGGTCTTCAGCCTGAACCGGCTGGGGATACTGCTGCTGCTGGTGGGTCTGGTCCACTAGAAAAACCCCGAGCAAAAAGCGCAAAGTGAGAAGGAACGCTAGGCAAGCCCAAAAATTAACCATTGGGCTACAGTCTAGACTGCAGCAAGTGGAACTTGTTCTGTGTTGTTAGTGCTCACAGACTTGCTTAGCTTGCAGCTTGGTCATGGAACTGATTTTGATGGGATTCAGCTGGATTGTCTCATTCCCAGCTGGATCCAACTGGGACCAGTTACATAACCCATCTGCAAGTGGACTGATTTTTTCCTGGGCAGGTGAAAATCAGTCCACTTGCAGATGGATTATGAAAATGATCCCAGCTGGATCCAGCCAAGACTGGTTCCATCATCCAGTCACATGCTGAGCAAGTCAGCGAGCGCCAGCAGCACAGAACGAATCCCAAAAGGAAACATTGGGCCGTAGTCTGTTGCAGGTTAAGAAAAGAAGGTTGAGCTACTCGCACAGCCCTCCCTCTTTCCACTTTAGCAGAATGAATGCTCAAGAGGTGAGTGGAGAGAAGGAAAGCACAAATCGTGGTGAGAAGAGGGCTTTGTGGGAGGGGAGGGGGGGGAGGTGGCTTGTCCTATTACTCTAAACCTGCAACAAACTATAGTTGGACAGACATAGCAACAACAGAAACGCTGCTGTTTACAGACACAGGTAAAAGTGGACGGCACACAGATGGCGCTCGTCTTGTCTGCTTCTACTGATCCTCGTCAAATGCGCTAGTAGCGTTTTTAAATGAGCTGCACCATTTGTCAGTTCCTAAGAGTGGAAACTGGAGCCTCATGAATAACATACCACTCACAATAATTAAATCTCTCCCCTCCAGATCTAACTTGGACAGTAGCAAAAAATTGTGAGCACAAGCAGGAACTGTTAGAGGGCTGCGAAATTTGGCTTCTGCAGTTTTGCACCCTGGCAAGGCTTCCAAGACAAAGGGAAGTTCTGCCAGAGCTGTCACTTGCGGTAGGGAGACAACTTGGCTAGTATAGTACACCCACTAACCTGGGGTCTCTCTGGGCATCACACACACTAGAGATTGCAGAAATGCAAGCTCTTACCGTGGCCTTACGGCATTGGGCATGGCCCAATATATATTGTTGAGTCGCGAGAGCTAAAGAAACCATACTGAATGCTTGGTATACGACAATCATAGAGTGAAATATCACTTGAACAATCTCAATTGAGGAAACTATTCAGATGAATAAACTTATTGCAAATTCCCCAGAAAAACCCTATGCGGAGTGCAAGTTCATCTGCTTCTTGAGCAGGGGTTGCGGTGACGTCAGAATGCCGAGCTTTCATTGGCTCTGATGGATGGATAGTGGGTAGACCTTGATGCTACCTGCCTTGAGATCTACCCACTATCCTTCCAATTGGAGCCAATCAGAGTTCGGCGTCCCAACGTCACCGCAACCCCTAGCTGCTCAAGAAGCAAAACGAACTTGTGCTCCTCATTGCGTACAATGCATTCAGATGACTGAACCTTCACTTAAGGCAACCTTTTCTTGAGTTCTCTCAAAGTATGCTCAAGCGGTATTTCGGTATATTGCACGACCAAAGAGGTGCCTGCCTTCAAAGAAAGGTCCTGAGCCCTTGCGGTGCATCAAGGGGTCCAGGCTGAAGGGCGGTCGGGGTCCGACGTAGGGGTTGATGTAGTGGTGTGCGTGGAGTGGCAGGGAGCCCTGCTGGGGCGACATCAGCACCACCTGTTGTGGTACCAGCTGCGGCAATGATGTTCCCGGCCTTGGAGTCACGCTTACTCCCCTGCAAGAGCAAGTCACACGTGCGGACTCGGAAGCTCAACGATTCCGTCCTGGTTGATTCCAAATTTACGCGACAAATTCTGCTCATAAAATCTCAAGTCTGAGTGGACAGACCTGTAGGTACCCAATGGCTTTTCTGAATGCACTGGTTCTCAAGGACAGACACCAGAAACAATTTCAAAACTTTTTTCGTTCTGAAACTGGCTGCTGCCCAATTTTTCTCCCAAATTTAAAGCAAATATTTCTTCACACTATGAAGGGGACGACAATGAGCGCAAACCAAACTGTTACATTTAAACAAAATGTTGCATTTGCCATCCTACTCTTCTTAGTGTTGACCAAATGAGAGCAACTAACATCAATTAGAATCAAAGCCTGTGCACTCTAATTTAATGTCATCACAGCGAGATCTAGCGAAAACAAAGATTGGACGTAGGTCCAATCTTTGTGCGCCAGCGTTAAGCTGGGCTTCAAGTTCAATTAACGCGTCAGGATCGGGTCCAGTAGCGGAGTTGGTGCCATCTGACTGCGACGATTTTGATTATTCTAGGTAAAGTTGGTGCAGCATAGAAAACAGAATGCAGGAGGCAAAGAGGGCCAGCATAACCACTGATTTTTGTTTACATCTGATATTATTTAACAACTAATTTCTGTAACTCTTGGACTTTTTGCATCACTCAAACTATTTACGCCGAGAGTGTAGTCGACAGTAGGCCAGCATATCACCTGGTTTATACCTGTTCGTGATTAATTTTGTAATTATTTTTGTAATTTTTGTAACTCTTGGACTCTGGTGTATTAGTATTATTCTCCTTTTCTTTGTCTTCTATTCATCTGTTTTCCTTTTCTTTTTCTTTCGCCTTCCCCCCTTTGCCTTGTCTTTCCCCTTTTCTTCCTTGGCAACCTATTCCTTGGGGTCGAAGAAGAGGAAGTTTGAAATACAATTCAGTTGATAGTTCAGCGCTGTGTGAGTGTATTTTTTTGTGTGTTTGGATTTTGAATAACTGTCTACTTGCGCTGGTTCGTAATGAGGCAAAGAGGGGAGTAGAGAGCGGAAAACGACAAGCATTAACACTAGTGGTTTTGAGAGAAAAACTGTGGAATAGAACAAGGCAAGAGCAGAGAAGGAAACCAGATGCAAAGTTAATAGTGTTCATTTTCCGCCAAGGTAATGAAGTTGTCATCGTCAACTTTGAATGCAACTATACAACGTCTGCCGCCAAAGTTTCCTTGCAAACGAAACTAGGCAATGATTTTGCAATATTTTCTTACTTCTTAGCATTTAATATCAATCTTAGAATCAGTACGCGCTCACCGACGTCTCTGTTTAAACTTCACTCTTACGGGGCAGCCCAAGGGCATGGGAAGAGGGTGGATCTCCAAACGGTACAGCTTACCCGACACTGCTCGACGTGGTGTGCCCGGTCTTGGGGGAAAGGGACGGCGGCCCCTGGTGGGGGGGCACCCCTGGGCCGGCCAGTGGCTGGCTGGGCGAGGCGGACCGTAGAAAGGGACCCAGTGGGCTGCCGTGGTCCTTGCCGCCCCCCTGCCCCACCGGCATTGGGGGCGCAAGGCTGGCAGCTTGGGAGGCCCGGTTCTGGCAGGCCCGGGCGCACTTCTCTGCCAGGCTCGCCGGTTCGGAGGCGCCCGACTCAGCCTCGTCTTCCAGGGACCCTTGGCTCGTGCGGTCCTTGGCAGCCGTCCACGTGTTCACAACTGTGGGTGTATGAGACTGTGCTGTCACGTCGACCCATGTTCTCTTGCATACCTATGAACACTCCTTTCCATAGCAAAGTTGGGAGAGAGTAAGAAAGTCTCCCCTTGGTTTGGCAAAGGCAGTGGTAACACAGCATGCAACTGCGCTACTTTCTCAGAAGTTAACGGAGCGTGTGGAAAGCAGAACAATTGGAATGCGGTAGTGCCGAGCAGAGCCCTGGTGCCAGCTTGTGGCAGAAGAGAACCAAACAGCCTAACTACCTCAACCCATTGCAGCTAAGTGAGCACGTCTAACGTAGTGTACCATTTTCCTCCGCTCTTCTGTCACTCTCTCTTGTGCTCTTTCTCTTGAGAAGTCTGGAGCATGCTTGTTTCATGGAGCAGAGTGTTACTATATGTATGAACACGCTAAGTTTTCTCTTCACTGGGAGTAACACAGACGCACTCGAGGAAGGCGTTCGGCGGGCACTGGCGTCCAGAGGAGACGAGAACTGCGTCGGCGTTTGGCTGGCAGTCTGCACGTCGACTTCCGTACCCGCTTGGGCAACAGAAATGGTTAGGTGTTCTTCGGTGCGAAAATTATATTATATTTATGCAGGCTTAATATACACACCGAAACCATTGCACAGCTTTTGGAACACACCAAACCCAAACCACTGATAGGACAGTTCCATGAAACATATTTGCTGCTCAAAATTTTACTGGTCGATGAACTTTCGCCTTATGTTTTTCTATGCAAAGAGGCAGCACGTTCCAGGTTGCTCTGGACCCCAACATCCACACACAAGACGTCGTGTCCTGGACTAAGGCAAAGGACGACTGTGAAAGTGTTGCAGTCCATCCCCTTCAGTCGACCTGATACGGCACCCACTTTTAGGTGGAGTCCTACCAGCTGCAAGCCATGCTGCAGTGCAACTGCTTGATCCAGGGCATTAACAATAAAGCTTGCAAGAGGCCCCAACTGTGATCTTGCTGCACAAGCTAAGATAAACTAGGTTAGCATATCAAGATGGCTACGCCCTTGTGGAAAAGGTGTATAGAGTCGGCCCAAGCTTTCATCAACACCCTACAATCCCCTGCACTGCGCGGTGCATTGTGTGGCCGCCGGATGGCTTTGAGGGATTTTACAGAAAGGTTCATCCCAGACGACAAGGTGATCTGAAAGTTTGTAGCTTCGAACGGAGCTTCCGCTACATAGCAGAGACTCCTCCGAAAGTTGTGTGGAAGGAATTTGTAACTAACAGGTAAGTGAAGCGTTATCTCTAGCACTGTGGGGAAAGCTTTGAAGTAGCTTAGGCCCTGGTTTGACGAGTTTTAGATTCTGATTTGGGACATCCGTGCACCTGAAGTAATTCAGGATACAACCGATTCAGCAGTCTTTTCATTGAACACTGTGCCAAACCAACGAGCAGCTGGCATGCCCCAGTGGACAGTGGAGGAGAGAATTAGTTCAGAGCTTGCAGTATTCTTAACCAAAGTCTAGCCTGGGTCAAATTACGGGCACCTCGGCAGAGACCAGAACCAGTTAACCAGACAGCAGTAGACTTGTTTTTTGTTTTGGTTGGACAAACATGCAACATTTCCCCCTGAAATCAAATGCTGTGGTGCATTGCCTTCTTGTCAATTACTAGACAAATGACAACTAGTGTCAACAGACAAATGATGATAGTCAGCATTGCAGAGATGAAACATAATAGGCTGGCTCCAAGCATGGCAATTAATAATAAAGAACCATCCCTATGAAACTTTGCAATCCCTTTCAAGCTCTGCCTCTATGCGTTACTAAGATTTAAGTTGCACATTGGATGATGCACATACTTACTTCGGGTTCAGACAGAACAAAACAAAACCCTGGCATTGGTCCATGTCTGAAGGAAATCAGAGCAGAAAAAAATAAAATACCACTACCAATGTGGTAATGTTAAAAAAAAAAATGCATCGGTACAAACCTGGCAAGTGAGGTGGTGTTTCCTTCTTGACGTACTTCCCCGCCACGCCATCTCGTAAATACTTGAGGTCTTTCTTCTTCGATAACATCAGAGTGCCGCTGGGCCATTATGGGAAGGCCATGATCTTCTGCACATGGGAAGGAATGCGCTGTGGTTTCGCTCGCTGGCTCTCATCACGAAGAAAGTTGCGGTAGACACTACGGGGGAGCGAGCTTTTCACGACTGCTGAACACGAGAAGCGTGCTGACGAGCGGTCGACAGATAAAACGCGTGAAACTGGACACCCGGCCGTTATCCACTAAACTGGTAAATGAGAGTTCACAAACACACACACTAAGAAAGTAAGTTCATAAACTCCCGAGCTTGCGTTCAAGTTGCAACACAATTTTATAAAGAGACGTAAAACAGCGAACTAGGGACGCCGGACACGAGTGAGAAGGGAGATATGCATCAGCAGAACCTCCTACATTTTCAAGGTTCGCGGTGTAAAAGGCTCTCGAACCAAATTTAAACCACCGCAGCGGTCGGGGCCACCGCGACTTCCGTGGAATTCAACAATGCGAAAAGTCATGCTGTGAAAACGTACCGAATCAGTCACGCTCTTCTAGTCTTTGCGTGCAGTGAAATCGCGACAGCTTTCAATCTTTTGACATCACAAGGACGAATTAACCCCTTCGACCGTCAAAACTAAACTGAGCATTATGATCAAAAGCTAACGCCAGATTCCGACCGAGAACTTGAGTACCGCCTATCGAACCGACCTCACAGAGCAGCGAACTAGTCTACAGTCTACACCAAAGAAGCCGAAGCTGCCGGTGCTGCCATCTGTATTTGTGTCAGCGCACTACAGCTGCTACAGCGTGATCAGCGTGATAGCATGGCACGCTTTCCTAACTTTTTATCATTAAAAACCCTCACTGTCATATCCTTCTATCCTTCGTAGAGGCAGCCCATGTTCCGCGTTCCGCGCCGAGCATCACGGCGGATGCTGTCTCATTCAAAGGAATAAGCCTCGGCATATCTCCTCGCCGTCCTTGCAATCCGGTGATAGGCTGGCTAGGCGCCTGGCTGGGCTGGCTATTTGCAGCTTCGCAAACATGCACCATAAACGCGCTACAAAACGAGGTGAGAGTCAAGTCAGATAGCTTAACATCTAGTTTCTGTTGACCCAGTTCTATCGGATTGGGTTGCCTCGCTGGAATTGTGGGCGTGTGCGGCGTGCGTGCCGATGGTTGATAACCCGTAACAACAACACGGAGGCACGGACGGATGTGTTGTCACTTTTGTAAGTGCGTAGCTTTTTGGCAATAGTTGCGGTCAGCCTGTAATTAAAGCTACACGGTTTCTTTCTTTTAAAGAGCACATGGTCCTGTAACTTCTCACGTGGACGTAAATATCGTATTCGCCCTTTTCCATTCACTTGGCGTGTCGCGTCATCGTGAATCCGCCACCTCCCTTCACTACGCGTGATGCTAGCTGAGCGTGCTTTTAGCTTGCCTGTGTGCTGTGTCAGCCAGGCTACTCTTTAGTGACTTGTTTGTTTGTTTGTTTTCAGGCCTCGGCTGGGACATTACTGACGGGCCAAGGAAGACAAAATGATACCGCCTCGAGATGGAACTCCCAGCTTCCTCGTTGTCAAGCTCCAGTCCGGCGTCAGAGGACGAAGAATGTCCTGAAAATACGCGGCACGAAGCCGAACCAGCCGGAGATCGTGCGTCTACAGAGCTACTTTCACATAAGACGCGATGTCTGGAAGGCCCCCAAGGCGGAAGCACGGGCCCCCAGGGACCTGACAGTGACACTGGTGATGTGCCCGCAGATCATGTGCAGCCGGTGTTTTTGAAGGAGTTTGCTCCACTGACACACATCCTGAACCAGATACCTCAGCACGCCCAAAGGGGCTTGAACAAAGTGGACCTCAAGCTCACCTGCCTCGATGTCATAGCCGAATACCTTGCCGTTGGCTCCAATGCAGGTGTGGTGTTCTTGTACGACCGTACCAGGAACACAGTCACAAGGCTAAAATGCTCGGTGAGTGGAGGTTTCAGTGTGACAAGCATCAGTGACCCGACGTGGGAGGCTGGGTCGTGCAGTACATAAATGCACACAATTGCAAGTCTGTATAGATACTTTCTGCGTATGTAAGGTACAAACATATAGGTACAGTGCTCACCAAGCTCGTACGGAACACACAAACCGTGATTTCTCGTGGCAGTGCTATCCTGGAGGAAGGTGAATGACGGCTCCTTGACACAGCACTTCGGGATGCTTTGCTAGTGCTACGTTGCAGAACCGTTGCTTGCCCACCACGGAAAGCGCTCCCATTAGAAAATTCACGGTTTAAGCGTTCTATATAAGTGTGGTGGACACTACCTTTAATTCTTCAGTGTTCTGATAGCTTGTAGCTATAACAAATTTCTATAGTGCCAGTACTTCGGTATTTATTAACTAATTCAAGTACCTTAAAGGCCCATTGCTGGACATTACATAAGGAGGGACTGTTGAAGTAAAAACACAAAGGAGACATAGAAGATAATGCTGTGACGGATGGATGGAAAAATCATTTCATGGACCACAGGGGCACTTCAGTTAATAAGAGAAATCATTGTAAACACAAGAACAGAACAAGTGATAGGGGCGCGTCAGTGAAAATCTTGAATTAAGTATGACACAAGAACGACAAAGAGACATCCCTGAATGTTCACGAACCTATGTTAATACAGGACAACGAACGAAGATGCCAGAACTGCAAACTCTTTCCAAAATTACCAGGATCACTGCCTGGATACGGCAAAAGTGAAACTTTATTCATTAAGATTTGACAAACGATCCCAGAACAGCCCAGGATCAACGATGTCAACAATGTCCTCGGGCAGGGAATTCCAGGCTCTAATGGCTTTAGGTGTGGCTGAATTGTTAAAGGAAAGTGTGGACCCCGATATTCGGCGAACGGACCGGCTGTTGTTTGTGCGAGAGGACGCCCTGTAAGGCGGTTGGATAAAAGGGAGGTCCTATACTCCCTGGCTGTAGAATAGTTTGTTAAACAAGCACAAGAGGGAGATTTCACGACGAGGAGCTAATGGAGGCAGACCAATATTATTTCTAATTAAGGATGCGCTATCGTACCACGAATAAGACGACTCAATTAACCTGGCCGCTCCATTCGGTACCCTTTCTATTTGGTCCTTCAAGTATCTCTGATAGGGCTCCACACTGACGACGCATATTCTAATTTAGGTCTGACGTAAGTCTCGTATGCCAGCTTCCGAATATGAAGTGCAAGTTTTAAATTTCATTTTATGAAGTGTAGCGTACGCGATGCATTCGCCGTAATTGCACTGATATGAGTGGACCAGGAAAGGTCCGCAGCAAGACAAGCTCCGATGTATTTTTAGTGGGGTGATTCTGTCAAGAGTTCATTGTTCAATCAGTATGGGAATGAGGATACAATCCTTTTACGAGTGAAGGTGACTGTTTTACATTTGGAGACGTTGAGGAGCATGAGTCACTCTCTGTACCAGGCGGTTGTGTAGTGTAGGGTTGCTCTAGGTTGTGAAATTGTTTCAATCGACTACAGACCCGACATTCCCTAACATGAGCGGTTCATCCTAAGTGAGGTGGAGTCAGTAATATAGAATCGACGAGGCATCTGTGAACCTAGATTTCTATGGAAGCAATGCACAAAGGCCCTACAATAGGAAAAAAATCTATTTCAACCTTACTTTTGTTGTGCGCAAGAACCGCTGGTCAACAAATGGCTGCTTAGGGCTTCCCTTTCTTTTTTGGTTATAGAACTCTGTATACTTTGAACAACTTGACTTACATAAATTTTGCTACCTGCAAAATGTGACGAAAAGTCATTGACGTGAATATATTACCGTGTTAGCGAATACACATTGTACCACTTGGAATCATAAAATTTTGTACCCGTTACATATGTTGGCCAAAAACCCACACAGCATATCGGGACCAAGGGAGACGGAGCTTCTCTTTTTATCTTCTTATCTGAGGGAAGACGAGAGGACAGTCAGGGCACCCTGACCCTCACATCTAAACCTGCTTGTTTGTTTTTCTTGCTTGTTAATCTTGCCCCATGATTTGGTTATGTGCGCTGTGAAACGGCCTACACAAAGAGTTGTGATGTGAATTTACCAATTGCTTTCAGGACGTGTACGACACCGTGACTTGTGTCTCTATTGTTGCGTCTGTGGACTTCATGGTGGCAGCAGGATGTCAGAGCGGGCGTTGCGTCGTCTACCAAATTCCAATGGAAGGCACACGATCAAAGGTAGGAGGGAATTCTGACCAATTTTTCAAAGGAAGCTACATAAAGTGATTGATTGATCAAAAACATGTATTTTGCATGAAAATGTGGATTGATGTCTATGGGTTGTGTACCCTGAGACAAGGATTTGGGGGAGTGTGGGTTGTAGGGGGGAGTGGTTGACTGTGGTGCTGTTAGATTGATGTATGAATCCTGGATTTCCTAATGAACTCCACAGAATTTTGCTGCGTTTTTAAAAGACAATTGCATGGAATGGATATCTCTCTTCAGTTGGAGAAAACAATATCTTCAAAATGGTTGCTGCCTTTTCAAAAATTTCCAATTAGAAAATTGCCTAGCAAAAATCACAATTCTTTAAGAGTTTTGAGCAATCTCTTTATTTGGCTGAGATCCTTCCCATGTCACCTTTTCCTTTGTTTTAATTAATCGGAGATCTCTTTGCATGTGTTTTCTCCACATGGTTAGTTTACTTGTGCCTGATCGTTAGTGCTTATGTGCATTTCTTTTTACAGCATTATCCTAGTCTTGCGAGAATTACCACATCAATGCATGAATAAACCATATTAATTCTGGATAAGCCTTTGATCATGCATGGTTAATGACGTCTATGTCAGCAGCATCTTAGGCCAGCGGTATGATCAGTTGTGTTTCTGGCATATTTCTCGTGCATTCCCGGTATATTCTAAATTGGGGCTCTGATATGTATGCTCATTTATTTTTTGACACACAACTTGCAGATGGAGAAATACCTAATTGAGAACATTCACCGCACATCTGTCACCTGCATCTGCTGGAGCCCCAACGCCATGAAGATCTTCAGCGGTGACGCTGGAGGCCTTGTTTCCTGTACAGAAATCGATTACGAGCAGGTGGGAACAAACTCTTTGAGCTCGTTCTGCCACGCCTTGCTCCCTGTTTTCTGCAGGGGTTGAAGAACTGAACATTTGGTTAAAGAACCAAACGTGTGATATAAGAACAGAACTTGTGAAGCCAGTGCTGGACTTGCAGTGCAACCACTGGAACTGGATTTATGTTGTAAGAACTGAACTTAAGAGGCAAGAACAGAACTTATGGTATAAAAACAGAACTTATGGTATAAAAACAGAACTTATGGTGTAAGGAACAGAACTTAATCTGTAAGGAGAAGAACTTATGGTGTAAGAGCTGAACTTATGGTGTAAGAAATGAACTTATGATACTTACGATGTGAAAACAGAGCATACGGTGTAACAACGGAACTTGTGGTTTGAAAACTGAACTTATGCATGCCCACCTTGCAGCACCTGAGCACAACGAAGAAAATCTTTTCGGAGGAGCACCCCGTTGTGCAAGTGGACTACGTCCCACAGCTGCTCCTGGTGTCAACGATGCGGCGGACGGTCGTCTGCCACCTGGCCAAGGGCAATGTTGTGATTCAGTTTGGACAGCGAGATCGTAAGAGGTGACTGCCGTTCGGGGTGCTTTTGAAACCTTCCCAGTACCATGGTGAACTTGATAGAAAAATGTGACCCCTTCCTTTTAGACATACAGACAGCAAACATGGACGATAAGAAAGCAGATGCCAGTGGGGCACAGTGCATCCTGTTCACACCTGCCTTTCCCCGCTGTTCTGTTGAAGTATAGACCCCAACATGTTTGTTTTTTTGTTGACTCAAATGATTCAAGATGATGTAGTATGACCCCGAAAACAAATCACATCTTGAAAAAAGAATTTCTAACGTGCAAACCTTACTACAAAAAAATTGACATCTTCCTCCTCTGCTGTCTTTCCTCGCTTCATATTTGCAGTGACCTAGATGGTGAAATCTTTTTCTGGAAATTTAGAGGTTTCACAAGTAGCATGTCTAACAATAACGACATTCATCAATTATTATTTTCATTATGATTGCAAAGGCACTATAACGCTAACTTCAAGATATATAAAATAAAAAATTTTGAGTCTAAAAGTGTGAGCAGAACACTACTCAAAAAAGAAACTTTAACTAAAAAAGGATGTGTCGTTCGCACTCGGAGAAAAGAGATGTGGCGTGCATAGAGCAAGGGTGTGTGATTGGCCGGCAGGTGCTCCCGTTATCGAGGGGAGGGAGAGAAAGATAAATAACGATTCCGGTTTGAAGTCATCCAAAAAGCATGAGTGCACCATTTTGCCATTGAAGTCATCGAGTTGTGTGGAAAGATTAAATCCGGCTTTTTGTAATAATATTTTTTCTTTGCAAATATGCAGCTCCTAAATTTCAGATATGGAGGATGATGCCAAGGGATGATTTTTATTTGTTTGCAACAACAAAGAAAAAAAGAAAGTAAATTGATTTTGAGGTGTTGGTTGCCCATCATTAGTAAAATAGCGCAAAACAACAAGGAAGAAAGGGCAAGATAGACAGGAAGGGCGCTAACTGACAACTGACATTTAATACAGTCTATAAAGGAGGAGAAGAAAGAAGCAAGAAGTTACTGATGTTGTTGCTTAAAAGAAAGAAACGTACACCCTCAAAGTTGTTATACGTAAAAATTTAAAAATTTAAAATAAAATGTATGAAAAAGGTGAGTTGCTGATGACATCTGTGAGTGAAAAAAACCGTAGGAAATAAGGGAGGAAGAAAGAAGGAAGCAATAATTTTGAAACAGAAGGAGAAAATTGCAGAGGTGCACGATCGGTAATCGTAGATGATAAAAAAGATGAAGTTTGAGACCAAAAAGGAACCTGAGGTTGCAGGCTGAATACTTGTAGTCAAGTCATATGATTAAGGTAGTAAAGTTCCTTTGGAGATAAGGCGATCGATGGGGCGCTGACGCACACCGCCCCGCGAGACACGATTGTTTGAGCTTCATACAATTCTCGTGTTCTTTTGGACCTAAACTGTCTGCAATTTTCTCCTTTTGTTTCAAAATTATTGCTTCCTTCTTTCTTCCTCTCTTATTTCTTACGGTTTTTTTCACTCACAGATGTCATCAGCAACTCACCTTTTTCATACATTTTATTTTAAATTTTTACGTATAACAACTTTGAGGGTGTACGTTTTGTTAACGTAGCAGCTTGGGCGAGTTGGTTGCACATGATAACACACACCACAGCGCACTATAGCAAATAACACTCACACCTTACACACGAAAAATAAAGCAAAATTCAAACAAACCGCGCTGACTGACAACTCTTTTTATATAACTTTGTCTTCTTCAACTTCTAGCACCACCGAATTTCCCAATTCACGCGCACCGATCTCCTAGATGCCTAAAAATGTTTTCTCTTTTTCTGTCAGGTGTACGTTTCTTTCTTTTAAGCAACAGCATCAGTAACTTCTTGCTTCTTTCTTCTCCTCCTTTATAGACTGTATTAAATGTCAGTTGTCAGTTAGCGCCCTTCCTGTCTATCTCGCCCTTTCTTCCTTGTTGTTTTGCGCTATTTTACTAATGATGAACGACCAACTAGCCCGCCAGCTCACCTTGTTGGTTGCCCTTTAATAAAATTCAGTGGCCCAACGTGCAGTAGCAAATTCGCCGGTTGACCGAACTTGGCATCGGCAGCATGGCAGCAACGATAGCTTTGGCGGCAGTGGGTTCGACTGTGCACTATCGGCCACAAACGAAACACGAACAGTGGAGCACATGGCCTTGGCATCACTCCGCTGGTAGCGCGTCAATACACGACGCGCTACCAGAGGCTCCTAGGAACCAATAAAACTGCAGCGTGGAGAGGGGGTGCCAGTGTGTGAATGTCCTACATAGGTGTCCTACCCTCTCTGCTATGCAGCTTTACCAGTTCCTAAAGGCGTGGCGCAGCATGTGTCGATCGAAGGTCGTGCACTCCACCGGTTGTGTTTCATTCGTACTCGACTGTACGCTCCCAGTCACTGATCACCGACAAAGCTTGAACGGCAGGGAGAAGCTTGAGTTGTTCCGCCTCCAGCGCGACCTTCCTACCTTCGACGATGCTTTGATGTTTTCGTGCACCTCCAGTGCACTTGCAGCCAAAGAACGGTGGAATGCTTGGAGTGCATGCTAAAGGCCGGGCATTTGAAAGACACGTCCTGTTGTTTTCACTGTGTCAGTGACCATGGTATATACTAAACAAAACATTTTCTTCCCAATCGGGTTGCGTTTCCCGTCTCTCCAAACAGCCCGGGAAACTTCGGGGCCTGCTTTGCGCCACAGCCGTTTGGCGAGCGGCGCGTCACGGTGTGGGCCTGCCGGCCCAAGATGCGGCTGTGGCGGGGCACCCCGGAGGGGGTGGTGCTGGAGACCCTGCTGCTGCAGGACTCGCTGGGGCGCACGCCCTTCACGCCCCAGACGCTGCACCTGCCCAAGGGCTCCTGCCTGGACAAGCTGCCCGAGGCGCAGTTTGGGCCCCTCAGGCCCTACCTGGACGGCCTGCTGCTCACCTGGAGCAACGAGGCCTTCTTCGTCGTAGACCCCCAGGTGAGGAGGGATCGGTCAGCCCATTTTGGCTACTTCACACACTTGCGATCGGGTGTGAGCGACTGCATTTTATCCTCCGGGGACTGCTTGCACCGAGAGATGACGCTGGCACTGTCTGACATTCTTTGGAACAATTCTGATGTGCATATTTCTTCCCGTTACAGCGATAGCCGTTGCATGCGCTTCCCACCGCTGGAAATGATGTCGGTTTCTGCAGGGTGCCCATCGTTGATGTCGTCAGATGCTTGTAAAAAAATCGCCTGCCACCGCGGGTTTCTTGGCACAGTCGATTGTGATGAGCCAGAGTCTAGTGCTCGGGCTCATCATTCGGCAAACATTTGGGTAGTAGCTCATGTTCAATCAAAGATGAGATTAGCTGAACTCTAACAATGTCTTAAGCTCAGCCCATGCCCTATGGTTTGTCATCCCCAGCGCACGACTGCGATGAGCACTGGTGGTTTATAATCAGCATCGGACTACATGGCCACTTGTTTTAATTGCAAACCAAAAAAGTAAACACTGTTTTTTTTTTTTTTTTTCTGCGTCTGCCATTGCACAGAGGGGAAAACTAACGGGTATTTTAAAGATTATCAACACGAGTGATCAGTTCTTAGCGGTGGTTACTGAAAGTAGGTATTAAAATCGTTGCATGACCCATTTTTCACATACCCATCATGGAGGCACCCAAACATGCTTTCGTTACCGCTGAACTGCCTCAAAAAGTTGTCCCCAAGAGTTGAAGTATTGAAAGGACTAAATCTGACTTATATATGTGACGTTACATTGCACTACAAGTGTGTAGGGGGGTTTGACTCAGAGTCGTGTATGGAGAGAGTTTGGTCAATGGGAGGCGCGGGCAGAGCCAGGGCATGCACCAGACTCGGAAAGAGGGCTTGGCATGCTCTCTTGACCAACCAGAAGCCGAAAAGAATCCCCTAGCGGTGGTAGCGAGAAACAGTTCTGATCAAAGTTATATGTTCGTATGTGGTTTTAATAAGCGCTTAAGAGTGAAGTGTAGTAATTCTTTGTGGTTGAAAATAGGGTTCACGTGATGTTTCGGTCATGATCAACCAGAAAGATGTAAGAAACGAATGCGCCGCTCAACTCTGTTTTGCTCGGACAGAGTGTGACCGCTCGGACGGCAGATTCCCGGACCTCGGCGCTTGGCGTAAGGATTATGTCAATCGTTCTCTTTCACCATCATTTTGGATGAGCGTAATTAAAACATCACGTGTACCATATTTTCAGTCACCGAGAGTTACTCCGATGCGCTTATCAGGTTTGTTTCTCGCGACCACCGCCGGGGTATTATTTCCGGCTTCTGGTTGGTCACATTCGAATTTGTGAAAACGTCCTGGAACACGCCCAGTCCGCTTTCGGCCAATGGCGCCTCTGCATTTGTCTCCTATACTTCCCAACGAATGGCCAAACTCTCCACATATACGGCTCTGGTTTGAGTATACCTCAAAAGAAAGACACTGGTCGCCTAGCTCAAAGCACTGATGTGATTGTTTATGCCAAAGTGCTTACCCTGCTACATCCGGCTACTTTTTGCCAAAATTTGAGGAATTTGCGGCAATATTGCGCCAAAAGACGATATCATTTAATTGATCCTGAAAATGTAACTGCTCGGGCTTCGCTACATGACCAGATTGTTACGGTAGGCTTGTGTGAATTTTCTGAACTTTTGTTTATTGCGCCAAATAGTATACTATTTGATTTCTTCTTTTTAAACACTGACAGTACACGGAAGTTTCCCAATATTTTTCGTAAGCCTGGTCTGTTCCGTGAGGTTAGCTAGGTTTCTTGAGTGTGCTTCTCACCGTGCACTGGTGTATTGCAGTAAAGCGACAACTGCAAAATAATTATCGCAATTTTGCGTATCTTGTTTTGCCGGAGCACACGCACATGCTTAGGGGAAAGCATTCTTCCAGAATGGGACATGACACAATTTCTGAAAAAGCTGTAGCCGTTGCATATAGACCGTTTTGCTATTCACAAACATGAACTCCCGCTTGTGTCCCAAGCGACTTCGGTGGCTTCGTCTTTGCAAACCTGTCAATAACATGCGCAAACAAAAAATGTTTTTTTTTTTTACTTTTTACAATGGTAGGGGCTATTTTTCGGGACTGTTGAATGGAAATCGGGCAGTCATTTCAGGGTTAAGCCATATTTTGTGACTGCAGTTCGAGCATTGCAGTGTGAGGATTCATTAGAGCCTAGTCTTGCTCATCTCTGCTTCCAGGCGCGGGCGTTTGCTGTGGTCTGTCCCGGATTTGTGAACATCACGGACGTGGCTGTGTGGGGGGACGAAGTGTTTGTGCTTCAGGCGCGGAGGCACATTGTGCGCCTGGCATCCCATCCGGAAGAAATCTGCTGGTCCCTCTCTGAAGGTCTGTCGAGCCTCATCCTAGGCAAACAGATTATTGGGAAGAAGTGGATTTATAGATGCTGCGCCTAAGTGCATGAAGGGATTGATGGGCTCTAACTTCATGTGTTTTTTTTTTCATGGCTGGTTTTGGGAGTGCTGCATACTTTCTTACATGGAGCTGTGGGATGTTACTTTTATTTGATGGCAGTAAACTTGGTAACTGCTAGATTTGTGTTCTGTAGATTTACCCAGTAACGCTTTTTGTTTAGCTGTATCATGCATAGAATAGCAAGTCACGCATAATATATGAAGGAGTATGAAGTCGGGATTTTGGAAACAGCCTTGACCCTTTTCCGTTATTTCAAAGGCCTTGAAGAGAAAAAAAATTAGCGTTCCGGCTTAAGAAATTGTGGTGCCACAGCCTACATGTTTTGTTAACACACTTAGTCGCATATATTTTCAATCTATTTTTTTAATTTTCAATGTTCCTGGATTTATTAGGGAAATTTAGAAACATAATACAAACTTAGAATCAGCTCCAGGTAAATAGGTCCTAAATTGATACAATAAACAAGGAAATACATTCTAGTACCCATATCCTTTTTTAGTTTTGACATATTTGGGGGACAGGGGGAGCCATTTCTGGAACATTCACCGTTTTGTCAGTTTCGTGCCCTCGTCCCAGTCTACAGCAGTGTCCTGTCGAGTTTGTGTCTTTTCTTTGTCTATGTTTGCTGAGTCGTTTATCCCCCATCGTGTACGATGCTTGCTGACTGGCCCATTTTGCTCCTCTACTATAGTCTGTTGCAGGATAAGAAATTGGGTCAATCTCTTCCCGCAAGGCTCTACACTCTTTCTTCTCTAGCAGACCGAATGCTGGAGGGGAGGCAAGTCACTCTTCGCCTCCTCTCCACCACTCGCTTTGCTAAAGTTGAAAGAGTGACTGGCTTTATGAGAAGAGCTTGTCCTTCTCTTTCATCCTGCAACAGACTATAGTCGAGTTCCTTTTCTTATGCCCGCCTGCAATCCCTACAGAGAGCGACAACCTGCTGCCAGACATGGCTACAATCAAGAACACACTGGCGACGCCCTTGGCAGAGATCGGAGCGCTCATCAAGGAACACCGCGTCACCATTCCCGACACCCCCGTGCTGCAGCTGTTCAAGGGAAAAGCAAACGGCTTTGTCCTCGACTGGATCCGGCAGAAAGCGCCACATGGAAGGTCGCAAAATGAGTCGATCAATGGCACGAAGTTGCGGGAACGAGCGGATTCTGTGGAAGCCAGTTCCGTGGGCGGCAAATCGAGTGGTACTGTTTTGGGAACCGGCATGCGGAACTCCTCTTCTGCCAACGCCTTGACTGCATTGCCGCCGTGCGAGACCGCAGCGCCGACCTTTGGGAGGGTCAGCAGCTTCCAAACGCTGCTGTTTCTGGACGAGCCGGAAGCGGAGGAAAGCATAGTCTTCAACGCCAAGAAGACCAAATCAAAAAAGTCTGGTGAGTTCAGCTTTTTGCTTGTGATCATTATTGGAGCGGCAGTGGTCCAACTTTGGGGAAAATATTCTGCGTCATTCTGCCATCTAACACTAGAGGCATTCTTAAAATAAACTGTTCTTTGATCTGAATATTTCTTTCGCACCACTTCTTTTAACGTTTGTATGGATCTGCGATTGTGATTTCCTTTAACCTCATTTAATAAGAAAACTCCCTCCATGGTACAAATTTTAAATGTTCGCTAATGTGCGAGGTGCTGAGTTTGCATCTCAGGTTGTCCCTTCTCCAAAGAATTTGTGACATATCACTCATATGATAGCCTTGGTTATATACTTTGCGACATAAAATTGTCAGTATTGTTTTGGTTGATAAATCTTTCCTTGTTTTGTACAAGGTCATTGGTTACTATCCTGAGCACCTTAAAGGGAAGTTGAAATATTTCTTTTAAAAAATGAGATAGAGGTTGATTCAAGCATAGTTCTATCCCGTGAATCTGAACTTTACATTTGTTTTCCCGGAGGTGTAACTACTAAACGCAAGAAAACACGAAAAATGTCTGACCGGTCGTGATGTCATAAGAGGATCTTTCGACCGCCAAGCGCGTTCAATCGCAAGCTTGGTAGGTATATTCCTCTGCACTGGCACTAGTCGTGATGTCTGTTTCTGCCCTTTTTTATAAATATCAAGAGTGCGCGTGCATAGCTTTGATAGATGCTGAAAATGTGCGAGAGCAGAGATTTTGAAAACTGATTTTGTGACGTCATGTTCATGTTCCAGGAAGGAGGGCCTTCAGCAGTATTATGAAAATGATTTTCTGCATCCTCCATGCACCAAATTAGAAAAAATACTTTTGATATTCGAGATCCTGGAGGCTAAATGATAGTGGATTCGACGCAGTGCACGAGAAGCAGACAAACTAAAAGGCTGTACACAGGACAAGTGTTTACTCTCAACTGAAGTTTTTATTGAAAATAAATACCAAAGTACAGTAGACAACAGCATTTTACACCATCATAGTCAATTCAGCCTGTGTCGAGATAGAAGACGATTTAAGTGTTTCCTGGAATAGAAAAACCTCTTCAGCTTCCCTTTAATTTGCAAAGTGCACTGATCTATACAAAATATCTTTTGTACAGTGATATAAAGATAATTTTAATTGGAAGTTTAGCATTTTCTTTTGATTGTAGCATTTCAATTTTGCAGTCTGAGCAAAAAGCATAATTTGAGTGATTTCAAACTAGGTGAGCACCAAGGCTTATAAGGAATTTGTTCACTTTATTTGTCATGTTACCAATGCGTTGGGGTACCTTTTAAGTTTGTTCTGTATTCCTCGCATAGCTTGCACATAGCTTCCAGGCAAGATGCATGGTGTGCATGTTGCATCGCACGCATGTTGCATACAATGCGAAATCCATTCATAACACCACGTTACTGTCGGGAGCACAAGTAGAGCAACGGGCAAACTCTCGTCTTTTGACACCTCTCCCTCCTCCAGGTACCTCAAACAACTTGACTGTCCCGAAGCAGTGTCCCCCGTCACCAAAGAACCAGCGTCCATCCCCCGTCCCGACCTACGACGAGGTGTTCTCGTCCCATCACGCCACCGGCGGGCTTGTTCCGCAGGGGTCGAGCCCCCTCAACCCAAGCCCCCTCAACCCAAGCCCCCTCAACCCGAGCCCCAAAAGTTCGGAGCGTCCCCCGCCTTACGATGGGCCCGAGGACGAGATGCTCTCGCAGATCCTAAGCAGGTTCGGCCAGCTGAAGCGGAACGAACTCCTCGGGGACACAGCGCCGTCCCCGCCGCAAGAAGACTCGTCTCGTTCATCGTCGTCTACGCCTCCGCCAGCCGAAGCTGCGACCGAACCGGAGGTGCAGAGTTCGTCGTCCAGCCTCTCGGGCGACGCCGACCAGTCCCCGGAGGACGACGACCTCGAACAGTCATCCATAGAAGACATTTATAGGAAGCCAGAGGATGACAATGCGAACTTCGCAGAGCCTGCACCCTCTCCCGTACCCGACGTCTGCTTCCATGGCATCGCCGAGCCGCGATTCCCTCACTACGACCTCCACTGGGCCCAGGTGAAGGGTCCCGGCTCGGTCATGTGCCTGGCCGTCTGCGACGGCTACCTATGCTGCGTGGACAGCAGGGACAATGTATTCTACTCGAGGCACTGGGGGCGCGAGTTCACGTGGAAGAAGGGCTCGCGCCCCACAAACCGTCTGGCACTCTCTCCTTCCGGCGGCACATTGTGGACGTTGTATAAGGAGAGACTGTACGCCGCGAGGTCGCCCATGAAGGACGAGCCGCTTTCGCTTGCCTGGGACGAGGTAGTTGGAGGGGTGGCCAGCGTCGGCGTTACCGAGACTACCGCCTGGTGAGCTGGGTTTTTTCTTTTTTCTTGTAGTCTCGAGGTCATCTTTTCGCTGTGTTGACTACATGCTCTGTGACCCTCGTTCCTAATGTCCCATGCTTCAGTTGCAGTACCTTTCTTTGCTCGAGCTTTCACAAGGTGCAAGAAGCTTAGCTTTCTGGTTAATTTTTTTAAACCTAAAAGTGGCACCCTTTTTGGAATTGCCATTAGAATGCCCACCTTGATTTTTGGGGGTTCCTGCACTCTGTTTCACTTCATGATAGACCACAGCATATGGTATGAACCAGGGATGGGCAAAATACTTTCATGCGTGTATCGAAATACAAATACAAAATATTTAGACTCAAATGTATTTAATCATAAATACAATTAGTACACTTTTTAGGAAAAATATTTTAATACAAAATGCAAATACAAGGAGAGTATTTGATCATCTTTAAACACTTCTACAAATACATTTTGTTCCCATTTCGACATCTTAGACTCAAATTTAACCCTGGGTAAGAAAAACAACTTGCCCAAATACATAGAGAGTGGTGTCTATATGTACCAAGAATGAAGCACTTAAAGGGACACTGACAGGGTAGTTATGCTTGCCAAGGTTTCTATTTGAAAATGGCATGTGGGAGCCCAACTACCCACAACACAATATGCGGCTCAAAATTCATTTTCTTTCAGCTTGAAAACCATTGATCGAGAACTGGCCGGTTTGAGTCGCGCTCACACTCTTCTTTGTGGTCACACGCAGTTTTCTATGGTTTAGACACAACCACCAAAAATAATTAAAGTCGTAGGTCATTGAAGGCACACACTCAATACTAAAAATAGACGGACAATGTGATACCCATTTTTTGTGGGTTCTAAAAAACTGCAAATACGTTGATTGAAAAAAAGAAAAGTTGCACAGCCACGTGACTTTCTCCTCCTCTATATTTCTTCTTCCTCCCCAGCCCAGTTTCAATCTCGGTTTCGAGCAGTTCCGTTTCTTGACTTTATTAAAAATATACCTGACACTGTGGCAAAATATTGATTGGGTAGTCCTCTAACACCACAATAAATTGCCTGGCAAAAAAAATAAAATTTTTTTTTTGGTTGTTGTCAGTGTCCCTTTAACCCTCCATAACAGAATTAAGGATAATGTTAGCATTTGTGGCAGGATGTTTCGGCCTCCATTCCTCATTAGCATTTCTGATTAATCACTACCTTTGAATAGAAATGGCCCTGTAGAAAGTGTTCACTCCAGTTGGCATTATAAGCTGCGTTGAAGAATATATGCTACTATGTCCAAAACAACTGCACCACATACGAGGTGTTTTTAGAAATGCGGGTCAAATCGCTCCTGCAAAAACTATGCATCGCACAGACAAAAAGATTGATGCCATAGATTTTTCAAAGGGCACAATAATTAAGTAAAATTTTTGGCGTTCAGTATAATAAGGTAATTGATTACTTTTCAGTAAATAAATTTTTAATTAATACTTTTAAGGGGACAGTTTTAATTAGAAACTGCATGCAAATGATCACTAAATCCACCCACATTACAATGACACTAGGCACGTGCAGCATATTAGGGTGTTCCGAAAAAATGCCAAGTTTGGATGCGTTTCTAGGTTTCGATTTCTTATCGGAGTGCATCTCTGCGTCAGCGATCCTGCTTCCCGGGGCCAAAATGCACAACGTATTTGTGTCACCACGCATCATACGTAGAAGAGTCTAGATAAGAAAGCATCCAGACTACCATACGAGGTTTGCCGTTTTGTTGTTGGTGTCAGAGTAAAACTCCCCTCTATGTGGGATGCATGGCGGCGCACGCACATTGCGTGTTTTGGCCACGGGGCGAGAATGCTGGCGCGTAGATGCACTCCGGTAAGAAACCGAAACCTAGAAATGGGTCCAAATGGAGCAATTTTTTGGAATATCATAAAATGCTGTGTGTGCCTTATATCATTGTAATATGGGCATATTTAGTAGTTTTCGATGATTCACATCAAGTTTCTAATTGAAACCATACCTTTAATGTTATTAATTAAAAATGTAATTACGAAACAGTAGTTAATTACCTAATTATGCTGAACACTAATAATTTTCCTTAATTAAAGGGCCCTTTGGCACAGACTACCATGACATCAACCTTTTTTATGTACGATGCATAGTTTTCGCGGTATCAATTTGGGCCACATTTCCAAAAACACCCTGTATAATATACAAGACAAGGCTTTCAAGTTTGTGTTCTTGTGCAAAGGAGAACGAATGAATCTTGGGTGGTTCCTTGTTCAAAGTATGTATGTAGTGTCGCTCATAGCCTCAGCTCCTTTGCAACATAGTTTATATTTTCTTTTTTGAACTCATATATCTGAAATATGCTGAGATCAAACCCATTCAATTTGGATCCTTACAAAATGTCCATGGTTCAAGCTTATATGACTTGTGCTCCACAAAGCTAAATAGACCAATCCATGTGTGCCAGGTTAGTAGGGCTGATTATTCTCTGTGTCAGAGCTTCAGATTTGGTTTGCACACATTTAGTTTTCTCAATTTACCCCTTTGAAATTGTAATCGTCCAATACTTTCCCTCCCTTCTGCTAAATGGGGACCCCCATCTATTTTATCAGTCCAGAAAGGGTCCCACCCTGAAACGTGAGTGGCTGACAAGCACTGCTCTAATTGGTTAAATTTGTGGCCTTTAAATGCTTTGAAATATGTATTAACAAGTGTATTGTAAAAGTTGTTAGGTTCAGAGTATGATGCCAGCCTTGTGATGCAAAGAGCAGCTTTAAAAACGCAGCTCTTAGGCACCCGAATAGGGTAGAGCGGCATCGCCGCCGGTGGAACCGCGCTAAATTTAGCGGGAAAATTGATGTCACGTGACCTCAATACAATTCAATTCCCCGCTATATTTAACGGGGAAAATGACGTCACGTGACCTCAACAGCAATTCAATTCCCCGCTAAATTTAGCGGGAAAATTGACGTCACGTGACCTCAACAGCAATTTTGTATTTCGCTAAATTTAGCGGGGAAAATGACATCGCATATCTTGATGTCACGTCACCTACAGACAAATTCAGTTTCTCTGCTAGATTTAGCAAGAAAGTTGATGTCACCTGACCTCAACAGCAATTCAATTCCTTGCAAAATTTAGCTTGAGAATTGACGTCAGTGACCTCAACACCAATTCAGTTTGCCCGCTAAATCTAGCGAGGAAAATGACGTAACATGACTTGGTGTCACGTCACCTATGAACAAATTCAATTTCTCCGCTAGATTTAGCGGGAAATTGACGTCACATGCGGAGGAAAAGGGGAGAAGGAGGAGGAGGAGGAAGAAAGGAGGAGGAGCAGGGGAGAGGAAAGGAGGAGGATGGAAGGAGGAGGAGGAGCAGGAAAGGAAGATTAGGGGCATACCCTCCCCTCCGTACCCTCCCCTCCTCCTCCTCAAGAGCTGTGCTCTAACTTCGTGTTACAGAGATTTCTGAATGTGTCTAATTTTTTGCACTGACAGAGGAAGTGACAGAGTGATCATGGGAAGAGTAATGTACAAGCATGCCATGCAGTGATCTGTTATGATACTATACTTGCTGACAATAAGAACGACAGGGAGGTCTTTCGGTTCCGCCTCCAGTGCAAGCTTCCTAGCTTCGATAACAGATAACACTTTGTCGTCTTGTGAGTTTAGAACGTATGTGCACAACCAATGCACGGTGGAAGGCAGCGAGCATGTGCCAGGGGCCAGGCATCCCAAAGAGTTGCCCTGCCGTTATCACCCTGCCAGTGACTACAGACCATTATCCTCATCATTCATTTGGGAATGATATGGCACTCCATGCCAGACTAAAGAGTAATGCTCACTCCAATGCACCTCATGAAAAGTTATTTCTTTACTTTTGAAGGTACGTCTCCACGTCTGGGGAGGTCTTCATGTGCCCTAATACCGCAACAAATGGGAGGCCGCCGGCATTTCGTATGGTGTCCTGCTTCGTGAAAGTACAGCAAGTGACTTGCTACGATGACATCGTCTGGGTACTGACTGCCGAGGACCACCTGTTGGCTCGCGAGGGAATCTCTGATAGGACTCCCTGGGGTATCAGCTGGGTGGATGTCACGTGAGTTTCTGCTGGTTTTTGCTGGTGATATTTTATCCGAGTTTCTGGCGGTGATGTCTTGTGCAATTTTTCGCCGGTTTCTGCTGATATGACTGAGTTTTTGCTAGTGATATCTTGCAGGTGTTTCTGCTGGTTTGTGCCTATGAAAGCTTGCATGCACATGTGTCATAAGATATCTTGCAGATATATCTTATGGGGAAGGCTGGTAGCTGTTCAAATAATGTTTTTCTGGTTTGTTGTTTTGCTGCCATTGTTTGCTTTATTTATTTTTCTTTTTGTTTGCCATAAAATTCTGTGAGCAAACCTTTTTTTTTTTGTGGGGTACTTCTTTTGTGCGAGTTCATTTTGTCTAGAATTACCTTCAAAATTTCTTGGTCCTTGCTTGCAGCCTATATTTTTGTTTTGGAAGGGAGCTAAGTAGTCAGAGAAAGCAAGCAAAGAAATGTTTGATTTTCATAGAATTTGCCTTGCTGAAGGATGCTAAAGTCAAATTTAAAAGAAAAGTAGCTGCTTTGTGCCACTTTCGTTAGTGCACATTACATTTGGTATTTTCCCTTCTATGTATGTGAAAAAAAAAAAAAAATAGAAGTTTATTGCAGTAAAGAAACTAACTAAATGTGGGGGACTTCAAGGCTTTCTGTGTCAGTCTATGCAGATATACTTAAAAATATATTAAGAGTATTTGTAATACTTAATTTGTTGCTTTAAGTGTTAACTATTCGTCAAACTTCGCTTATCCAATATTGTAGGACGCTGTCTACGGTGGAAAGTTGGTGGGAATTCAAGCTTTTGTTTAGTATTTCAGACATGTACACTGCACCAATATAAGTTGTAAGAAAACGGACTTTTGTTCTCACTTCTACAGTCTCCCTTCGAAGGCCAGTCCCGCCTGCATCTCCCTGGGCTACAACTGCACAGGGTGGCTCATCGACAGCGATGGCAACGTCTTCTTTAAGACCAACCTCAAAAATAGCTCTCCGCGGGGCTACAACAACACTTGGTGGCAGGTGGGGGAATTTCGTTTGTTGGCTACACCGGTTCTTGAAGTTAGGCTCTTCTGATCGTGATACATTGTGCAAATATAAATGGCTAAGATTACAGTTGCCGCTACTAAAAAAAAAAAAGTTGTGACTATACTTTGTTTCACCATAAGGCAGAGCATAGGTTATGGGTCCAATCAATTGGTGCTGAAAGTGCAACATCATTTCATTCATACTTTTTCTGTGCCTGAGTTATCACTGGCTAGTCTAACCAAGATCAGATCATGATTTATGATCTTACACTTTCAGTCTGTATGTATTTGTTTATATGTGTCTTCTAACCTCTGACTTAATCTAAAGCACAGTACTGCAGCTTTTCACCTCATGAAATGTGCATGCCTGCACTTTAAAGCAAGAATGCTTCAAGACACCTGTCAGACTCGGGTTATCAATAGGGCTGTTGATAGACACTACACTCATTGCCAAAACAGAAAGCTGGTTAACTCAGTGGAATTTAAACTTTAGCTTCATTGCTCTTGCATGCAAGGTCTGTACTTCCTCAGCCTTAATGAAACCATCTTTTTGTCTTCGGCGCATGTCTATCCAAAGATGGACCTGAACGAGTTTGTCTACCAGTTCTCGCCACCTCTCAGCAAGATGCACAAGAACTTGAGTTCCGTCTTCAGCGCTGACAAGATCTCTCACAAGGTACTGGGCCGAGGCAAGTGGCTGCTGGCAGCCGGCAAGCACGGAGTCTGGTTCTGCGAGAGCACCTCTACACTCATCTACACCTGCAGACGGGACATAACAGGTGACTTCTGGTACCTTCATCGCTCACAGGCTTAGATGAATGTTCAGTTAGGCTGCCTTGGTGGCTTCGAGGGGATGCGCCGGCATACGGATCTCCAGGTTGGCAGATTTGAATCCTGGCCGAGACGCCCGCAGTCTGACGGAGGCTTGTTACGGAGAAGGCGCCACGTTCAGAGAAATAAAAACAGCTCAAAAATGAACACAAGGACAACTAGAAGGCACAGACAAGAACAGTGGCGACTGTGTTTGTCTCTGTCTTCTACTTTCCCTTTTGTTAATTTTAACGCTGTACATATTTATTTCTCTGGTCATGCACCGGCTTGCCTATGTTCACACCTTGCTAAAGGCATGTAAGCGAGATTTTGGTTGCACATTAAGAGGTCCCCAGGTGGTTGAAATTAAACCTGTGTCAGATGCCCTTTGTTGCGTTCGCTTGCAGAATTTCAAAATATGTCTTTTAGTAAAGCAATGCAGGAGTAACTAAGAATTAAAGAATAGCAATATTAACGTGTTTGTGCATAAGACTATAGTAAATGGGTTTCAGTTGAGCCAGTTGGTGCATGTTACTTGGACTGGGGCCAGCTGAACTTAGAGGAGAGACGAAGCGTGAGAAACAGGGACAGAAAAAGACAGAAAAAGACATAGACACTCCAGCGGAGTGTCTATGTCTTTTTCTGTCCCTGTTTCTCACGCTTCATCTCTCCTCTAAGTTCAGCTGGCCCCAGTCCAAATAAGACTATAGTATACTGAAGACAACTTAATTTTCCCCAGAACCCATTTTTGAAAGTTTTTGCGACGTGCAAAATGTCACGAAAAATTTATTGTGTGAATATATCACCTTGTGGTAACGATTTTATAGCGTACCACTGCCAATCGCCAAATTTTGCGCCCACGAAATATTCACAAAAGTTGCACTTAGCAAAATTCACGAAATGCCGAGCCCTTGAAAATAAAGTCATTTACAGTATATACCTCATATTTTTTTCCGTAGAAGGCTAGCTCATCTACCTACGTTCCTGTAGAGCATATGGGAGCCATTCGTCACGATTGGTTCCTGTACACTTCTCGTAAATTTTAGGAGCGAGCCAAGCGTCCCCTTTGTCGAGGCCCGTGACTGTCGCCGTTTCTCAATTCAATTGTTCGTCGCCGCTCTGCAGGTTACTTCTGGGAAAAGGCTCACGTCAACTGGCTTCCACAAGGCTCAAAGTGGTTGGAGCTCGCAGCACAGGGAGTCTTCAAGGACCAAGGTAATAACGCAGTCGGCGGTGATCTGCACTGCCTGAATTGCACGCGTAGCGCTATGGTCGTCGACGAGGCAAGGACGGCAGGGCGCCTTTTTGGAATGTCCGGCCTCCAGCATATGCGCCCTTTGACTTTTGCCGTGCTTTGGCTGCATGCGCACGCTCGAAACCCGCTAGACGTTGAAGTGTTAACAAAGTTAGGAAGCTTGCACATGAGGCGGACAACTGAAGGGCTTCCTGCCATCCCAATCCTCTCGATAACAATAATAAAGGCTCCCTCACACATTTGCGTTTCGGTGGGATCGACTGCGTTATGGCAGCTTGTGATGGCTTACGACGAGAGATTATGCGAAGCGTGAGTTCGTCGGCTTTTTGTACAGGAGGTTGTGGTGACGTCGGAACGCCAAGCTTCGATTGAAGGATTGTGGGCTGACCTCGAGGTAGCTAGCATAGAGGTCTACCCGCCACACTTCCAATCGGAGTCAATAAGAGGTCGGCGTTCCAACATCGCCGCAACCCCTCCGCAAGAGGCGGACAAACCTGCACTCAGCATACTAGAGATCATAGTAGTGCAGTGATGTTTGGAGGTGGGCTAGTCGGTGATGCATTGTAAACATAGAAATAAAACAGCGCAAACGAACACAAGGACAAGTAGAAGAAGAAGCGCTGTGTCTGTGTCCCTTCTTCTACTTGTCCTTGTGTTCGTTTGCTCTGTTTTATTTCTATCATAGTAGTGCACTGGCGCCATCTGTCGGGCGGCCCCAGAAACACTTCCGATCTACGTATGACTAGGCTGAAGTTTTTGCAGTTGTGGGATCGATTCTATGCACTATCTATGAGAAATTGTCACTCGTAAAATTGCTGGAATTATTCAGAGCTCAGGGTAAAGAAGGATTCATAAAAATAATTGGGAAATGATATGGAGACGAGAAGCGCTCGTGTTCTAGGGTGACCCCACGAACAACGATGATGCCATTTCTCCTCGTGAGCAGTTGGGACGCATTCGGATGTGCTCGAACACAAATGCGTGCCTTGACGTTCCCAACCAACCGCGCTTTGCCCCCACCCAGGCGTGGTTTGGGGCCGCCAGAGCGGTGGCCGCCTGGCGGCCATCTCCCCCGTCCTGCGCAAGTGGTGGCATGTGGCCCTCCCCAAGACAAAGGGAGGGGAAGACGTGACAGTAACGTGCGTGGCCCCCTCCCCCGAGTCCCTCTGGGTCCTCACGTCAGCCGGCGAGATCCTGGTGAGGACGGGGCAGAACCCGGACTGCCCTCTGGGCAACAGCTGGGCCATCCTGGACCTCGCACAGCTGGGTGAGCCTCTTCCGCGTTCACCATTTACCATATTTTCCGGTCTCTAAGTTGCATCCCCCTATATACTGCCATTTTTGCTAAAAGGTTGGTGTATAAGTCGCACCCCTGTGTAAGTTGCACTTCCCGGTATGGTCAGTGTGGTGCTGTAGCTGCAGTCAGACTGTCTTCTTACTGTTGGAACAGCAGGCTGGTTTGTTCTGGCTTTCCTCCTTTCCTGTAAATGTCAGTACTGCCTGCATTATACACAGTTAAGGTCCACACATATAAAGAAAAACATGCATATAAGTCGCACCACTGTATATGAGACACAATGGAGATCGGGGGAAAAAGTCTGATTTATGTGTCAGAAAATATGGTAGCTATTACAGTGCAATCCACTTATAACAATAATACATATACAGTCGAGCCCGGTTATATCACACCCGGGTATTTCGAATTGTTGCTTATATAGAACAGTCCAAACATACCCTTGAAAATTCCATGTAATTGTATAGGAGCGTTGTCTTTTTGTATGGAACTTTAATGGACTCCCATTGCGGGGACACGATATAGCGAACGAAGCGGTCCTTCGCTTCTTCCGCGGTCAGATTGCGCCCGCGGAGCACATAGCTCGCGTTGCGGGGCTGGCAGACCGCCAAGCCAGCATACGCCTACGGAAATACTCAACAAAAAGCAGTTGCAAAAAAAGAAAAAAAAAAAGTGGAGGATGGCAAAAGTAAAGGGAAAGGCACGCGCGCGAGGGAAGGCATGGAGTGCTCCTTAGCCCCAAAATAAGAGAAGCAAAAAACGCGGCGGTGTTTGTGATCTTCACCAACTAAGCTCTACTATGTTTAGCGACTCTTAGTGGCTCTATTTGGTAAGGTCACGTTTGTCGCGGCCTTCGGTATTAGCAGAGACGCGCGGAAATTTCAACTGGAGCTTAATATAACATCTTTTTGTATATCAAATTATCGATATATCGAACTATTTTACGATCCCCTTTGAATTCGATATATCCAGGTTCTACTGTAACAATGTACCGCTTATAACGACCAGTTTCTAGAGTTTCTAGACTAGAGACAATCAGTTTCTAGAGTTTCTAGACTAGAGACGATCAGTTTCTACTCCAGATAAAACGACAATCAATTATAAGTTTGAAATTTTGGATTTTCTCATTATGGTTGTAAATGGATTGCACTGTATTTGAAAGGTGGCTGTATGTCTGTATGTCTTGCTGTATGTCTGTTCCCTCCTACACCGTTTAGCTATGCTGCCAAATGGCACTGCTGACGTCTTATCGTGCTCCTTATTACCAACAGACCGAACTTGACAATTGCAAAGAGCGCACAATACGGGGCCCAAGCATCGTATTGGCGTGCGGTCGTGTAAGCACTACTGCTGTCTGAACCCCAGGTCAGCAGTTGTACCGCTCTGGCTGAATTGCCCCTCTACAGGACTGAGTCAGACTGAAAGCATGTTAATAGAAAACTTCGATGCATCATCACTGGAGTGAAACCCAAGTGACTTCTAGAGTTTCTGATGACGTGTTTTTTCACGCTGATCCTCTGGTTTTGATTGAACTTTGTATTTCCAAATAAATATGTTACTCTGATGCAAAACAATTTTCTCCTTTCCCGCACTATCGGGTTAAAGGCAATGATAACACAAAATGTATTGAGCGTTGCTTCGTGATGATGTTACGCGAAGGAACTTGATGCGCATTTTATGCCCCGACGGCGTAAACATCCTCGTGCTTTGTGTCTGAAAGACAGCCCTCCCAGAACTAGCACACAAGCAGACTAGCAGGTGAAGTTGAGTCTCAGGTGATTGCTTTTCCCAGGCTTGGCAGGCTTTCTAGGTCGTGTCGCTGGGCCGTGTTCTAAACTTATACTCTGTCTTTCTACCTTGGCATGCAGAAGTCTACTCGCGTTCATCATTGCTCCATATGTGTTATTACATGATGTGACCCACACAAGAAAAGCAAGGAGGGACTTGCCTATCCTCTTGTCTAGATAATAGCCTAGCACAGCCAGTTGTCTTCGTAACTTTTTCATGATAGAAGTAATGGAGAAGATGCAGGTGAGCTGCCGAGCTTTTAATGTCTTGGAGTCTCGAATGTTGTTGCGAAAATAGATCTCACGAGTATATTACTTCATGGTGAAGTATATTGCTTCATGGTATATTACTTCATATTTCACTCGAAATTTAAAAAAAATTCATAATGGCTGCTATGACAAGCTGCAGTCCCCCCCCCCCCCTCCCCCAGAATTTGGACGGATTTATGCCACTGCTTGGGAATTAGTCAGATTTACTCGAGTAAGATTTGTAACACAGCCAACGTAACATGGCCAAATGCTGCTGTTTGAATGGAGCTCGCCAATGTCGCAGTGCTGGGCTTTCTTTCGCCCAGCTAGCGAAAGCAAGCGCAGGGCAGAGATTTGACACCAGTGTTAGTTCAGCATTCGGCGCTCGGAACCATGTTCAATCGGTGAGGACACACGTTACGACCGAACGCCCACTCGGGACTCGTGTTTTTTTCTTTCGTTGCAGGCTTGCGAAACCAGTGCCAGCTGGTTTCGCAAGCCTGCAACGAATTAAGTTTGCAATGAATTACGTGATGTCCTGACGGCCTAGTCTAGCTTTCTGCACAAAAATAGTAGTAATTTTTTTCTTTTCAAGTTCAACATTTTTAAAGGATACCAAACATGTGGGTCTGGGACGCGGTCGGTTTCCATTGGTGCTCTAGCGGTGGTGGTGCTTAGCCGCTGCCTCTCTTGCTGCCCAGGCGGGACCCAGCTGGTGCACCTGAGCTGCAGCTATGACACGGTGTGGGCGTGCGACTCCAAGGGTGTCGTGTACATGAGGTTGGGGTCCCTGCGACCCCCCGCAGAAAGGACCCTGCCCCCCGCCTGGGTGCCCGTCGAGTCGGGCTACCAGGAGGACTCGCCCTTCGTCTCCGCGGTGAGCCACTTCGCGTGACGCCTCCTCTGCCGCGCTCGCTTGTTTCTGCTTCGTTGTTTCGTCGAGCCGACACCATTGCTTTGGGAGCTTACTGCTCCGGCAATTTTGTGGCGTATGCCGCACTGATCGTGCGTAATAGGGCTTGATCTTTTAGCGGGGATATACAGAGTGTTGGTTCTAAATATTTGTTTAGTACTAGAAGTGCGCAGATATTTTTAACTTCGAATATGAATATAGAGTAATTTAATATTCTATTGTTATTTGATCTAAAAGTGTTTTTGTAGCAGAGTGTCTGTATAGTAGTGTGGGTTTAATATTGATTTAAGTACTAGGAGCGTTCAAATATTCATAACTTTAAATATGAATAAAATATATTTTATATTTGTTCAATACCTAATCTGAAAATAGTTTTGTGGCGGGGGCCTGTGTAGTGTCGGTTTAGTAATGGTTTAACGGTAGGAGTGTGCAAATATTCCTAAACTCAAATGCAAATGAATTTTTTTTTTTGAATATTGATCTTATATTTTTTTTAAATATATGTTTTGGCCTTTTGAAAATATTTTTAACCTTATTCATATTTAATTCACATTATAAAATATGGATATTGGCATGCCCCTGTTTATGGCCTTTTGCGTGCAAGGTGAACATTGTTAACAACGGTGGCAAACTTCAGAATGCTGAGATTCGGAAACAAAACGGATGCTTCTGCTGCTTGGAACATGCTCCAGAACATACCGCATAATGCGCTATGTGATTCAGGGGCTCTGAAATATTTATTTCTTGAAGAATTCTCAGTCTCATGAAAAGAAAGTCAAAGTTCCCATCTTCCCACTTGTATTCCTTGCAACAAAACAATTAACAACACATTACTCGACTTCCTAATTGCTGTTATTAAAATACTCCAATGTTGGCATTACTCAGCTCGTAGATCTAAGTAGACCCTCTGCCCATCCTGCAAGAGCGCTTTATTTTAGGAGTAAGATACTAAGAGAATTTGAACTGCTGAGTAGTGCCAAATCCCTGGGTTTCTAGCAACGCATTTTGAAAACTCATGGTCTTCTGTTACTTCAGTATTAGAAAGGACCCTTTTATCTGGCATGTCTGCTCTGTTGTGACTGATCTTCTAGCATAATGAGATGGCTCTTGCAATTTTATGCTTACTTGACGGGACAGTCTTTTGCATAAGGAAGCTTCGGCTATCTAGTTTTGCTATCAAGTGAGTTTTGAGTTCTTTATACTACATGCGGTTGGGGTAAGCAAGGCTAGCTTTATTTTGCCATGTGGCGCATTCCTTTGCGGTATTTTTGCTTTGATTTGGTGCTTGCTTTTGTTTGTTGGTGCAGCATTTCACGCCTTTTTGTTTACCCCTTTCCCATCTCCTCTTCTTTTGTTTTCATTTTCTTTTTGCTTTTGCCATCAAGTCTGCATCAGACAAAGCCTTTTCGTTGCCATTTGAGATTTCAAGGTTTCTGAGACCCCACCTCACGAAGGTAGGTTGGGACTCCTTTGAGCATGCAAGCTTGCTAGTGCCCTTTTTTCAGTCTGTGCATGCTCAGTACTTCCGAAGATGCTCAGTGGACCAAATTTGCTGTCCCATGTGATCAAAATTGAGTAGAAGCGACAGAATTTTAAATAGAGTACAGTGTGAATGGCAATTAATGTGTCATTATGTGCATGTCAAAAAGCCCATTGAACTAAACATATTGTTGAGAAGGGAATATTTCTCGACTACGTGGAGAAGGACCAACCGGTTAAATTCTGGGGCCTTAGGAGTAAAACCAGTGTGGAAATGTTTTTGTGCCTGGTATTTCGAAGCGTTTATGTTTTTGAAGTGGTTATGTTATGGGAAGTTATGGTTATGTTATTATCTTTATTTATTTATTGCCTACTTTGCCCAGTGGGCATTACATTGGGGGTGGATAGTACATAAGAAACAGTGCAGAACAGTGCAGAATAGAACAATAAGAAACGGTGCAGTACAGAAGCTGCCATATAAAACAATACAACAGCCACAGTACCATGCTAACAACAAAGAATTAACACAACAAAGGATGATAGGCACTTTACATCAACATGATAGTGTCAAAAAAGGAACAAACAGAAGGGAGTTCTACTAAAGTATCCGGGAGCATATTCCATTCGTGGATCGTTTGGGGAAAAAACAAATACTTTAGGGCATCAGTCCTCGCACAGAATTCTGGAATTTTTTTAGAATTATCTACCCTACAAGGAATGTAGGGAAGCGTTATACAATATTTTGGCTTATCTAAACCTGCGTTCCCATAATAAAGATTGTGTAAAAACTTTAAACGTGGACATTTCCTCCTAAACTGCAAAGATTTCCATCCCAGTGGTGCCTTAGTTCTGAGGCACTTTCCCGGAAATTATAATTATCTGAAACAAATCTTGCCGCTTGGTTTTGATTCCTTTCTACTTGATTTATACATATTTGCATATGCTGGTCTCGCACCCCCAATACACACATACATATTCTAAAATCAGTCGAATGTAAGAGAAATAAAGTCTCTTTCAGGTCTGCAGAAATTCGCCAAAAGTTGCGACGGAGGAAATGTAACATGCCGCTAGCTTTAGAACATACACCCGTGACGTGATTATTCCATCTCAAATCATTGGACAACTGCACTCCAAGATAGTTCGCCTCAGTGGCAAGATTCAAAGGTTGGCTACCTAAAAGAAAAACTGAAGGAATTACTTTACGTTTTCTTGTAAATCTAACATGGATACATATGGATGTATTAAGAAACATCTTACTTCTGTTGCACCACCTTGAAATGCTATCTAGATCACTCTGTAGAACCTCAACATCTGCATCTCCGTGTATCAGGGATGGGCAAAATACGTGCAAATATGTATCGAAATACAAATACAAGATACTTTGTCAAAAATGTATTTAATTACAAATCTAATTACATTTCCAAAAAAGCATTTAAATACAAGATACAAATACAACCAAATGTATTTGGTCTCCTCCAAATACTTTTCCAAATACATTCCTCAAAATTTGCGTCAGCGACTTCAGGGCACCTGCAATGGGTTTCTGGGTATCCCATTTTAATTTTGCATCGCACACTCGGGAGTTAGTGTGCGAGGCTCTAGTAACGTAGGAGAAATATAATCACAAAAAAAATGTAATCAGCTTGGACGTAATAGGTGAAAAAACTACAGAGCTTCAAGCAGCTTTTTTGTCAATTACATTTTGGTATAGACCAACAAAGAACCGAGACGACCAAGACGCGCAGCACTAGCTAGAGGATTTTTTATTGTTGCAACTCGCACCAGTTACAAAAATCTGGACGACCCGCACATTTAGAATGTTCCAGGCAAAAATATGGAGGGGAATCAGGCTGAAAAGCATCACAAGTTGTCACAGGCACTTATTTAGCCAGTCTGCCTGTGAATGTCGATTTCGTCACTATTCTTGCCCTGGACTAGCGCCGTAATCACAAAGTCACTAAACGCTTGTGCTTGATTGGGAGACACTGCATTCGGTCCAGAACATAGTTTTTTTCCTGCTCTCGACAGTGACAATAAATTTGAGGGATGTATTTTCACCCACAAAATTGTATTTAAGTACAATTGTATTTGAAATGCCCACGTTTTAGTATTTAAATACACACGTCAAATACATTACCCAATTTGTAATTAAATACAAATGTAAAATACACAAAGTATTTGAAATACTGCCTATCCCTGCCGTGTATTTTTGTATACAAAACACAATCGTCCGCATACAGCCTGATGTGAGATGAGATTCTGTTCCTATATCATTTATAAAAATTAGAAAACGAAGTGGGCCTAAAACTGAACCTTGCGGTACACCCGATGTTATTGCATTCTGTGTTTCTAATTTTTCTAAAATTTCTACCTCTTTACCAAGCTTCTTAGAAAACCTTATGGGAATCTTTGTTGTACACTGCATGGTAATGCAAACACATCTGTGCATCATTGCATTTCATTCAAACGGGCTGTTAATGAACACCAAACATTTCTACTTCTAAGTTTATTCTTAGTCTGAGCCTATTGTACCACACTGGCTTTGATGGCAGGCTTCAGTTATGAGTTAACTAACAAAATCGGCAATTTCTTGTTTGTACAAAGTGGACCACACTCTGTGCTGCTTGCAGAAAAATATTTTCACCCATTATTGATGCATGTACTGTATATAAACTCTTTCATTGAGGTAGTTGCTCAAGGCACAAACAAGCAGGTGTTATTACTGCAATGTTTGCACTAACTTGAAATATGGCAGAATGAGTGTGCCATTTGGATAAAGCTGATCTGGCTGCACAGGTACATTTAGAACTGTGTCAGTTTCAAGACACTTCGAGCAACCACAGCTAGGCAGCAACCAGATCAAGGGGATGAGGAAGTGGCGCGTGTGTTTTACTCTTCTTGTAGTGTCCTAGCAAAGACCAGCCTTTGCTGGGGGGGGAGTATAAATAATGTAAATAAATAATGTTTGTCTAACCTTACATACAGCTCATTAGGCTCAAGGGAAGACTACTAACTCATTGGTGAAGAATCAAACTATGGTGGTCCTAAAGGGGAGATGTGACGATTGCTTGCCTTTCCCAGCTGCTGAGAGGAGTCGTGCACATCATGGCACTATCACCATTGTACTATCTGTAAGCTCCTAGCAGCACCACAATGGCAAAGACCAGTTAATTCTTTGGAAACTGGGTTCTGAATGAAGTGGAGCAGGCAATAAATATGACAAGAGAAAAAATCAGAGGTCGTATTCTTAGCTACGGCTGAACAATACTGCTATGTATTGCTATAAAGTGCTCAATCTGCCAAATTTTTGACTGCAACTCCTTCCCCCCTAGCCCTAGAGTGCGAGGTGATGTTGCTTCCCACATACAGGCTACCATATTTTTGGGTGTATAATTCACGGGTGTCTTCCCCAATTTCTGTGGGTGCGTCTCGTACAGGTGGTGTGACTTATATGAATTTTTTTTTTCTTGTAGAAGTATGGACCTCTGTGCACAATGTAGGATGTATCGACATTTAAAATAAAGAAGGAATGGCAGGGTACCCACCGATGGTCCTGCTCTTCCAGCAGTCCGAAGACGGTCTGGAGCATGCCAGCATCAGTTCGCAATTGCAGCAAATTTGCCGATCGTACAAAAAAGGGCGACTTATAGACCGGAAAATGTGGTATGCTTTGCCCTGCGAATCGTGGGACTGCTGTCGCCCTCGCGATCGTCACACTTCCCCTTCTAGCCCACCGTAGCTAGGCTTTCTCATTCTGGCGTGCCGCACCGTGATGGGCACCTGACCGTGATCGGCTCACCTTCCAGGTGTACGTCGGGCCCCAGAACTTCATGGTGTGGGCCATAGACAGCAAGAAGCGGGTGTATGTGCGGGAGGGCATCTACCCCGAGCTGCACATTGGCACCAGCTGGGTGGAGGTGCCGGGGGTGCAGGCGCGCCAGCTCTGCCTCAGTGAGAAGGCAGTCTGGGCAGTGACTCCGACGGGTGAGATCTTCCGCCGCTTCAACATTTCTAACACCAACTTCGTCGGCGACTACTGGAAGCGGATCCCGGGCCACGTGTCAACGCTTGCAGGTGAGCTCCCTAAACGGACTCTGAAAATATTTGTTCTCTTTGGCTGAGTAGCGCAAAACAGGATTCAGTTTTTGTTTCCATTAGATTCATTGTTTTTGTTTTTTTGTAAAGCTTGCATTTCAGAACTTTAAATTTCTTTTCCTCTTTCATTCCCCTTCTTTCTCCCGACCTTTTAAGGAAACAAATCAAAAGATCAATAGCTGTTTTAAAAACCCTCAGACATCACACAGGTATCATTACAAGTCACAGTCCCTTGAAGGCTGTTCCACATGGAGTGGTTCTCTACGTCGGGTGCTGCCTGTACTCGGGACAAAGTCACACTCTCCAGTGCATTCAAATGCGTCCCTGCTTAAGAAGAGTGTATTTCTGCCCACCTACTCATACGCATTGCAGAGAAAGCAATAAGATTGGAGGGGATTGTTTTTTTTATGTATAGACCAACTGCTGAAGTTTTTGCTAGTGCTGAACTACCAACGCTGCTATTGAACAAATGATTGTGTCAAAGACCTGGCGAGTGGCTTGTAGGTACATTCCTTTAGCCATTGGATGACTGTGCACTACTGAAGCACCTTTTGAGCCTGATATCTTTGTAGTGCATTGAACTATTGGCCAGTGAAAGATAGCTTCACATCTCATGCACACTGCTATCTTATTGTATCGGGCAGCAAGGCAGGCTTGACCAGGAGTCGTGTGTCGTTGCACCCGTAATTGTTGACCTCCCGTTTCCTTCTTTAGCGTCGATAGACGACAGGCTGTGGGCCGCCAGCCTAGACGGATGTGCCCTGCAACTCCTGACGTGCACGCTGCCTTCCCGTGTGGAGCAGTTGGAGAGGCTGGCCTTCTCCACTTCCACCGAAAAGTCAGACTCTGACACGGACGGCTGGGAGGTGGTGTGACCCAACCATGACCAAACTTCCCATGGATCTTGAGTGCGTGGGCAGGAGAGCTTTCATTCTATTGACCGGCTCTTGCATGATACTGGTACATTTGTGCGACACTTGTACATGATTGGTCGACTCTCGCATGACACCCATATGTGCTGCCTTTTAATCCAAGTGTTGTGTATTTCTAGATAAGAAAGTAAACCTTGCGTCTCAGGACCAGCAAGCTGCCTTGTAAGCTGGTAACTTTGCACACCACACTTTATCAATATCTTATTCTTGAGGCCTTGATGGCTAGGGCAATCTGCTTTGCAACTTGATTTTTCTATCCATAGCAATAATTTTATCACAGACAAGAAAAAAAAAAAAAAGTGGCAGACGAAATGAGACGGGAAACAATAGAATAGGTTGAAGGTGGTCTCCTTTCTTGGTATTTTCATCTTGAGGTGACACCATTTTTTTTTTTTTTATCGTGCTTGAGCAAAAAGTGGACTGTGATTTTGTCTCTGAAGTTTTGGAAAAACGTTGAGCCGGTAGTACAATGCCGACTGCTTTATGGAATGCGTCAGTGTGTTGACAATATTATTTTTCTAGAAGCTTTTGATAGCCACCCTTTACCATGTTGCCATGTATCACTTGAATCTGAGGTTGTTCATACACTGGTTGATTGAAAGCAATACTATACCTCTTGTACCTTTGCTATCCTGTGATAGTCCTCCCTCAAGTGTTGTAATGAAACGTACCATTTCAGCAATTTATTCCAAAGAAGCATGATCTGTTGCGAGCTTCAGTGCTACTCCACAGAATCCTGTCCAGTTCTTTTGAACCGCATTATTTTCCTTATTATATTTATAATCTTTATTCCTAACCATATGACTTCAGCATCTGATGTTGTAGGGTGCAGTAATACTAGTATTACAACACCTTGTGTTCGGGAGAAAAGAGAACCACGTTTTTCTCGCTGCAAAAATGAACTATGCATTGTGGAACGCTCAGTCTCTGTCTAAATGTAACGCTAGCAGTTGGGATATATGCCAAATTTTTAGAACTTACCGTACCCGACTAAAAAATTACAAGCATTGTTTGAAAATTTGAACGAGGGATTGGGGGCTGTTTCCGGTAGCAGATGCCATTCATCTCCATGCATTCATGGGCTCCGTTGGCCGCTATTTCCATATTGAAGATTTTCAAAAATTGCTTGTAAGTTTTGAATGAGATAACATTAAATTTAGAAACTTTGGCATATTGTTCTAACTGTGAGTACTAGAGCGGAGACTGGGTGTTTGGCGATGCAGAGTTAATATTAATTTTTTTACGGTGTGAAAAACACAGTTCTATTTCTCCCAAAACACCCGGTACTCTAGACTTTAGCTCCTTGGGAAGGTTTCGAGTTGGAACATGATTTGGGAAGAATACTCTAGCCTTTGCAAGTGTAATGACTCCTCTGCATATTTGTGAGGTTTGTGGCTATAGGTCACTGCTAATCTCTCCTTTTCATTAAGTACTGTGAAATAAAAAATTTTTACATTCATTCTGGGGTTTCTAGAATTACATTGACCAGTATCAAACCTTTGTGTGCAGCTTTTGGATGAGATTTTATGTAATCTCCACGTGTTTGGCTTGTCTTGACATTTTTCAGTAATTTTTGAGCACAATATCTTGCCAGATCTTCGGCAAGAATGGGGGCATTGTGACTGAAACGTGGTTCCTATGAGAAATTGTGCATGTAGAAGAATGGGGCGTGTATTTTGTTTGCGTGTAAGGCTCATTACATATCATTGTTGTGAGAGCATGCTTTTGAGCATCAAGCCTGTTGATAAGCAGATACAAAAGCACGGCTTTGCACACTCATAGTCTGCGTGTTGAGCGTAAACAGAAATGGTGAATAGGCAGTGAATTTATACACTATTGTTGTGCAAAAACATGTTAGCAAGCAGACAGGGAAGGGGGTGTCGCTGTCACTTTGTACAGAGGCATCAGAACTATTCAAGAGATAGGGGGTGGGGGGCGACGGTTGTTGTCTTGGGGGGGGGGGGCGACGTTGATTCTGTGCCCTCTTCCCCGTATTGTTTCCATTAAGTTTCTGAACTGTCTGGAGGTGGGGGGGCGGTCGCCCCACCCCCATACAGTTCAGAAATCAGTCCTGTTTGGACCCCACTGACTTTGTATGTGATGCGTCAACATCGAGAGCCACCACAATCTCTCGGTGTTTGTAACAGTCTTCTTTTAACATGTATAATGTAAGTTGGGGCACGTCAGACTTTTGAGTTGTTAATTTGCCTTAAAATTGCTTTAACAAATTGATAGGCACATACGAACTAGTAACCCAAATTACAAGTCACACTAATTATTTATTTCTCTAGAAGTTACTCAATTTTTAAAGTTGGTCGGAGAGGCTCTACTGGCATCACTGAAAATGTGACGTCAAATGTTGTAATAGGGGCAAGTACAGATTGTTTCGTGTGCTTCTTTTGCAGGGATTGTGGTGACGTCAGAATGCCAAGCTCTGATTGGCTCCGATTGGAAATATAGTGGGTAGACCTTAAACCAAGCTGCCTTGAGGTCTACCCATTATCCTTCAACGAGAGCCAATCAGAATTCGGCGTCGTTCTGACGTCGCCACAACCCCTGCAAAGGAAGCAGACAAACTTGCGCTCCAGAGTTGCGCGTCTGTTTTTCACGTGCCGCCGCGCCGCCATTCGCCGAGATCCGATCACGTGAGGAGCAAAGAATACTGCGCCGTGCAGGAAAGTCGCTTCGGCGACGTTGCACGCGCCCCGGCAGGCAGCTGTACCTCGCCGTATGGTCCCCCGCTTTTGCCATGGGTGGCGGCGCGCGCGGCGCCGCTATTCTCCGAATTCAGTCACGTGACCGGCCGCAGTCGACGGGCACGGCTCCTGTACGCGCGAGGAGTGGCTTTCCCGCATAACTTGTGATTTCAAGATGGCTGAACGCGCAACTCTGGCTCGATATACAGGAACTCTATTCCCCACAGGGGACAAGAAGTTTGATGGTGTGAAATGGATGCTAGATGAGCTCACACCAGCAAAGTGAAAAAAACATAACACAAAAAGAAAAAAAAAAAGTGCTGAAGAGCGCGGGAAAATTTGAATGTTGGTTGTGGCATCACCTCCATTTGCCTTTTTTTTTTTAATATATATTTTTAATTTTTAGATAATAAATAGCGTGGTGGCAAGCGTAAATGCTGGTTCACACATTTGCGATTGCTTACGACGAGGCTTTTCCCCAGGAATTGAAATTAGGGGGGGGGGGGGGGGGGGGGGCAGTGAGGATAAGGGAGTTGTTGCAAATTAAGGGGACTGTACACACCCTCCCCCTTAGGGGGTGTGTAGGGAAATCACTGCTTACGACCGGAGAGTACGACCGACTGAGGCAATATCGGTTTTTAAGCCTTTTGTGACGACTTACCACCGGCTACATTGCTGCGCCGTCAGTCGCAAGGGTTGCTCGCCCCCCCCCCCCCCCCCCCCTTAATTAGCCAGAGCGCTGGAGTTTGTAGGCGAGAATGGAAAGATGTATGGCAAGTGCATTTTAATAACGAAGAGGATGTTTGAAGGGTGATGGAAATCATCTAGGGAGAACTGAATGTCGTACGACTAATACATCTGGGAATGAGCGGGACAAAGGAAAATCGGGACTCCCTCCCGCGTGGCTCCGGCCCAAAGTCTCGACCCTGTCTCCCAGTGGGCCCGCGGTGCTGGGGCGACGCCGACTAGGTTTGACCAGAGGAAAATTGGCTACTCCATCGCTGCGGGGAAAAGGCGGGAGGAGGTTTTTAGTTTGTTTTTTGCTCGATCCTCCAAAGGTTATCCTGGGTAATATCCCCCACCACCTGGTGATAGTTAAAAAATTGCAGAGGAGAAGTAAATTAGCTTGTAAAAAAGTAAAAAAAAAAAGTTGTACTTTTTTTTTAAGACTAGGTGTTGCAAGTTACCGCCCGATACAAAGGGTACACCCGTTAGCATCCATCTAACCACCAAGCGGTCGCAGGAAGTTTAAAAAAACACCATAGAGATCAGTGAAGGACACTGACAGGGTATTTATGCTCCCTGAGGTTTTTATTTGAACATGCCCTATAAGTAGGATTCCGTGTTTTCGGAGTTCATTTTTCGCCAAATTTGGAGGGTGTTTTTCGGAGTTTATTTTTTTTTTTTCCCGAAAATTCGAAGTTTATAGGAGCTAACTTTTGTTTGATTCCAAAATCTCCGATATCTGATATTCGGAGCTTAAATTCGCAGTGTTTCCTATGAAAAATGAATAAATAATATCCGGGTGTAAACCTGTGCTAGATAAAGAAAAATAAAGCGCACGTATATAAATAATATATTTTTCAGAAGCAGTATTAAGTGGCAATACTAATTTGTCCCACAGCAAAAGTTGCACACATCTGTGGCTTCAATAAACGTCAATACCTTAAAAATAATCTGGATGTCGCTGGGAGGCTCGTATTTATCCCATCCTATTCCAGGCTACCCCGCGGCCGCGCGAGGTGAAGTGGTAAAGGATGGAATAGGGAAGTTTCAACTGCCCCTCTTCCAATGTTATGCAATCTCTATAGTCCATAGCTTAAACCAGTGGTTCTCAAATGGGGGTCCGCGAAGCCCTGTCTCATCAGTCGAATCCGGCAATATAAATTGTCTTTTTTTTCACATTGAGAAGAAACGTTCCAATTTTCGGGTGAGTTCTCTCGTGTGTATGTCAATGAGATAAGTCTACTTCACACTAGCTGTTAGTTATATTCATTTATTAAATCATTATTGTGAATAACCTATACCTTTCTATTCCCCTCACTCGAAGGGGTCCTCCATCGTCTCAGCCTATCTTCAAGGGGTCCGCGAAACATCATTGGTTGAGAACCACTGGTTTAAACTGTTACAAAGAACACAACCTCTCCTTCCTCTTAAAACACAAATAGTATGGCCCAAACTGGAAACCAATACAGAGGCTTTTGTGGTGACCCGAAAGTACAATGATATGTCGTCCTGAACCTCGACGAGATAAGTGGTTAGACCCCTTTTGTCAATAACCCGAGATTTGAAAGATAACTGTGGTGGCATTTTCCTGGCTTCTAGTCAAAATGTCCAACGAGACGAAATGTCCATCGAGTCAAAATATCCAATAGGCCACGTGACACCCGTGTCAAAATGTCCATCGAGACGAAATGTCCAATCGGGTCAAAATGTCCATCGAGTCGAAATGTCCATCAAGACGAAATGTCCAATCGGGTCAAAATGTCCATCGAGTTGAAATGTCCATCGAGACGAAATGTCCAATCCGGTCAAAATGTCCATCGAGTCAAAATGTCCATAGAGACGAATATCCAAAAGGGGTCAAAATGTCCACGTCAAAGTGCTCAAGCTTGGTTGATTGACTACCCACAACCCTCGGTTTAACAATAAAGGCGCTAAATTCTTTTGTTTTCTCTTTTGTGGGTCAAGGTCAGTGGAGATACAATTTTGTTCAAGGATTTCGCCCCACTGTCGGGGGGACACTGGGTCTGATCGTCCGGTGACCCCGTTTAACACAAAATACCCTGTTTAAGAGAAGGCGCTGAATTCTTTTGTCGGCTAAGGTCAGTGGAAGCACAATTTTGTTCCAAGGATTTCGCCCCACTGTCGGGGACACTGGGTCCGATTGGCCGGTGACCGCGTTTAACACAAAAGGCGCATCTCGGTACGACAAGATTCGACCTGGTTTGCGCATGGTTTGCCTTATTTTTGCGCACGTCTGCATTATTCAAGACTTAAACTGGTCAGAACGAGGTCTCGAGTCTCGCTACCCGAAGAAACAAGTTGCAACAGCTTCTCGATTCGACACGTTCTTCTAGGATCTGGTGAGTGGAAAATTTGTTTATTTTTTTTAATAACCAAGACAATTGTTTTACCAACCAGTGTCTACACCCGGAGATTATCAGTTGCCTGTGCGCTGGTCAAACAGAAGTAGGGTATTAATTATGTCTTGCTGATTAGTGAAATGTTGCTTGAGTTCTACGCGAATAATTAGCTCTCGAATGGTTCAGTAAAAATTTTAATGTGATATATTCTTATTATTATCTGCAGATTCAACGAAAGGTACAGCGACGACATCAGATCAGCATTCATCGACTGCTTTCGTGTCGACATGGAGCCTGGCTTCGGGGTCCCGTCGTTTGTGACGTCACATAAGCGCTCAAGTCGACCTGTGATCCAGTATCGAAGTAAACGATGGGAGAACGCTGTGCTAAAATTTTCTTATAAGTCAGCACACCCAAAATATCCCAGCACAGTCTACTATAGGTGTATCGCCTGCTACCGCCTGAGTCAGCAAGTCGGACCAACTGAGAGGTGCCCAGTGGCTCACCTGACACTAAGAAACGGCGTGCTGGCCACCGATCTAGATCGGCCGTCGACATCCCACAGCTGCAACCCGTCTGGAGGTTCCAATGCTTCCATCGTTCTCTCGAAACGCTTCATGTATAAAGTACGGACAAACGTCCGCCGCAGCCGAAAAAGACCGAGAGAAGCATTTGAC